AGGCTATGAATATCTCCAGACAAGGCTGAAGCCATATGGGTTGAGTTTGAAATATATTCAGCTATGAGTCAATGTAGGGAAGTTGATCCAGGTTCCCTGGTTATTTTGTTTCTTATTATCATCCCATGTACCCAGCCAGGTGTCCCCCTATCAGTCATCCCCTCAGCGGGCCATCCAATGTCAAAGGAGGGTCAATTAACTTTACAAAGAGTTTTAAATAGTGTTAATAATATTACTCTCACACAAATGTATCTCATCTACATAATAACAAAATTTTAAATCAAAATCAATAGATGTTTATATTTTGGGCGATAAAGACCAAGTCAGAGAGGAGAGCTGAGACCTGGGAAGGACTTACTGATAGAGTCAGGGATGTAGCCACGTTAGTCCTGATGGGCAACACAGAGCTTTTAGAAGGAACAGCTTGGGCTCCACCAGACCAACTACACCGCCAGCTTTTTCCTACATATATGAATTTTCCAGTTTTGTCTCTATCGCTATCTTTCTAGCAGGGTAAAACTTTTATCATATGATATCTTTTCATATCCAATATATAAATCTTATAGCCTTATTTATGTATTGTTATTCATCTCACTTAATATAAATTTTTTGGGACAAACTTGGTTGCAGCCACTTAGATTTTAAAGTCTCCCTTCCTTTATTTTCCTCCTTTGGTCTGATTGTTACATTTTAAATTTGACTGGCTGCCTGTAGACTCCTAAGTAACCTTGAATCAGTATTCTTACCTTAAACTTGTAGAGAGCAAAGAACAAGTTAATCCTGTAATTGTAGTTTAAGAATTTACAGTGGTAGCTGGGGATTTAACTCAGTGGCATAAGCACCTGCGCCTGGCAAGTGTGAGATCATGAGTTCGATCCCCCAGCACAAAAACAAAAACCATCGTTGGTAAGAATTTACAGTGAAAAGTGGGCATGGTGGCACATGCCTGTAATCCTAATACTCAGGAGGCTGAGGCAGGAGGATCATTTTGACTTCAAGACCAACCCTGGCTACAAAGTGAGTTCAAAGCCAGCCTGAACTACATAGTAAAACCCTGCCTCAAAAAAGACAGGAAAAAAAAAAAAAAGAAGAATTTACAGGGCAGGAGAAACATTTTAAGTATATTAATTAAACAATGCCAATTTAAACTGGAAGGTAAAGTGCATGGATCAGTTAGCTAAGATTCATAATGTGAGTTTCCCTCAAGGGAAAAAGGCATTGGGCCTCCTTCAGTCTTTTGTGTGTGTGTGGGGGGGGGGGCAGTCCTTGGGGAAATGGAAGATTCTAAATATTGTTTTTAACATCCTTTAATTTTTTCCCAATCTTGGCATGTGTAGCTGGGCCTAATGTTTCTTGGGCCTGATTCTTCATCCCAGCACTGCCACTGGGTCATCTGGCTGCTCAGGAGCTCTTTCAGTCCTAGTCTCTGCCTGGGCAGGCTGCTGCTATCACCCCATTTTATAGGGTGTTGTTTTTCTCCCTCAACACCCAGTGCACTACAGCTAAGCAGTTTTCCTCATGTGTTTACTCCCACCTCTTCCACCTGATGCACCATGGCCCTCCCTGTTCTTGGTTTTTATTTTTGTTTGTTTCCCCTCAACTTGGGTGTCACTGTGGGTCACTCCCACATCTCCTGTGAGCTACTCTTTTCACAGGTCACTCCTGCCTCTCCTGTGAGTTACTTTTACCAGGGGTCATCCCTGCTCCCCTGACTTAAGGTATAGATTTCATCTGACTCCCCATTTAGTACTCTGTACACTCCAGAGATCAGTCTCCTCTTTCATCCTAACTGAATGGGTCTTTATCAAACCTTCCTGCAGGCCTGTAGCATGCTGGTTTAGGATTGTCCTGAATTCTCATGGGTTCGGGTGCACCGGCAGAGAAGTTGCCAAGCTGTGGGAGGGCATATTCCTTCTCCAAACTTAGGTCTCTCCCTGTGGCACAAGAGGCCTCAGTATTCCCACACTTCAGGACCCTCCTCGTGCCACAGGTAAATCCATTGTCTCCAGGCTTTTTATGGTCACCAGAAGTGTAAAATTCAAGAGTTCAGAAAGGCCAATGGGGAACAGGAAATCTTATTTCAAGATTTTTATCTGCATACTGGGGAGGAATAGCCTGGTTGAACAATTCCCTGGTTTCACTATAAAAGTGGATAAAAAGGAGCTCCTTGGGGCTGGGGATATAGCTCAGTGGTAGAGTGCTTATTTGGCACAAAGTCCTAAATTCAACCTCCAGTACCACAAAAACAAAACAAAAACTCCTCCTTCTTGCATGTCTTTGCCACCTTAAAACCACACTTTCCTCTTCCAAGTTCCCAAAGAAGCCCAATTTTGACAACAATAAAAACATCCAAGAAATTTCCAGCATGTGGAGCCTTCTGCCACCAAGAGGAAGGTGCTTCTCCTGAGGCTCCATGCTCTAGTTCACGTCCCCCCCACTCCAGTTCTCAGATCCTCCAGCACTCCTGCAAGGAACTAATGAGATCCCTAGACTTCAGCCTCAGCTGGATCCTTGTGTTGGCACCACGCGAGAGCTTTGAATGCCAGTTCAGGTTCCAGTTCTGCCCGTGCCCCTGGTTAAGGTGGGTAAGGAGTGGAAGTCAGGGATGGGAGGAATCCTCCTTATTTATACTTGATCTATGCTGCCATCTGGTCTTGGGACTGAGGGACTAGAATTTGGCTTTGAGGTCAAGTCTTTCTCCTCTTGGATGTCCAGGACACCTCCATGTGTCCATGTTGCACCAGTCAGTAGGTTTTCTCATGGGTGGCTGCAGGCAGCTAAGATATTAGGTCCGGGTGGAGGGAGCCAGAAGTGAAGAGGGGAGTGGAACAAGTGTGGCCACTGCTCAGGGATGCGTGTGCAGAGGCCTGATGTGCACAGGTGCTGTTCTTAGCTTTTTAGGTGAAAATCTTCCTTGTTGGAAAAACTGCTTTCTGTAGTTTCAGGGTTTTATTGTAGGCTTTAGTTATTTTTTGTAGAGTGGAAACTGAACTCTAGTTTAAAGATTATTTGAAAACTTAATTATTTTAGATGTTATAGAATTTTCAGGCTAAATTTTTTTTAAAATGGCATAAATGTTATAGAATTCTGTTGATTAACAAAAATAATTAAATCATGGTAGAGTTTTATTTTACTTCTTGGTTAGTTTAGAGATAGTTGTAAAGACTAAATTTAGATTCTTTTTATTAGTACATGAAAAGCAGTCCTTTCTCTATTTGTGCAGGTGACTGAAACCACAGCTGTGTTGATTTCCAGGAGTGTGTGTGTGTGTGTGTGTGTGTGTATGTTTCCCCTTGGGAAGTGGGAGGCGTAGGAGAAAAAAACAATTTTCATTTGGTCCTTTTTCTCTTCACATTTGTTTAAAAGATTTACGGAAAAATTGGTACTTTATGTTTAAATTTTAGATAGTTGTGATTTATCCCAGAATATTTTTAGTTTGCCACTTTTACCCTATAGTGAATTTTTCTATTTTTCCCTATCTTTAGTCTGAGAAAAACTCAACTGCTGCTAGGGCCAAACTGACATCCTTTGTGGAAACTACCACCCTACTTGCATCAGATGGAGTGTGGCATAAAAGTTCATAAACTCCTTTCATATGTTTATTTAACTAAAAATGATTATGTGTGCTCTACCTGGTGTTCTTTTCTCCTACTTATATGTAGACAATCAGTCTTTGACATTCTTGTCAAAGGTAGTAATGCATTCACACGTATCTTTCTAAGTCTATATCTTTATTAGTCTAAGGTGAGAGAAATGGAGGCCATAGTTTGAAATACCTAATCTAGAAAAAGGGGTGGAAGAGAATTAATTTAGTGGAACCTAACTCTGTATTCATTAAAACCAGCTTAAAGTATGTGTGTATATACACACACTTTTATTTACACAGAATTGCTGCTAAGGGTAACTTTATAAGTGTGTTCTGTAACTTCTTAGTATATTTTATATATAAAAAATTTATGTTAAAATATTATTTATTGTAAACATAACTATAGAACAGAAATTTATCTGGTACCAGTGTTATTCTTGTATATTTATATCAATCTTTGTATTTTGTTATCCTTTAAACCTGTTAATAGGGGAAAAGGAACAGACTGGTAATACTAAAGGTTAGCGTTCTATGTCATATAGTAAGAGGTTCTCAAAATTTGTTTTTTGTTATTTCTGTGGTGCTGTAGAATTGGACCCAGGAACTTTTGGGTGCTAGGTAAACACTCTACCACTAAGCTACACTCCTAGCCTTGTCATAGAATTCTAAAGAGCTCAAAATAACTGGCTTAGAAATACTTTTGCTTGTGAATGAGATTATAAAACGTATTCTAAGCAAGGAGGTACCAGATTTTAAAACATACTACAAAGTCACAGTATTGAGGCAATGTGGTAGAGCCCCAGGATTAAATGTGTAGATCATTAAAGAGTAGAAATAAATGTTACTTACATAAATTTGACATATGTTCAAGAAGACAATGTTGAAACAATGGGTAAAGGATTATCCAATGGTGGACTTGGAATAACTACTTACTAATTTTGAGGAAAAATACACCTAAATCCAAATACATCAAAATAAATTTTAGACTATTAGAATTACATCATTGAAAATCTAAAGGTAAGCTGGTTGTTATGGTGGTGATACCTGTACTAACCAGGTACTTGAGAAGCCTGAGGGAAAAGGAATACTTGAGCCCAGTTCAGCCAGCATTAAAGTATATCTCAAGACCTTGTCTCAGAAAGAAGAGAACAAAAGATTAGAAGACTGATTACCTTGTAATTTCTCTTGTATTCCCAAGCCATTAGAAAATTTAAAAAGACAATAAACATTAGACTTCATAAACAAATACGGCATGTTTTTTGTAACTACCTCTGCAAGTGTTTTAGAATAGCATGTCTATTCTCTCTTTAGCACTGTGAAACTTAGTCTTCCTTTATACCAGCTAGAAATCTCTTGCTATACACTTTAATTAACAGAACATATATGCATTCTTTATCTGAAATTTCTCCTATAGGTGCATTGAAAATTACACAGGAGCACGTTGTGAAGAGGTTTTTCTCCCAAGCTCCAGCACCCAAACCAAGAGTAACCTGTTTGTAGCTTTTGTGGCAGTGGTTGTTCTGATCACCCTCACCATTGTGGCTCTCTACTTCCTTTGCAGGTAACAACACTGAAACATACTCTCGAAAAGAAAAAAGTAATATGGTACATGAGGTAGTAATTTCACTAAATAATCTGCTCTTTTATATTTGCATGTTCTTCTAGTTTTACTTGCAGGGTTATCTCTTGAATATGAAGATTCTATTAGGTAGGTAAGAAGTCATTTTTAAAGCATTTTAATAAGTCATCAAGTTTGTTATCTGTTATTGTATCTATTATTTAGCTTGACTTTTCTGAACTGCAGTAGTAGATCCACATTCACTATAGTCATTGTGACAACCCCAAATATTTCGCCAAGGTCTATTTTAACTAAGTCTTGAATGTGAAAAAGAAACAACTTATGCAATTACTATAAATGAAAGTTGAAAAAACAATTACTACTTAGGATTTCCTCTTTATCTAGTGTCTGCTAGGCATTGTGTTTGCCACAGTAAATATAATAGTGAACAAGGAAGACATGCTCCCTAACTGTAAAAGAGATGTAAGTCTATTTGGAGAGATGGACAAATAAGCAGGGAGTTAATGTGAAGAGATTGGTAACTCAAAAGATAAAAGGGAAAATTATCTCAATAAAACAACACTATCCACCAAAGGTGACTTTCATTCATTTGTATTGATCTTCATGATTTTAAAAATTTTGTGAAAACAAATTAATGTGGAATTAAGTTTAGCTTTCTGTTATGATAGCACATCATTGGTATTTATAAACATTTACGGACATTATATGCTGTCTGGTACTTGTGAAAGTGTGTTTAGGGTAATCATGAAAGAGATGCTCGGTGACTTGATAATTTTATGTTCTCAGAAAGAATATTCAGGTAAAACAGTATTTCACAGAATCCATATTTCTGAATTATTTACATCAAGAAAAAATTTGGAGGGTGCTTGCTCTGAAGTATGTAATACTATATATTTTATTTAAAAATGCATCACATGAGTAATCCAGAAGGCTTTATATCTCATAATTTAACATCTGAGTTCTTCAGATAGAAAAGTTTACATGCAAGCCCATTATATGTGATTGTTTCCTAAAGATGGCCATTCAGTATCTCTCATCCCTTAGAGCTGTACTGCAGTATGACCTTGCCATGCCTCTACCCCAAGAATTTTTCTCTAAATCCTTGAATCTGGGAAGGCAGTAGAATTGCTTTGGCCATAAAATACTGTGGAAATGATGCTGTTCTGACTAAGGCCACAGCCTTTAAGTAACTGAATGATTTCCATCCCTTGCCCCTCCTACTCAGGATGTTCACTCAGAATCGCGACACGTGTCACTGAGCCATAATAGGCATCCAGTTCATTGAACTTTCAGCTGACTTCTCATGTAGCTGCAGTCATACCCTGACCCCAAGCAAACAGTGCTCCATGGTCACCAGGAAGATTTTAAAAATTTAAAAAATAGATGATAATTAGTTGTCATGGTTTGAATTTCTACACAAAATACCATCGGTTGAGTGATCTAAGTAACAGAAGTTTATGCCTCATAGACATAGGGGTTGAGTGTTTGAGACCAGGGTGCCAGCATGATCAGGTTTGATGGAGGCCCTGTTTCTGGTTTCAAACTGCCTTGTTCTTGCTCATGGCCTCACATTGTGGAGAGAGCAAATTCATCTGATTAAAAGGGCATGGTGTAGGAAAAATAAACTGTGTTCATCTATTCTCACATCACAGCCACCAACATAGAAGATTTCTGTGACCTTAAAATAAAATTAGTCTCAAAAGGTATAAAAATTGAAGTTTAAGCCAGGCATCGTGGTGCATTCTGTGACCTCTGCAGGAGGACGGCAACTTCAAACTGACCTGAGCAATTTAGTGACTTAGCAAGACCCTGTCCCAAAAGTAAAAATAAATAAGGCTTGGGAAGCAGCTCAGTGTGAAGACCCTAATTTCAATCCCCAGTACCAAAAAAAAAAAAAAAAAAGTATGTGAATAGAAGAGAAATAGACAAAGCTACCACAATAGTTAAATTTTAATGTTTGACCCTTAGGGATTTATAGGGAGAATCAGTAGCATAAGATTTTAACAGGGTCGATCCATTAATCTACAACACAATACCCAACCATTACAAAATCCTTACAAGCTTATATACAATATTTAGGGAATTATTCTTATGGGCAGTAAGAAGTTTTCAACACATTTCAAAAGTCCTGAGTGGTGCACAAGGGTATTTCCTGATACTCAAAGAGGCAGAGTCAGAGGCAGGATTGAAGGTCAAGCCCAGCCTGGGCAATTTAGGGAGACCTTGTCTCAAAATAAACAAACAGATGAAATGGACTTGATAGATAGCTCAGTAGTAGATTTGTCTAGCACACATGAGGCCCTTTGTTCAGTACTGTGCCAAAAAAATGAATAAAGCCTGATATTGTACAATATAGAGACCATGTTATACTGAGCATCCTGAGCATGAATGACTGCATGGGAAAGTAAGTGACAAAAGATATCTGTAGAAAGTTTTAAGCATACTTCTGTATAATTCATGGGTCAAATAACTTGTAATGCAGTTTAGAAAATATTTTTACCTAACTATAAGGAGAATACTGTAATACTGTGTTACAAATCTGTCAGATGCCAGTGAGAGAAATGTACTATCCAAATATTTTTATTAGAAAAGACAGCCTTAGGGTTAGGAATTTAGCTCAGTGACTCAAGCACTTGCCTGGTAAGCATGACATCTTGAGTTTAATCCCCGGTACCAAAAAAAAAAAAAAAAAAAAAAAATCAATTGACCATAAGCATAGTATTTATTTCTGGATTTTTAGTTCTTATCAAGTGATTTGTTGTAATCAAGTGATCTGCTCTTAATGCTCATAAAAGACAGCATGAAAATAAATAAGTTTAATATTCTTTGTACTAGGTTACAAAAAGAGCAAAATAAATCTAGGGAAAACAAATAAATAATAAAGAGCAGACATTAATTAAAATATACATATAATATATATAATAGAGACAATAAAGTCAAAGTTTGCTACTTTAAAAAGATTAATAAAATTGACAAATTGCTGTCTGTGATTTAAAAAGAGAACAAAGGCCCAAATGAAAAATGTTAGGACTATTAAAAGTTCTGTAGGGACCAGGGATGTGGCTCAGTAGCACAACACCTACCTGGCAAGCACAAGGTCCTGAGTTTGATTCCTGGTTCTGGAAAAAAAAAAAAGGTTCTATAACCTAGATCCTACAGGCATTTAAAAGATGAAAGCCAAGCTGGGATATACCTCCGTGGTGGAGTCCTTGCTTGCCTAGTATCAAGGGGTTTTGGGTTCTATTCCTGTCACCACATACATACAAAGAAAAAAAAATTTTGTGTAACTTCATGCTAATACAGTTGAAAAAACAGATTAAACCAAAATCCCTAAAAAACACAGCTTCCCCAAACTTTCCACCTCTACCTCTTAAAGCTACAACCAATTGCATGAGCCCACCCACACCATGGAAAGCATCTGTTCTGCTCAAGATCCAGATCCAGATGTTAATCTCATCCATAAAATACCTTCACAGAAACATCTACAGTAAACATTTAAGTACTGTGGCCTGGCCAAATTGACACTTTCATTTTAGGTCATTTGAAAAATAGATATAAATTTAATTAGTGAGAAAAATACCATCTTGAACATTCTTACAAAAATGACACTATAGAATAATTTTCATGTAGGGTTGTAATGTGCTTGATAATATGTATTTTCCATTTTTGAATGACAACATAAGCAGTGGTAATTTTATATGATGATATGATTAGAGACCTGTTTCTTAATGCCAATAGTAGAACTAATTTTAAAAATGAGTAACTCTTACTTGTGGAATCTAGATACAAAATTCATTATATACTGACCACAGCAATAAATATTGTGTTTGGCAAATGTGCTGCTTTCAGGAATCAAAACATTTCACTGTTTTAAGAGCCAGGGATTTAGCTCAGTGGCATTAGAGCCTGCCTGGCAAACATGAGTTTCAACCCCAGTACCAAAAATAAAACAAAACAAAAACAAAGAAAACATTTCACTGTTTAGTACAACAGTTTCCAGGTCCATTAATGGTTGAAATTGCTTTAAACCTAAAGGCTTATGAATATGATAAATAATTACTGTTATCTCTGAATGAGGTCCAGACTGATGCTAAGATCTGGACTAGAATCAAGATACTTTCAGGAGTAGAAGTTAGGGTGTATTCAGAAAAGATTGCGTTTTGCTTGGTAAACAACAGTCTTGAATTACTTTCACTAATGAGTTCATACTTTTGAGGATTGGTATACTGAAAAAATTAAAGTAAGTTTGTATTTCAGAATTTTAATATTTAAGATAGTTTTTAAAAACTGCCATGATCCATCTTGAGTCATACGGGTACTAACTGGTCAGATAACAAAAGTCTGATGAGCTGTAACCTTAAAAAGATCTGTTTTTTAAAACTTTCAATTAATGGAGTAGTTCACAACAGCTGACCCATGTTACTTAAGGGTGCAAATAACAAGGGACACTCACCTCTTTAAAGAGCACAGAAACAGACTCCTGTTCCCCAGAGACATAGCAGTTGCACCATCTTAAAGAAAAAAAGGTTTTGCGTTCTCTAGAATAATCCTTTTCCTGGGCCATATGTTAAATAAAGGTGGTGCAGGTCAGGTTAGCCCTGACAATTTCAGTTAACTGTGGAAAAAAATGAACCTCCAGGTACAGTGCTAAGTTCACAAACTTAATTTGTTTCACAATTTGGTAAAAGATGGCCATATTTGTGTTTGTGCAGGAGAGATGGTTGCAATTGTGTTTATCATCTGATGTTGAGTTTGCAAAAAGCAAAATTTTGCCAGATGCTTTTGTTGGTGACTTAGTTTGCAAACAGATGTGTTTGCGAACAGAGTTACAGGTGTTATTTTGAGTGCTTCTGCCATGCTTTCCAGTGCCTCCTTTCCCATTTGTTTGTTTCTTTCTCTGCACTATCAGGAAGTGCTACCTTCAGAGGGCCAGCTCAGCTCAGTGTGATATCAGCCTGGGGGAGATGAGCAGGACCAGTGCCCACCACAGTGAGTACATTCAAAACACAATACTTAAAATCCTCTATGTGTGGGCTAGGGATTTAGCTCAGTGGCATAAGCACCTGCCTGGCAAGTGTGAGGCAGTGAATTTGATCCCTAGTACAAGAAACAAAACAAAACAAAACCCCACTGTGTGGTTCTTGTTCCACATAAGGATTTTAATGTGGGTATGTTCAGAAAAATTACGCTTTTTCCCATGGCTTTTGTCCTAGCACCATTTTCACATGAAGACAGATAGATTGATTTTTTTTTTTAAAAAATAGGATCTTGCTGGCTTTGAACTCATGCTGGCCTTGAACTTAGGGCAATCCTCATGCCTCAGCCTCCCATGTGCTGGAATTACATGTGTGTGTTACCATGCCTGGTGAAGATAAATTTTTTATTAGTATTATGACACAGACCAATTAGTATTATGACATATGTTTTTCCAAAAGAAAATAAGGTTATTTCATGTTTTTAGCTATAATGTACTGCACAACTATCAGGGACTGGTTTCCAAAAGTATTTTGAAGTAGACTGGTGTATGGAGGGAAGTAGTTTTATCTGTAGGGTAAGCAAACCTTTGGGAATTTTGTAGACAAATTAATGGGGTTTTTTTGTTTGTTTGTTTATCTTTTTGTCTTTTTTCCTTTTTATTGGTACCAGGGATCGAACTCACGACTGTCTGCTTTCAAGGCAGGCGCTTATGCCACTGAGCTAAATCCCCAGCCCCCAAATTAATGTTTTTAAATGGTTTTGAGACTTCTGCTTCTGACTAAAGTGGAAGAGCAGGCACTGAATTTATTTCTTCTTACTTGAAATGATAAAAAATTGACAAAAGAATGAGCCTGAGAGATGGAAAAGACATGAAGTGAGCCTAAGACTGCCTTTTGTTACTGCCTTAACTGACTTGCAGGCTGCAGCACAGGGTAAATATGTAAACTGAGCTTGGCAGAACACCCAGACTGAGAAGATAGACCTGAGAGTCATGTGAAAGTATTAAAGGCACCCAGAACTCACACCAGAGAAAGCATCTCCTCCTACTCATCAAAGTAAAAACCTCTCAATATTCATAGGACATGAGGGATAATACATAAGAGGGTGTTTCCCAGTAGTGTAGATGATTAGTCCTATGTTAAGGGTTGCTTCAGCCCAGTTTACAAAATTAAAAGCAGGAAGAGACAGAAACAAACTGTTTCCAAGTAACTCCCTCTCAGATCAGAGGATAATGTTACAAAAAGTATCCAGTACTCAACAGGAAAAATTCATAGTCTCACATTCAATAAAAAAATAAGGAACCTGCAAAGAAGCAAGAAATCTGTTTAAAATGAAAAACAATACCATGAAATTCAAACAGATATTAGAATCGAACTAAAGACTGACTCTCTAAAGAGAACAAAGTCTGTCAGCAAACTCCTGATTTTATCCATAACCAGGCCATAACCTGTTCCTCAGCAGGTTGCCTGTGACTTGGCCTGCAGCTCTCGGATCTCTATCCTCAACAGACCTTAGACTTCCCATACTACCACAGTTGAACTGGTCAGTTCCATAAAATAAACATGCACATCCTATCGGTTGTTTCTCTGGAGAACTGTTAACATACACACTTAACTATTAATAGTGCTCTGAGAAGAAACAGACCCACAGTTATAATCAGAGATTGCAATATCTTTCTCTTAATGATGAGTAAAACAGATTTTTTTTTTTAATACTGTGGATGGAACTCATGACCGTGCTTGAAAGGCAGGTGCTTATGCCACTGAGCTAAATCCCCAGTCTCAGGGAGATTTTTTTTTTTTTTTTACAAATGAAGATATACTAAATTTTAACAATACACAGCCACATCAAGCAGTCAAACACTGTAAAACACTCTGCCCCAACAATAGCATGCACTCATATATTTATCATTATAAACAATATACTGACCTATAATAACACATCTCAACATATTTTAAAGGATTCAATTTATATAAAGTTGCTCTCTGACTATAATGGATTTACTTAAGAAACCAATAATATCCCTGGAAACATCCTCAAATGTTTGGAAACTGATTAACACAGCTAAATAAAAAATCTAAGGGGAGATTAAAAAGCCTTTGGAACCAAATAAAAATGAAAGAATACCTTATCAAAATTTTTAGCACAGTGCAAGAACAGCAATTGGAGGAAATTTCGAACAGTAAATGTCTAGAAGTATTTTGAAATGATGGTCTCATCTTCTATCTGAAACAATGATGGTCTCAATTTCTATCTGAAAAACTTATGAAAAAAATCCAAGGTAAGCAGAAAGACATAAAGGCTGGTATGGGAATCACTAAGATAGGAAACGAAAGAACAATATAGACAAGAAAGTACTAACACCAAACACTGGTTCTTTGAAATCATTAAAATTTGTAAATCCCTTAGCATACTGATTGGATCAAAAGTAAAGATATAAATTAACAACATCAAGAATAAGTCAGACATAATTAAAATTAGAAATTCCATACCACTCAGCTATTCCTCTGCTAGGTATCTTCCTCAAAGAGCTTAAATGGGGAGGGTTCAACATGGCTGAATAGAGAAGGAACCACGTTGGAGTTGCTCACAGAAAATCATCTAAAAACACAGGTAATTGGAAGAAAGGGAGGGACATGTATCTCGACGCCAAAATCAATCTGAAACAATAGATTTGGAGATCAAACAAAACAAAGGCATAAGAGAAGAAACCACCATTCTGGGAAGTTCCCGTGAAGCTGATGGACTGCAATAGTATGGCAAACCTAAGTCACACAGGATAAATTTGGAATATAAGACCCCTCACTTCTTTTGCTTTCCTCCAAACAATGTATACTGCAGCCTGGCAACAAATTTTGCTGGCATACATATGGGTAATGACCAAAAAGCTGGTCTCTCACTGGCTGGCTGCTAGTTTTTTGTTTTGTTTGTTGTTGCTTTTTTGTCATGCACCATAGCAGCTAACTGAAACTTCTGGCAACAGAGTTAGAGACTGGAGCTATGGCAGTGAAGGTAGTGAGTAGAGCAGTACCACCTCTCCTGCCCCACTCCCAGAAGCATGAGGGATGTGGACTTCAACAGTCTTAAGTCACTGGGGCAATGAGTAGGAGGTTAGCACTCCCCTCAATGTAGAGTTGGCCGACAGCAAGCCCCCCCCAACACACCACCCCACCCCACCCCTATCCTGCCACCAGTAGTGCAAGAAAAGTGACACACCAGCAGTGTAGAATGGAGGAGGCTGTGCAAGGGCTGGAAGGAGCTGACTGTACACAGCACTGGGAGCAGTCTTGGGTTATCTCTGTCCAAGGCCACCACAGCAGCTGGGAGAGCTGTGCAGACCACCACAGGACATACAGAAGATTGCTAGGTAAAGACTCTGGCCCCAGTGCCCACATCTGGAGGCTGAGATCAGTCTCACACCCAGCACTAATCCTACTGGACTTGGCACCTGGCAGAGATTTGGGCTCAAACTTGGAAACTGTCACAGAACTGAGGCCACCAGAGGAATTTTATTATTGTTGTTTTGTTTCCCTTTGTCTTTTTTTATGGCTTAGGATTTTATTTTGTTTTCATCTTTTTTCTCTCTTTACTCCACTGCCTTTCTTGATTTTTTAGTATTTTCATATCAATATTGTCTCTAGTCTTTCTGCTTCACTTAAATATTCTTTTGGTTTCTCCATTCTTTCTGTTCTGTCATCTTCTCCAGTTTCTCAAAGCTTGGATGATCATCCTTTGGCTTCAGCTTTGCTTCTACTGTATTTTTCTTCACTTATCTCTTGTTTTTCCCCTTTCCTTCTTAAATTTCCCTCACACAGGGTAAAATCACTCTACTGAGAAATCTCACAGCATATAAGTTCCAGGTTTATATAGGATGTTGTTATATAATAGTAGATCTTGCTCCTATGGTTAAAGATACCAAATTCATAACACAGTATCAGTTTCTAGGCTGTGCTTGATGATATTATTTTGCTAATTGTAATACTTTAGCCAGCTTATACCTGTTGTAATCAGTTGTTCTCCCTTGTATGACAGCACTGTTACTGTCTAAGGTCATAATCATCATCATGGTCCAGTATCAAAGGACTGGGTGCTAAGCCAAATACAGAGGAATTTTTCATCTCTAATAAAATGGGAAGATAGGATCTTGAGACACATACAAAGGCCAAGAACTAACCATGGCTAGGAGACATCTCTGGGAAAGAGACATTTCCAGGAAGCCTCCATGCTAGTGATAAAAGCTACCTACCATAAGCAACTTATAGGCATCAACACAGAAAAAAATTTTAAAAACAGAAAATTACAAGATAGAGAAGCAAAATGCAACCCAAGATTTGCAGTTCATCTAGAACAAATCCAGGGGAAAATGAAAGGAAATCAGGCCACCCATCTGAATTTTCTGGAATAGTAGCAGTGGGGAAAAAATAGAATATCAACAAAATCAGATAAAAATAATCTCTCAGGTTAAAAAATGAGATGTGATCAAAATGAAGGACTTGCTTAGTGAATTTAGCATAGACACAGATAAAAAATATAGGAGCTTAGGAACATAATAGAAATCATGCACACCCAGCATACAAAAGAAATGGAATCCATGAAACAGATTCAGACAGACACCAGGGGATTAAAAATTCCACTGAAGGTATACACAGCCAGTTGAACCAATTGTGAAGACAAGACTATCAGCTCTAGGAGACAGGATTATGGTTAACAATTTCAAAAAGGAAGATTTCCTAAAAGTAGTAAGACCCATGAAATGTTAGTCCAACAACTTCAAGATAATATAAAGAACAATATAAGATTGATTGGAGTCAGTGAGAAAGCAGGAGATAGTACAGATGACAAAAAAACGTTTACAGAAGTCATGGCAGAAAACTTCCCAAGCATGGAAAATGAATCTGACATAAGTGAGGCATAGAGACTCCAATTAACTATAACCAAAATAAATCTACACCAATGGATATAATAATCAAAATTGCAGAAACTCAGCATAAGAACAATATTAAAGCTGTTAAAGAAACAGAAGTTCTATAAAGAAAAGAATCACATCAGAATCACAACAGAATTCTCAACACAAGCACTCATGTCAAAGAAAGACTGAAGTATTTTCAAATCTTGAAAGAAAACAACCTCCAACCCAGAATGATGTACCATGTGCACCCTGCAAAACTGTCTTTCAAAATCAATGGAGAAATAAGATACTTAAATGATAAAGAAGAACTGAAGAAATTGATGACTGTGAAACAAGCTCTGCAAAATGTTGTGAAAATATTTTAGAGAAAGATAAAATCACAATTCTAAGAACACCAACAGAAGGTATGAGGCAAAGCAAGCAGTAAACAGAGGGGAAAGACAGGGAACCAATGACAGGAAAATAATATGACAAAAGGTAAATCAGTATATACTAGTTATAATAGTCAATATAAATGGCACAAATCCACCAATCATAAGAAACAAGACTGTCAGAATCAAGAAACAGGATCCAATAATATGCTGTGTACAAAAACAGACAAAACCATTTATCTCAAAAACTCATAGACAGAAAGTCAAAGAATAGAAACCAATATTTCATGGAAAGCTATGTGGGAGGGAGGAAAACCATGAGCCAGCAGGGGTGTGGGCTGGGAGACAAGACACCCTCCCGCTATAAGCAACCAGCTGTTCAGAGGAACACAGACTAAGATGATAGCAAGTGAAATAAACAAACAACTTAATGCTTTAATTGTCTGATTGACTTTGCAGGCATAAAGCTGGTAGTCTCAGCATCTCTTTAGAGGTTAACTGTATGCAACACCACAACTAGCGGGAGTTTTACTCTATCTTGTTTTAGAAATCTAATATTGTTCTCACTGTTGTATTTTGTTCCATTTTATTTTATTTCCTTTAAAATTAAAAAAAAACTTCATGACAGGAACCCATAAAAAAGCAGGTGTAGCTATTTTACTTGCAGACAAAGTAAACTTCAAGACTGATCAAAAGAGACAAAGAATGTCAGTACATACCTGGTTAAAGGAAAACTCCAAGAAGAAAAACTATCATAAATATGTACCAAATACCAGTGCACTCAACTACCTAAAACAAGTATTATCATGCATGAAAAATCAAATATACACTGTCACAATCGTAATAGAAAACCTTAATACCCTACTGTCACAAATACACAGATCAACTAGACAAATCAATCAAATAACAGAACTGAACCAAACCTGTGAACAAATGCACATAGTAGATGTCTATAGGGTGATCCACCCCACAACACTGGAATACACATTCTTCTCAGCTGCACATGGGAGGTTCTCCAAAACAGACCACATCCTAGATTATATATCATGCTTAAGTGAATGCAAAGAATTTGAAATTATTCTATGCATATTATCAGATCATAGTGCAATACAATTGGAAATCAGTGGCAAAAGAAACTAACCTTCATAAACACATGGAGACACCTTCCTGAACAATCAAAGGATCATGGATAAAATTAAAGAAGAAATTAGACAGCTTTTATAATTAAATTATAATGTCAGTACAACATACTGGAATTTATGGAACACAATGAAAACAGTCCTATGAGAGAAAATTATAGTAATGAACTCTCACATCAGAAAAAGTGAGCTCAAACAACTTTTTTTCCTTTTTGAGACAGACTTTAACTATATGGTTTAGGCTGGCCTTGAACTCACTTTGTAGCCCAAGCTGGCATCAAACTTACAGTGATCCTCTTGTCTCAGTCTCCTCAGTGCTGAGATTACAGCCATGCACTACCAGGCCCAGCGTCAAACACGCTAATCTTAAGCCTCAAACCTCTAGGAAAAAAAAAGAACAAGCCCAAAACTCTTACCAAAGATAAAGACTGGAACCCAAATTAATGCAGTTGAGAGAAAGAAAACAATACAAATAATCAATGAATTGACTTTGTTCTTTGAAAGATTAAATTAAATTGATAATCCCTTAACCAACCTTACCAAAATAAAGGAAAGAAAAGACTCAAACTATGGAAATAAGAATGAAAAAGGTGAAATCACAAGAGATCCTATAGAAATCCAGAAGATCATCAATATGCACTTTGAGAACCTGTATTCTAGTAAGATGGAAAACACAGAAAAAATGGACAGATTCCTAGATATATACAAATTATCAAAACTGAATCAAGAAGATGTAAAAATTCTAAGTAACCCAGTATCTTTCAGTGAAGTTCAAGATGTAATTAAAAACTTACCAACAAAGAAAAGCCCAGGTCCTGATGGAGTCAATGCTGAAAACTACAATAAATTTAGAGAAGACATAATGCTTCTATTTCTCTGACCTTTTAATGAAATTGAAAAGTAAGAAATACTCTCAAACTCATTCCTGGAAGCAAGCATTACCCTGTTACAACTAGGATTCATCCCAGCAATGCAGGGATGGTTTGACATATGCAAATCAATAAATGTTACAAACTATATCAGCAGAGCCAAGGATAAAAAAAAATCACAAGATCATTTCAATAGAAGCAGACAACGTCTAATACCCATTCATGATAAAAAATTATCCTACAGAAAACTGGAATAGATAGCAACAGCCATTATCAGACTAAATGGTCAGAAACTGGAAGTTTTCTCTCTAAAATCAGGAACAAGACAAGGATGTCCACTATCACCAACTCTTACTTAATAGTGTTAGAAACATTATCCAGAGCATTCAGACAAGAGAAAGAAATAAAAGGAATAAGTATAGGAAAGGAAGAACTTAAATTATCATTATTTACAGATTATATTATACTTTACATAGAAAACCCCAAAAACTCCACTAAAAGACTTCTAGATTTAATAACCAAATTGTGTAGCTGAATACAAAGTAAACACTCAAAAATCCATAAAATTCCTGCACACAAATAACTCACTGAGAGACAAATTAGGGAAACCATACCTTTCACAGTAGCATAAAAAAAAGAAATAGGAATAAGTCTAACAAAGGAAGTTAAAAGATCTTTACATTGAAAACTACAGTACTCTGGAAAAGAAGATTGAAAATGATATCAGACAATGGAAAGATATCCTTTGTTCTTGGGTAGGTGGAACACAGTGAAAATGGCTATACTCCCAAAATTGTTGTACAAATGTAATGCACTGTCACTCACAATACCAGTAACATATCTCACAGAATTAGAAAAAAATATCCTAAATTGCATTTGGAACCAGAAGAGACCTAGAACAGAAAAGAGAGAGAGACAGAGACAGAGAGAGAGAGAGATAGAGAGAGAGACAGAGAGAAAGAGAGAAAATTCTGGCCAACAAAAGGCAGGGAACATTACAATCACAAACTTGAAATTATATTATAAAGCTACTATAATAAAAATAACATGGTACTGGCAAAAAAATAAATATGGACCTGAGGATCAATGGAACAGATCAGAATAGAAAAACAAAAACAAACAAAAACACCACACTCAGACACCTTATTTTTGACAAAGGGGCCAAACATTTTTATTAGAAGAAAGATAGCCTCTTTAATAAATGGTGCCAGAGGGGCTGGGGGTTTAGCTCAGCAGCATTAAGTGCCTGCTTGGCAAACACAAGGTTGTGAGTTTGATCTCTGGAACCAAAAATAAATAAATAAATGGTGCCAGAAAAACTAACTTTCAACATGCCAAAAACTAAAACCTGACCCATGTCTCTCACCATGCACTAAACTAAAATAGAAATGGATTAGATCTAAAGGTTAAAACAGAAACCATAAATCTGCTGGGAGAATAGATAGAACTCTTCAGAGGTAGAACTCTTCATAGGTAGAACTGTTCAAGAAATAGGTGTAGGCAAAGTCTTTGTGAACATAACTCTGATCACATGGAAATATTACAAAGACCCAACAATGGAATGTCATTTTATTATAAAGATTTTACACAGCAAAGGAAATCATCAACAGAGTGGAGACCCATAAAATTTTTTGCCAGCCATTCCTCAAAGGACTAGTGAATGTTAGAACTCAAAAAACAAAGCAACAACACAAAAACTAAAAAACCCAGACCGTCCAAATTTGAAGAATCAAATGGGCATCTGAAATAAATACATACTTCTTAGATGAAGCTGTAGAAACAGCAAGTTATTATATGAAAAAATGTTCAACACTAGTCATTTCACAGATGTAACTTAAACAATGCTGATGTTTCATCTCCAGAAACAATGGCCATTATCAAGAAGTCAACAACAAATGCAGGAGGGACTCTAGGGAAAACCGAACCTTTCTCTACTGTTGGCAGGAATGGAGACTGGTACAATCACTGTGGAAAGCAGTGTGAAGATTCCTTAAAAAACTAGGATTGGAGGTCCCATTTGACCCAACTATTTCCCTGCTGGGTATCTTCCCACAGGAATTAAAAACATAAAACACCACAACAATGTATGTATACCTAATGTTTATAATGGTACAGTTTATAATAGCCAAATCTTCAAAACAGTCCATATGCCCATGAACCAATTAATGGACAAAGAAGACATACTAATAAAATTAAATTAAAAAATAAGTCAGGTGACATTGCTACCAGTACTATACACGTCAAAAAAAAAATAAGGGAAGAATTCAACATTTGAGATTAAATACACAAATTATTTGAAGATAAAGTACCAAAGAACTCTCAGAGAATTAACTTGAATAGGCTCATAACCATTAAAGAATTGAAATGTTCATGTAGAAACTTTCCTAAAAAGATAATTCTAGGCCTAAATGGCATAGTTGGTGACTTCTGCCAAACATTCAAGGAAGAAATAACTTCTATACAAACTCTTCCAAAAAAGGTGAATACTGATAGGATTATTTCCAAAAGATGAAAAATATTTCCAAAAGATGAGAAGTATAAAACAAAAGAGGCCTTTATTCTGAGAACACGGAGAGAGATGACTGGCACGCCGGCCGCTGAAATCTGGTGATCTTTCTCACAGACACGTGGCGAGGGGGAATATAAGTAGCCTAAGCTTAGGGCAGTGCCCTAGGGCCATTAGAGATGCACAGGTATTTCATTGGCACACGTTTGGCACCAGGAGCAGATTCCAAAGGGTGTAAATCTCTAGGGGCAGGGGAGACAGGAGCTCCCTAATTCCGGCTGAGGCTTTTTCTGGCTACAGTGTCCTGTCTGGGTCAACCACCCTTTAAAATACATCCTATGATAACAGCTAACTAGTAGTTGAACAACGTTGCAAAAATAGTACGTGGGTATTTAAAAATTAGTCATGGTTTATATAAAACATATCCAATTACAAGTGGATATGGAAAATAAAAAAACCAGTGTCATCTGCAATAGTACCTCAAAGTACATAGGAATACATCTACCAGAAAATGTGAAAGCCCTACACCATGAAATTTGTAAAGCACTATTAACAGAAATAAAGACTTAACTAGATGGAGGCATGTGCTATGTGAATGCATTTGGAATATCCAGTATTCAGTCTGTTCTCCAAAGTGGTACCATCCCAGGCAAAATCCCAGCAGGTGTTTCTGTGGCATTCCACAAACTGACTCTAAAATTCCTCTGGAAATGCAAAAGCCCTGGAATAATGAAAAATTTGAAGCATAAAAATTGAAAACCTCAACCTGTGATTTCCCAGCATATGTAACATGTATGAACCTCAGAGACTTTGTGAAATAAGCTAGACATAAAGTATAAGTATTTTATGATAAACTATTTTGAGGTACCTAGAATACCAAATGCACAGAGATAGAAAAACAGAACAGTGATAACAAGGGGCTGGGTGGAGAATAATGGATTTACTGCTTAATAGTGTTCAGGAGAGGTAGTGCTGATGGTAGCATAGTGTTATTTTACTTAATTCCATTGCACTTAAAAATGATAAATTTTGTTACATATGGTTCGCCACAATGTCAGCCACACTGATAGATGCCGTATCAGGTGAAGCACTGAACTTTTAATGTGCTCAGAGTGGTCACTTAAATTATCAAATAAACTGAGATAATCTATTTGCTGTTATTTATAATTGAGTTGGAAGCATGTATTTTTACAGTTTGGGAAGTTTGCTGGTCTTTACTGTATTCGTAGTCATAACATTAATGTGTTAGCACATTAATGCGTAAAGTACTTGGTGACAAAATACTCAGTGAAAAAGTTCTCAAGACTGACTGAAAATCTTTCCTGATCATGTTAATTGGAAAGGTCAACACAGACCAGGAACTCTGTGACCTAACAGGAAGTCTGTCTTCCAAGCTTGTAGGAAGGAGTGTCCTGCCATAAAGCCTCAAATTCACATGCATCTGTGCTTGTAACTTAGTAGCATTTCTCTTGATTTTTCTCTTCTCAGAATATCTAATGGGATGGTAAAAATGCTGATTTTTTTAGAAACCATGTTCAAACCATAGACCTCTTCCTGTTTATAAAGACACATTTATAAAAATATAGGAAATGACCTTACAGACTTTCATTTGTAAGTATATTCTAGTTAAACTTGGTAAAGAGTTTTAGAATTTAATAATGTTTTGGTAATAGGAACTGGGCCCAGGGCCTTCATGCTGAGCTACATCCAAGTCACATATGAGACAGTGAGTGCCTCACCAAGTTGCCCAGGCCCAGATTCTCCTGCTTCACTCTTCAGTGCTGAGATTACATGTGTACACCAGCATATCTGGATATTTTTTAATGGAGGAAAATGATTTTTCATAAAAATAGTTAAAACCCCAGGGTAAAGTGAATATTGGGCTTAACTCACTTGACCAAATGTTTTTTCAAAGTCAGACAATCTCAGCCAATAGTTCTAAAGCCATAATTGTAATGGTAAAAGGAGTACCTTTTACCAAACGTGACACGGTCATGAAAATAAGTTAGCATCTCAGCTAAAGAGAACTGATTACAGAAATTGGGACTTGCTAAATATCAGCTTATATTTAATTAGGAAAATCACAGCATAAATACGTTAAAACTTATTCACAAATGGCATTCTTCCACCAAAATTTCTCCTGCTACCACTATTAAGTGGTATTTCTGTCTATCAGCTGCCCTCTGATAGGTGTGTTGATGTCGCCTCCTGTACTCCTCCCAGCAAATCTCCAGGTAATCTTCCCAACTTATTCATAAAGAGGACCCTAGCCTAGAGACCTATCATACACTTACATTGTTGTTTTCCATTTTGTGTGTATGGGGTGGGGGTGCACAAGGATTTGAATCCAGGATCTTTGTACTAAGCTACATCCAAAGCCTGTTACGAGACAGTATCTTCCTAAGTCACTGTGTTGCTCAGGCTAGACTAGAACTTTCAGTCTTCCTGACACAGCCTCAAGTGCTGGGATTACAGAGCATGTACCACATGTGACTCGTCTCTCAACTGAAATAATGCCTTTGTGCCATAAATACAAGTAGAAAACAATAATACTAAAGTCATGAACATTGTCCCTGCATGTGCCAGGTACTGCACCTCATGTTTCAAATCCATCAGCTCATGATCGTAGCTACTGTATAAGGCAGGTGTGCAAATTTCACTATAGAGCAAGAGACTTAAAGAGAATAAAATCAGGCATCTGAAAGGTGCAGAACAAGTATTTAAACCCAATTCCATGTTTTTATCACTTACCCTACACTGGTTTGACCAGAACCTCAGTACTCACTGACTAATCTTTGTGTACCTGAAGCAGCCTCAGTTAAGACTTTCAGAGTCCTAGTGTTTCTCTGAATATTTCCTTGTTACTCATTCTAGTTCAACTGACCTTTGTAATTTACATATCTCAGGAAGCTCACTAGGCCTGTTAGAACTTTTGAGTGACAAACAGGCAGAAAGGAAAAGCCGAAGCAGGGAACTTGTAGGGGAGTAGAATGGAGACAGTGACACAGTTCTGCTCTGGGAAAGGTGGCAACAGCTTGAACTCTTGGATAGTCTAGTTAATTGAACTCTTTTTTAATTACAGCCAGAAGCTGTGGGCTTATGTATGTGCATAGAATAACACAGTGCAGGAAGATGTGTGGATGAAGAGAAATTGAGAGGAGCTCATTTCCCATAGGTCATGGAGAACTGACATGTCTGTGAACTGCAGCATGCTTTCATCTTACAAAGGCAGAAAAATAGCTCAGGTAAAATAAGTGAAAAAAAATTAATCCTTCTTTCAACGTAAGAATGTTCTGGTGAACATTGCGCCATGAGGCAGCCTGTTCTGCTGATTGGTGCACATCTGCTTCTACCAGGTGGGGACTGGTGCTACCCAGGGAGCAGGGAGTCCACTGTGTCCCTGCAGATGAATATGGTGAAGCCTTAAGAGCCAACCTGCCCATAGCTTGGAGAGAAAGAACACAGGGTGATCTTAGGAAAAAGATGTAAATCCTTTATATGCAACTAGAGCTGCTTCAAGTTGTTTGGAAAGCTACAAGTGCAGATGCAGCAGTTGTTCAGCCATTTACTGGGCAACAGAAAAAAATGACAGATTTTAATAAGTTTTTCAATACTGACAGATACATTTTAATACTGATAAAATGGCATCTTGCTAAATAGTATATTAAGAAACTGATTTCAAAGATCTGTATCTCAAGAAACATAAACCTCAAAGTTTAATGTTGGAAAAGATGGATTAATTCTCCCTGAAAATACCAGTGGAAATATTTAGGAATTTTATTCTTACTATACATTACTAAATTCCAAGCCTATTTTCCTGATTAGCTCTGTAATTTTTAGTGCATGATTTTGAAGAATGTAGTTTTCATCAATTAGGAGGCAACATGAATTGTTTAGGTCAAAATAATTTTGCATTTTTCCACCTAAATTGCACTGACTCTTAATAGGAAAAAAGCAGTAACTTTTTTATTTCTGGAACCAGAAATGAAACTCAGAACCTTGCACTTGCCAGGTAGGCAACCATGTTGAGCTATACCCCCAGCCCTAGCACGCCTTTGGAAGTGTGAAAACACAACCTTGTAGCAGTCTGAAAGGGTTATAGTGGTCTCATCACAAGAGTTGTAAGGTTGAAACAAAGGCACAAAAGCTGACCAAAGGCAATAGGCCATCCCCAAATCACATCTTTTCAGAACTGGTGAACACATTAGCTTTTGTACAACTGCCTGCCATATGAAGGATGGGTGGATGAGTGGATGAATGGATGGGTGAATTTGTCACTAACATTTGATTCCTAGTGACACTCACCCATCGTGTGTTAATATGGATGAATGTGAGGCCCCAAGACAGATAAAAACAAGTTTTTAAATTAAAGCTTTAGTTTTATAGTTACAATTAGTTTTGACTTAACCATAGTTCAACTTCATTTTTCTACTTTACCGAGGTGCAGAAGTGATACGTATTCACTGGAAACTGCATGTTGAATTCTGATTTTTCCAAGGTAGCATTGTAAGATGCAATCATGTGGTACTAGCCAGAAAACTACACTCTACTCTGTGAGCCACAAAAGCCAGAGTAGATGCTGATGGCTCTAGTGCCATGTAGCCACACTATGACATTTGGTAGTTGTAGAGTGCATTTTTGACTTAACGATATTTTCTACTGAAGTCTATCGTGATATGATGCCACTGAGGAGTAGTTGCCGTGTTCCCCCTCCAGCTTGTCAGTAAATACACTGTACCAAATTAACAAGCACTTTTGTTAGTTCTTCTTTTGAGTGTAATTTATGAACTTTGACAAGTGCATATCACATTATCCACTTACAGCAGCACATACAACAGTTCTGCTGCCCTAAAAATCCTGCACTGTGTTTATTCTTCTACCCATGGCAACCACTGTCTTTGCTTTGCTTTTGCACTTAGCAATATGCAGTTAAGATTCCCTCTTGCAGCTGGACACCTTTTTAAAAAATGATATAAAACTTTTTTCATAGTAAAAACATTTTTATTGTGGAAAGATGCTTTTTAACCACTTAGTACAGTTCAATAAAGTACACTCACTTTGTGAGCAGCCACTGCCACAATTAATGTCCAGAGGTTTTTCATGATCCTCTACTGAATCTTTGTACACTTCAAAATACTGCTATTTTTAATGCCAGCCCCAAAAGAAAGTAGTCAGTTTTTTTGGTCATGAATTTTGTGGAGCCTAAAGTAAATGGTATCATACACTGTCTTTTTGTAAGTAGCTTCTTTCAGCATGACCTCAAGGTTCACACACATGTGCATCAGAATTCAATTTCATTTACTGGCCAAATACTCTTTTGTACAGATATATTGCATCTTGTCCATGCATCTATGTATGTACTTATTTCCAGTTTTCACTCCTGTGAAAATTGCTGCAGTGAGGTATATAAGTATGCCTCAGGCTTCTGCTTTTTCTTCAAGTGTCAGAACTGGAAGTTGAATTATGCGATTAAATGACTTCATGTTTTACTTAGAAACTATTATATCCCATAAAACCTGTACCACTTTACAGTTTCACCAGCAGTGCTCAAGAGGGGCAATTTTTTCCTATTCCTGCCAGCTTTGTATTAGGGCAGGGAACAGAGAGGTGTTATTTCATTGTGGTTCTGATGTGCATTCTTTTGATTACTGCTGTTGGCCATCTTTCACCTGCTCAGTAGTCATGTATCATCTCTGGGTTTCAAGTTCTCTGCCACTGGGGGAGGGGGTACCAGGATTCAAACTCGGGACTTTGCACTTGCCGGGCAGGTGCTATGCCATCTCAGGCTCTTTCTGCCATTTTTACCCCAGGTTCTGTGTTGCTGTTAGACTTTTGACCCAAATGTACTGTGGGTATTAAATCCTTATATATGAATCACAACTTTTTCCATTTTGAGGACTTGTTACACTGTTATAGAATCCTCTCATACACAAAATTTAGTTTTGGTAAAGACTAAAATCTACTTTTGTTACCTACAAATCCAAGAAAGCATCATGAAGTTCAACATCCTTTAATTTTTCATTTTCTTCTAAGAGTTTTATTGTTTTAATGCCTGCATTTAGACTTTTGATCCATCTTATTTTTGGTATATATTAGACTAGGCCATAACTTCATTAGCACATGACTTCATCAGCACCACTTGTTTTAAAAAAACTGTCCTTTTCTCATTGAAAATAACCTAGGTGTTTTTGCTAGCCTTTTTTAGGCTATTCAACTTCATTGGTTTGTCAGTCTGTGTGCAACAATCAGTTTTGAACTCAGGTTTGAGTTTTCCAGTTTTTTAAATTCAAGATTGACTTGACTATTGAGTGTCCTGATTACATCTGAACTTCAGGATGCAGTTTTCTATTTCTGCAAAAGAAATCCACGGGGATTTTGAGCGATTACACTGAACCTGTAGATTGCTTTCATTACAAATGACATCTTGGATGTAAATGTCTTTAACTCCTTTCATCTGTGTTTTGTAGTTTTCACTGTGTGCAAATTCTTAGATATTTAATACTCGGTACTAAATAGAATTGAGTTTCCTTTTCAGCTTGTTCATCAATGTATAGAAATGCTACCAATTTTGTCTTTGTATCCTTTTGTGAATTCAGTTATTGACTGAAACAGTCTTTTTGCAGCCATCTTTAGTTTTCTACCTATACGTAAGAATATGTAGACTGAGATGGGAACACCTGGCTGTAATCCCAACTTTGGAGGGTGAGGCAACAGGATTTTTAGCTTTCGGCCTCTCACTGCCGTGAGATTTTCAGCATGGCTTTTATTGTTTTTACATAATTTATTCTATTTTTTGAGTTTTTAATCACAAGTGTACTGAATTTTATCGTTTTTCCTGTCGGTTGAGGTGCTATAGGTCCCAACCTTTAATGTATATACTATAGTGAACCATTTTATTATGCTGATACCAGTCTTGCATTCTAGAAATATTATGATCCCATTTGTTCAGTGTACAATATGCTGCAGAGCTGTTTACTAGTGTCTAAGAACTTTTGCATCAGTATTCATAAGGGACACTGGTTTACACTGCAGTCTCCCTGTATATATGGGGGGGGGTATACCCCAAAAAGCTCAGCAGATGTTTGAAATGTGGACAGTACCAAAACCTATATATATTGGCTTTTCCTATGTAGCTGTGCACAACTTCAATCAACAGACCATACAATGTGATAAGCCAGTGATGTCATAACTATCTTAGTTTGTGTGAATATACTCTATGATGGTCTGTACAATGAAAAGAATCTGTTGCTAAGCAACATGTGAGTGCACATACCAGTGAAAAATTCTGATTTCTAAATTAGACAAAAGAGATTAACAAGGTTAGGGGTATAGCTCAGTGACAGACTGTTTGCCTAGGATACATGGTGCCCTGGGTTTGATCCCCAGTACTATAAACAAAATAGAGCAATTACAATACATTGTAATATTGCTAGTATAGTTACTTTTGTACTTTGGAGCTATTAAGAGACCAAATAAGGGCCACCTGAACACAGGCTCTGAAACTATGAAAGGAGTGTGTGTGTGAAACATGGCTGGTGTCCCACAGTCCCCTTTTTACTTGCTTCTGTTCGTTTCTGCATTTGTCCTATCTTCAAGTTTCTTTTCTTTTTTCCATCTGCTTCTGAACACCTCTGGTGAAAATTTCATTTGTTACTGAACTCATTTTTTGAGTCTTCATAATTTTTTTCTGTTTACTGATAATTGTTTTCCACACTTCTCATTACCCAATTTTCCTGTAGTTCTCTGAACATAAAATCTGAGATAACTGTTTTAAAGTCTTCTGCCTAGTAAGCTTTTATTTCTGTGCATAAGGATATTGTGTCAATTTATCTCAATTCTTTAAATGGGCCTTATTTCCCCCTCCATTTGTCTTTGTCAAAAACTTCACATTTTGCTGTTACAGTATGGTGACTCCCTGTTGCTAAAGGTTTGTTGTTTTTCTTTTGGTTAAGGATGTCCATTTTCGTTTTGCGACTTTTCCCAACTTTACCCAAAAATTCCTTTGTGATTGTTGAAGTCATTATTCCTTTTTGTCACACTTAGCTGTTCTGACAGAAATAACCATGAATGGCAGTCCTCCAGGTAACCTTCAACATGTAATTAGGTTTGCTTTGTGCTTAGGGGATAGACAGAAGTGACTGCTGTGGGGGACTTGCATCTTTCCTAAGCAAGTATCTTCCCTGGGCATGTGTGTGGCATTCTAAGCTCCCTACAAATAACTGTCTCTTCCTACCTTCTCTGGGCCTTTGCTGTTTTATGTATCTAGCTATAATTGCCTGTCCCAGGCACCTGTGGATCCTTACAACTTTTTAAGCACTCATTACCTTCTGAAGAATAACTTGTCAGTCCTTTAGCACTGCTTACACTGGTGAAGAAAATGTACGCGGTCATTCAGCAGAGGGGTGGGAACTAGGCTTCTGTTGCTTCAGAAATGAGACTGTCACTGGGTTGGTGGTTGTGGGCAGTACGGAAAACACAACCGATTGCCATTCTGAAGATGGTTTTTCTTGACTGGACACATTCTAGGTTGCTATAACCTGATTTTTTTAGAGCACTAACAAAGCAGGTCCAGTTACTGGTTATTTTGTTTCTGTTGGGAAATGAGTTTGGTGCTTCCTAGTCCATTGTTTTGCAGATCTCCCCCAGATCAACTGTTTTCTTCCCATCCCTAACTCTGGTATCATGACAAGACTTTGAATAAAGTATGCTTATTATGTAAACATATGGCCACTGACTTTTGGTCAGAAGTAGGAAAATGTTGAGAAAGCTCTCCTAACTCTCAATCTGATCATTTCCATTTCAAAGCAATATTAGTCAACCTTGCCCTTTTTGCTGGCTGAGTTGCTACTGAAAAAACTTTTATAAAAGTGTTTACAAAATAAAAGTGCTCCATATACTCTCAACACTAAAACATTAAATGACATTTGGTGACTTGTGCCAGTATTTTCTACTTTGTAGTGGTGCATGTTCTGGTAACCTGTCTTCAAGTACACAAAAAGATGGAAATACAATATACACAGCACTGCAACACAGCTTTCAAGTATTTGATTACAGATCCCTGGGTATGGGGCTAGCATGAGATTAGCTTGCTAGTAACATGTTCTTTACATAGTACAGGTATTAGTTTTGTTCATGCAACAAGACTGTTAGTACAGTTACTTACTGCGTTTTCTTTATTTTAGCATTAAGTCACCTCAATTGAAAATCAAGTCAATCATCTGATCTGTCACAATTTCCCACGGAAAGAATCTGAAGTCTTCTGTTTCCACTAAAACTGAATCTATGACCGGTATTTTGAAGGGTATAATGCTAACTTTTTTTCAAAAACTTTTACAGATTACATAAAAACTATGTATGTGAGCTTCTTTCTACTGTAATTGTCTGCATGTTCATTTTAAGTTTACAGTGTAAATCAGTGGCAGATCTGGCCTCCTAAGTTGAAAATGATCCACAATGAAGCAAAACAGAAAACTATTATACTGAAGCAACCTTTTGGACCTTTCCATGCTCCCCATTATAGCACTTTGCAAGATCTGTTTCTAGGGATTTTTTTGTGGGGTTTTTGTCTGTTTTGTTGGTACTGAGGTTCAAACCAAAGGCCTCATATTCATGCTAGGCAAGTACTCTACCACTAAGCCACATCCCCAGCCTTTATTGAGATGGGCCTTCAACTTGAAATCCTCTTTGCTCAGCCTCCTAAGCAGCTGGGATTACAGGCATGCATGTACCAGCTACTCTAGGTTTTACCAGGAGTGATAAAAGTATAGTGTTTAAATTTTTAAAAAGTATTACAGTAAAAGACATACTGCTGGGCTGGGGATATAACTCAGTGACACAAGTGCCTGCCTGGCAAAGTCGTGAGTTCAATCTCTGGTACCAAAGGGGGGGAAAGAAGGACATATTGCTATTATTGCCCTCAAAATACTTTCTCTCACTTTGAACACTTATTCCAGTGCTCTTGCCTCTCTTCTAAAGCAGGTCTGGAAGTCCTCTTTAATTACGAGGTGTGACCAAGAGTATAGTTTGTATTCCAGATGACATCCAGCAGAGTGAGGTCTGTAAAACATGATACTGTGTTAAAGACTGGATTTGGCACCAAGGGACCACTGGCTCTTCCCAAAAGTCAAAATGATCATGAAAGCCAGGTGTCTGTAATCTCAGCACATGGGTGGCTGAGGCATGAAAATCACCAAAAGTTTAAGGACAACCTGGACTACATAATGAGATCCTGCCTCAATCAATCAATCAATTCAGGACATTAAGGAAGCCCTCATAGTGTAATCTAAACACTCACAAAAGATGACTTCCAGAGCTGCTTCAAAGGCTACAAGAATGATGGGGATGAGTGTGTTTAAAGTGAGGGAAAAGGGGCTAGGGATATAGCTCAGCAACACAGTGCCTGCCTGGCAAATGTGAGGTCCTAAGTTTGATTCCAAGTACAAAAAAACCACAACAACAAAAGTGAAGGAGAATATTTTGAGGTGGCTTAATGGCAATGTCTTTTATTCTAATAAATGCTTTTAAAATGTAAACATTCACTGTATTTTCCAATTATATCTTGTAATTTCAACATTAACCATCCCTTATGCTTAGATTTCTACTTGGCTGGTAAGGGTTTTCGTTTTATTTGGATCAAAATTGTAAACCAAACTATAGTCTTAGAAATGATTTCACTTGGAAAAATCAATAGCCTTTAATGACTTGATTAAACAAACCTTTGTTTATTTAACAGTGCAGGAACTCAAGGTAACCTCTCTATTTGTGCTCATTCCAATTTTTCAAACAATCATTTACTACAATGGTTGCCACTTCTATTGTAGAGTTGTAACCATAATTACTTCTCTAATAATTGCTTTTGCTTATGACAAGCCTTTCAAAATAGTGTATCAACTATACATTTTTAACTCTGGTTAAAATTCCTTCCACTCAACCGCAAGGTCTCTTGGGAGGCAGAAAGGATGACTTTTTATCTACTTCTTATCAGTACTATAGTGGGTTCTACTGAGCTAGCTCTTCCCCTTCCTACTTTGCATTAATGGTTTTGTTGTCCATAAATAACAACACCTAAAAAGCCTCACCTAAAAGGAACTGCATAACATCAAATATAGTAGGAAGTTAAGACTTAGTTGAGAAGCAAGGAATCACTTTATGAAATTTTCAAAAAATAATGTCAGGCCCATTTTGTTTATATTTTAAGTTTTTAAAATCTTTTTCTCTATTATTTAACCAACTTTGGTTAATATGAGGAATGAAAACAAATTTACAAAGTATTTGCCTTATATATAACCATACTCAAGGATTGGAATTTTGATCCACTAATTGATAATGGATACTGTTGTCAAATAGAAAAGTTAACAGTAAAATAGAAATAGCTAAAGAGACACAGATAAAAAGTTTTCACAAATTTATCTCTGAACTTTTTCAGGCACTAATACTTATTTTAAAAAAACAAAAAACCTTTGTTATGTACACAGAGAAAAAAAAAACTCTGTTAAGGTAAAAACTGGGAGACCCAGGCATGGTGGCGCATACCTATAATCTCAGCACTATGGAGAGTGCTGAAGCAGGAGGAATACACACTGTGAGGCAAGCTTGGGCAAGTGAGACCCTGTCTCCAAAAAAAAAAACTTGAGAGAAAAGTGATTAAAAACTAGAAAAATAATGTTAACACATTTGCTTTCACTTACCTTCCAAGTTTCCTACTGTTCTGTGAACAAACCCGACCATTTCAAAAGTGCTCAATGTCAGTCACACCATCATCTAAGGGCATTCTGCAACAAAGACCTGAAAGAAAAAGGTGGCCAAAACAGGCAAGGCAAGGCCACTGTGGAGGAGCTCCACAGAGGTACAGGGACTTGGCTTCTGTGTGGCTCTCAGCCGCCTTGTGCACCATCTGAACTGTGTATACCCAGATCCACACCAAGCTGGAGAGTTGGCAAAAAATGGTTGTGTCATGTGTAATGTGCCATGAGAAATGTGGTTCACCTTTGTTCTGGAACATGTGTGCCTAATTAAAAGTCAGAAGTTCCATCATTATGTGAAAATGTTAAAACTGGATACTAAGGAAAACCAGTTCTCTCTGCACACTTCTCATCTACATTATTTGATTAAATAAAAATTTAGACATTTCATCATTTTATGGAATGTAACAGAACTGCACAGCTGACAGATACCTACCACTCTGGGTTTCACCTACAAAGGAGTTCACATCCTTTATGTACTTGACAAAAGCAGTAACATGCAAAATACCACATGAACAAATTCCTAAGGTATGTTTTATTGGCATAAAGCCAAAATAAGGCAATATAATTTTTTTGGTCTGCCAATTAGCTATACAAAGTACAGGAAAAAGACTTTTCCACTGTAATTAAATAAAAAAAGTAAATGATTTTCTTATAAAACCTAGTTAGTCTTAGCAATTTAAAAATAGCACTTTCATTTTTATCAAGTAAGTAAAAAGGTCAATGATGTTACTTCTGAAAAGACCTGAAAAAACTGAAATATAGCACAGAAAAATTTTTCAGACATCTATGGCTTTTCTCTTATTATGATTCTCCTTCTATAAAGTTTTCATGATTTTGCTAACAGGTGGCCTACCAATATGAAGAGGCAGCAAGTCTAATTTTCCAGCTGCCACTGTTTAAAAAGTACCTTACCTCAGCTACATAATCTTGTGCAACACAAACCCTGAGATTTGCTTGTTCCTTGAACTGTTGGTGGTATATTGTATGCAAGATTATGCTTCGTGTACTATGTTAAAAATTACCTCACTGTGATCTCAGAACATCAAAGCTGGAAAACAGATACAGCTGAAATTATTTTTGTTTCAAATACATGTACCCCAAGGTTCCATTTTCTGGAAACGCCAGAACCCAGTTACGTGCTGTGAAAGCTGCTTTATTTAGATGACCCCAGGTGAATGAGTGCCATTATTGTTGTATAGCTGTGGAACAGATCCTCATCCTTTACCTCATTACACTTCCTCAGTATAAAGTTCCCTGTGACTATCCGGTCACATCCAATTTCTCCATTTCCAAAGAAGCCGAATAAAGGCACACTAGGGAAAAACTTTCTGAATGCATCAGCCTCAACATTGGCCTTGGCTCGATAATAGTGGAAGCCCCGGCCAACGCATGCGAACATGAAGCCGATGGTGTCCTGCTCTGGGATGTTGGCTGCCTTGAGGCGCTGCATAGCCGCCTCCACGGCCTTTTCATCACTGACATCCTCATTAAGGAGCACTGTGGCACTCTGGATGCGGAGTCCACTAAAGGACAATCCAACCACTCCGGTGGCATTGATATCCAGAGGGCTCCTAGAAAATAAAATTAGAAAAGCAGCAATTAATCATGACACACACAAAAATGTATAGTTTCAAAGAAAAACTCACTTGATTCACTGCTGCCCAGTCAGCAGCCTGTGTTTAGCCTGAGACATACACTCCAGATTAGAGGAAAATCGTAGAGTTAAAATTAAATAGCCGGGGCAGCACAGCACCTGCCTGGCAATTGTGGGTCCTGAGTTTGATTCCTGGTATCTCACCCAAATAAAAAAAAATTAATACATTCAAAGAATGCAGAGGGGAGCTTAAGACAACTCATTTTCAATCATAAAAACAAAGGGACCACATATATTCACAAAGACTTCTGAAACTCACCCTGCATTATTAGAAGGAAGAGTTTTTCCTTCTTAAAAGGAAGCTTACAGTTTTATTCATACATACAAAGTTGTCTACTTAAGCTTCTTATATTTACTATGTGGTGTCTTCCTCCATATCATCTTCCGAGGGTAACTTTTAAAATTTTGAAAGTTTTATGTTGGTTGGTCTGTACACAAATATGATTACATTGCTTTTTGTCTTACTGCTTTCAGATCACGGTAAGAAAAAACCAGATCAACAAGCGCACTGTTGTTTTACTGACTAGTTTTTAAAACTGCGATAATATACTATTCAACACAGTAATAAGGCATATACAGTATAGGGAACACTCAGTGGGGAACAAAACTAGCAAATACCCTATATTTCTATCATGTTTCTCAACATCTGAATCTATACAGTGGGCAAGATGCACTGCATGAGCAGAAACTAAGACTCAAAAAGCTAAGAAAGCAAGAATAGCCAGTGGCAACACCAACCTTAGAGTAACAGAATCCCATTTTCTAAAGTCCTCTCAACTTTATGACCTTTCCTCTTGGCAGACACCATATTATAAAGTTGGGTGTTGTTCACAGCTGTAATCCTGGCATTCTGGGAAACTAAGGCAAAAGGACCTCAAGTTCAAATCCAGCCTGGGCAACTAAATTAGTGACTTTGCAATACCTTATCTCAAAAAAGGGCTACAGATGTAGCTCCGTGTGCCATCTCTGGGTTAATTACCCTTTTCCACAAACAATAACAAAGAAAAACATTCCAAGTTGTGAATCTCTTGTTTCAATGAATTATCTTTTGTAGGATGGGGTAGGATGGGTTATCTGGGCATTATTTGGACAATGCAAGGATTAACTGGCTTCTTGCTGACACAATATGCAGATCCCATTAAAATCCATGTGTAACACAAAATGGGGTGATTTTAGGGGATCTACTTTACCATGTTAGTTATAAAAAGTGGATGATGCCAAATAGTTGACACCAAGAGGCTGGCATCTCAGACTTGTAAGTCTGAGTGACAAATCCTTACTGCATTCTCAGTACATAGTCCCAAGCCTTGGCCTGTGTGTATGAGATCCAGTGTCAACCACCATGCTGCTTAGCTCTCCTCCTTTGTTCTTCACTGGCAATCCAGGGACCCTGTCTTACTAACTTCTTCCTTGGTCCATCAATGCAGACTGCTAAAAGAGATAGCAGTGGGATGACTACCTTCTCCACAGACACTGATGCTAACATCTTCCCAAATCCTAAACACACATTAAGAATCAGTACTAGTATTTATAGAAGAGGTGGGAAATGGTAGAGGTAGGCATTCACTTTCCTGCTTTTGGAGGCCAGTATATTTTTATGAGAGGTGGAAGGGACCTAGTGCTGTAAACTCAGGTATGGAGGGTGGAGGGGAGTAATGGCTTAAAAGAAATGCTGTTATCACGGAGAGCAAGCTTAAACAACAAAAACAAAAGACTGATATTTGAGTTTCAAAAAAGCCTCTCAAAAGAGCTACAACAGAATTTCTAAAAATCTGCCTGCAAAGTCTGCAAGATTAAAAGATTTTGTAACAAAATAGAACTGAGAAATGCCACAGTTGATTCTGATCCCACTGGATTTCCAAAGCACTGACCATGAACACCTGAGAGAAGTTTTTCTGTAAAGATACACTTTAATCATATACTTTAAAGAAGGAAACAATACATAAGGCACAGCAGTCCGGTCAAGACAGCAGAATTTCTCTGCACACCTTAGGGATGCCATGGGACAGCTGCAGTCTCCCTCTCTGACTTAAGATGCTCAATGTCTAACTTGGTTTTCAAAGAACCAGACTGGGACTATTTTCCAGCTGTGGGACTACTGTGCACTTGCTCGCAGGTGCAAAGGCTTTCTGCTGACAACCTACTCAGCCTCCATTATGTATCGACTGACACAAGGACAGTTACCAGCATCAACTGAGACAACTAAACACTGCTCAGAACCAGCTGCTTCACCTTCACCACTGTCCCCTAACCTAGGCCTCCTCTGCCTTAAAGAACACTTGATTTGGTTTTTATCTGAACTTTTGCTTTTGATTATGAAACCCATTCTGTACTCAAAAATCATATCCTGCTTTCCCTGTAACCTCATTTATCAATTCTTGGTTTGCAGAAATGACAGCCTGAGGTCACACAGATACCAAAGCCACCCTCAGAAAGCTCAGTAATCAATGCTGAAAACCAATGTTAAGAGCATGACTCTAGCCAGGAATTTAGCTCAGCAGCAAAACGCCTGCCTGGCAAGCACAAGTCATGAGTTCAATCCATGGTACCAATAAAAAGCATGAATTTAAGAAAAAAATTCTTAAAGGACAGTATGTATAGTTCAACTGTAAGCAGAATAATTTAAGCCCTCTGACCTATGTCTAGTGCAAGAGGAGGTAGTATATTAGCAATTCTTTAAATGCAGTTTTAAAAAACTCAAAAGTAAATGAAAATCTGTGACTGTTTCCCTTGTCTAAGGGACAGACATACTTCTCAGAGGTCAGTGATGACAAACTGTCCACTTGGCCTCCAGCCAAGATGATGTTCATGTCACTGAAAGTGCTGACCACACGCTGCAGGTAACTGCTGGCTCCCACTTTACAGCAGTTATAGCCAAACACAAGCACTACACGCAGCTCTGGGTTATCTAGAAGACCTGCAGAGACAAAAGCAACAATTAAAGACTCCCTTAAAACAAAATGTTCCTGTTAATGACCAGCACTGCTAGTGAAGTGCAATTTTACCATTTTTATTAACTTCAATACTTTTCAAAATCAAAATCTTGATGCAATGAAAATTTTTTTCATTGAAAAAGAAAACACACATATGCAAACAATCCCAGAACTTTGGAAGGCTGAGGAAGGAGGATCATAAGTTCAAGCCCAACCTAGGTAACTTGAGATATTTAACAACTGTATAAAATTTTAGCAAGGGGGCTAGAGATGTAGGTTAGTGCAAAGGCCCAGTTCAGTCTCCAGGACACTTGCTAAATAAAAAACCTTAAATGACTATTTGAAAACAATGCAGTCACCATACCACAGTATGGAAGCAGCTGTGTCCTGAGCTTCACTAGCAACAGGGATGGCAGGGCCAAGGAAGCAGCAACATCTGCACCCAGACTTTGCCTCTAGCTGCCAATGTCACCAAATAGCTGACTTCTGGAAAGAAGAAAACACAACCCCACACTTACTTGTTTCCCTGGATCAGCCACTGACTTCCTAACAGGCTGACGAGGTGAGTGCAGGAAATGGGATACACGGTGGGGAAAGGGACTGATGCTGACACCAGTCAGCACTAGAGGCCCTGACCACTGCAGCAAGTCTTCCTCTTCTACACTAGCCTTGCTGGTCCTGACAGAACAGTTTCTCTTTAGAGCCAATTTTCAGAATTGGAGGGGCCCAGAGATTCTCAAGTCTTTATTTTCAGAAACATGATCACCAATCACAGAAGCAATGGGCCAGGAGCAGGCCATGCTTTTCAAAAGCAAGCCAGGAAATTAATCAGGAACCCCTCTGATGGGCAGTCTTAGGTCTCCATGTAGCACAAGGTAGACAGGGATACAAATGTAACTTCAGTTACATTTGCCCAAAATGCCCAGCATGCACTGCCATGCTAGCAGCTGCTGTTACCCAGTGGTCCCCATGTTGGCATCGGGGGTCCAAGTCACTCTCTGGGGCTCCAGGCCTGGATACTCATGGTCTGCTTCTGTCTCAAACCTAGTGCATCCATATACTTCTCATCTACCCCTTAACCTCAGCAAATGGTACTGTGCAGCTCACTAGTGACACTGCTGCCATCCACCTGGTTCTCCACACCTAGCCCCAAGTCAGCTACAGTGCCGCCCATACACCCCCACATCACCTGGACCCTACCAAGGCTGCTACCCCAGTCCAAGTTGCTGCCTTTGGCCTGAATCACTACCATAGCCTCCAGTTCCCTGCATCTACTTTTATAAAATTAAACTTACTTTAATTGACAAAATTACATCTATTCACTGCATACATTTTGAAATAATGTGTACACTACTGGTGAGGTACACACAGTATGGCTAAGCAGAGCTGATCCTGCACCCAGCCACCACCCTGCAGCCAGAGGCCCACCTGGCAATGGCTTTGTTGTGTGGAGACTCCAAGATTCACTGCCCTTGTTACTCATGGCTTTCATAGCCAGCCCAGCCCCTGCCCGCTGCTGCCAGCATCTCTATCCCTGCTTCCACACACACCAAGTTTCATGTTTCTTGGCTGTGCTTTAGGGACCCCAGCTTCACACCTCAACAGAGACATCAGGTTTTGTTTTCTATTTCCTATCCTGAATTCTCTACTTCCTGCTGCTTCTGTGTCAGCAACCTGGAAAGAGGGTGAGGGCACCTACAATACCCTCACTGGCAGAGGCTTACAACACCTCCTTCGGCTGTCAGCTGTTACCTTCCCAGGACCCCAGACTGGATGAGCCCAGGTTACACGCCTCTCTTGGTGGCTGACCCGGTACCCTGTGCCGCTGACCCAGAGGCCTAGGGGAAGGGCACTGTTATCAGTCGCCTCCGTAACAGCTTTTACACAAGTAGATTTTCAGTGAATAAACACTGCCTTTTTATGAAACTTGACTGACATAGCTTTGCTTTTATTCAACAATTCAGATTTTCGGTAAGATTTCTTCTAAAAGAATATAAAACAGTGTACAAAAGCATATGCACTGACACTGAGTCAGACACTGCTGCTGCTATACCAAGGTCTACCCAGCAAATGTCATCATCCAACATGAGGCTCCCTCTCGGGAAGACTGAAAATTCTGTTAGAATCTGGCCCTGCCTTTGCTCACTGTGAGCCTTTCAACCAGATTTCAGTCACACTCATAGGACTGCCAGGCAGGCGAGCCAAACCCAACTGAACAACTGTGCACCCCAACAGCAGAGCCCATAGAGGTCACTGAGGCTACATAACTGGCAAAACCTAAAATATTCACTCTCTGGCCTGCAGAGGGAATCTGTGCCAGCCCCCAAGGGACCCTAACATGACTGCGATCTCACATTTACAGAACCCAAGAAGGGACCTCACCTCTCAACCATAGGAGGATCCAGGCTGAGACTGCAGGGCAGGCACACCCTGTATCAAAGCCTCAGCTGGTCTGCTTACTCAACATCCCTACATGCATACTTGGTTCTGAAATGCAAACATGGCCTCACAACAGTAACAATTTTATCACAGAACAGAAGCATTCTTTGGCTCGAGTTAACTGGTTTTCCCCTTAGGCTGACAAAAATCAAACCTTTTAGAACCTTCTAGCTGACACCTGTGCTGTGTATCAGGTCCTGCGGGACAAAGGAAGGAGCTGCTCCAGAAGCCCCACCATCTCTCCAGACACAGTGACAGGCACATGGCCTTGAGTATTTTTCCTTCTACATCTCTTTGAAGGCAATTATTTTTATTACTATTTCGCTCTATTCTGATTAATGGTACTGCTCTATTCAATATTCTGTTTTTATAAGTTCTATAATGTTCAGTATTTCATTTTATTTTGATTGAAAGAACAGCTATTGTAAAGATAACAAAATATACTGTGATATCTATTATTGTTATCCTGGTAACCTGCTATAAGTTCTGTACCAATTTCACTGTACAATCTTAGTTAGCTTTATTCTGTCTTGTTCTGTTGTATTTTACTACTTTCAAAATAAAATTTAAAAAAAATAGACATAGTATATGATGTAAAAACAAAATACAAGGTGATCAACAATGGCTAATATAATGCCTCTTGCTATCTTCAAAAGAATTGCCCATATCTTAAAAAGGGTAAGATTAAACATACCAAAACAGAACAAAATAGATCAAAAGAAAACAATTTTAAGAAACACTGATTTCAAAACAAGTCCACTGGAGATCATCACTGTCTGTCTTATTGTCTCTAGTTTTCTTCCAAATAGTTGTCCCCATCTTCAACACAGTGAATATATACTGAACATTGTAGAACAAATCTGATCATAACAGGGTGATGAAGGCTTTTTAGGTCTTCAAGACCTGACACTGGTGAAGTCAATAGTGACTGCCATAATGTCCCTCATTCTCTTCATAGTAGCTGTCCTTATCTTTAGGTACACTAAAATTGAACATAAGAGGTTAGACTAACATCACTCTGAACAGTGAACAATAGTTTTGCTAGATTTGATATCATAATGTTACAGAATTAGCATTGGGTTTCTTAGTGTCTCTTCTTCAGAGTATCTGTTATATCAAGCATTATATAATCTGTTCCTGTAAACTGTTAAGAAATTCTCCTCATGTGTGAATCTCTACATGTATATCTATCCTTTCTGTATTATAGGGAAAAACAGATCATAAGACAAACAAATTCTTAAAAAAACATGAAATGAAAAAGACATATAAAACCACATTATTAGGTGATCTAAAGTAGTTATTATGCTTTCTCTTGTTATTTTCAGTATCATCAGACATGTAATAATTGAACATTGCATTACATAGCTATTTTAATAAAAACACAACTTTGGAGACATTGTAGGACTTCAAAAACAGTTAATAATCAAACTGGAATGGGTATGTTATTACATCTTGTCATCTTCAGAGTGGCTGCCTCTATTCTTAGACTCGATATTATCAAGCATACCAAATTCGAATAAAATCAGTCAAGGCAAAACAGCAGTTTAACAAACCAGCTTCAAATAAGATCAGTCAATGTAAGTAATACAGGGCTTCAGTTTAGGTTAATAGGAAATTAAGGATAGTTACCATGGTATAGCTTGCTATTTTGGGGAAGCTATCTGTACCCTCAAATCTAGTATGAGTAGACTGACCTGAACAAAATAAAATCAAACTAAGCAGAGCAGTAAGATTACTGTGGCTTTTAAATCCTGATACACTATTAACAATGTCCTCTGCCTTCCTTTTTTAGGCAATTCCTCACCTTTCCCTTTCTCAGGACGCTTTGTATATTTTGGGTCTCACTAACTCCTTCAGTTTTTAGATTAAGGGGGCAACCCGTTATCTGAGTGGTGCTGAACCTTTTTACCCGAGCGTGATCTTGAGCTGTACTCTTTTACTTACTAAAGCCACAAGGTTTTCCTTCCTTCTAGCTTTGTAGTTCTACACTGCACAAAAGTGTCATAACTTTCCAACCTATATGTGGCTGCTGGACGAGTTGCCCCTATTTCTCTCTCTGGTTCCCTGTCACTTAGAGCTGTTTTCTTATCTTTGACTTTCAGTTTATTAACCTTCTTTCAGGTTGAGTATATTTCCTATTCAGAGCATCTTGATGGCTCCTACCTCCTAATCTACTCTGCCTGTGTTTCTTTTTATTAGTGTATCTATGTTAAAAATTATAGCCCACTTTTTGTTAGTGTATCTATGCTAGTCTATCTATGTTAAAAATTATAGTCCACCTTCTCTGCCTCAATTCTGCTATTCTATTTTTCTGCTATTATTTGTCCACTTTACTCTTTCATTCCACTGTCTTCCTTGTTCACCGAGGCCTCTCTGCCACTGTTGTATTTTTTTTTCTCTCTCTCTAGAATATTCTTCAGTATTTCCTGTAGGGTTGGGTTGGTGGCCATGAACTCCCACAGCTCCTCTTTGTCTTGGAAACATCTTGTTTCTCCATTACTTTTGAGAGATTTTCAGGGTACATTAATCTTGGGTGGAGGTTATTTTCTTTCAGGGCTTGGACTATTTCCACCCCAGGCTCTTCTTGATTTAATAGTTTGTGTTGATAAGTCTGTTGTTATTTTGATGATTTGTCCTTTGTAGGTGATCTGCTTCTTTTCTCTGGCCACTTTTAATATTCTTTTCTTGTGGTGGATTTCTGGAATCTTGATTATTATATGTCTGGGTGTAGACCTGTTTTGGTTGTAGTTGGCTGGAGTTCTATATGACTCATTTATCTGGATATCATTTCTTTTTCCTATGCTTGGGAAGTTTTCCTTAATTATTTCTGTGAATAGTCTTTGTAATTCGTTTGTGGTTACTCCTGCTTCTTCGCTTACGTTTTTTATTCTTAAGTTATAGATCCTCTTGTCATCTTCTAGCCTTTGAATTGTTATTTCTTGGTTCCTTGTTATTTTTAAGAGGTCTTTTCTTTCATGATCACACATTGTAAATCTCTCTTCAAGTTTCGAAAGGCTAACTTTTGTTTCTGTCAAGGCATTTTGCCAGCATTCAATGGAGTTTTTAGTTTCCCAGTAGTCTCTTTGGATCTGTCTCACATATTCTAGGTTTTGTTTATATTCTTCACCAAAGGTTTCTCTTCCTTTTCTGGGTTCCTCCCTCTGTGTTTTCTGGAGAGGGGCTTAGCATTTCTTTAATTAACCTTTTTATTTCTTGTCTCACTGGGGTTAGAAACTCAGTTTTAAGTTCATCTATGAAGTCACGAAGGTATTTCTTTATGTCTGCTGATGTTGTGGCTAACATTGCATGACCACTGGACTGGTTCTTTTCTGTATTTACCTCTCCTGGGCTTATCTTCCCAGGGTCAGGGGCTGGAGGTTTTGTCTTATCTTTTGTTCTTGTCATGTTTCTGGTTTCTTTCACAGGTGTGTGGAGGTCTCAGGCTGTTTCTGTATTACTTACAGTTCTTCTAAAGCATGCTGGCTGTGGGCTTACTGCTCTCTCCAGTTTGCTGATATCTGATGTGGTGCACAGGGATACTGCAGGTTGGCCCCTCCCCCCTGAGGATTCAATCTGCAAGCGCCTTCAGCACTTTACTGTGGTGGACGTCACAGGGTCAGAACAATTTCACCCCTGGCTACTGGTTCCCGACCATCGGTGTGGTTCAGCCCAAGCTGCTCCCACTAATCCTCCCTGGGCTAGGGGCGGGTGACTGACGCCACTGCAGCACTGGGCTTTGCCCTACTCCAAGATGTCTTCCAGTCAGCCACCCATGCCGCGGGACCCAATTTCCAGCACTCACCAAGAGCCAATAAAGCTCTCTACCTTGGCTCCACTCCACACTGCGCCACACCCTCCCGCCAAAAGCCTGGGAGTCACCAGCTCCCATTATCAGCAGCTGTGGGCTTCAGCGCAACCCTGAATCGTCCAACTCCACAGGGCACCCAGCATAGCACAGAACGAGTCTCAATGAGCGTGTCTGAGTGTGTCAGGCTTCAGCCCTCCACCCGTGCTTTTCCTTTCTCTTCCTAATTTTATTTTTTTTTCGGTTTCCTCCTGGGTTAGTGAGAATTGTTCTCCAATCATCTGGCCCTCTCCACGTTGTCAGATTCTAGCATCTGGGCTGTTTTCCCTGGAGCAGTTCTCTATCTAGCTTCCTAGCCATTCCCGCCCCCCTATTTGACCATGCCGTCTCTGTTCTGTGCTGTCAAGCACAGTTAAAATCTTGTCTTGTGGACACTCCTCTTCTTGATCAGTAAACCAAACAGATTCTCCCCAAGCTGATCTTGTGTTCCCACTGGGCAGGGCCCCTTGGTCAGAAGCTCAGCTGTCCTTCCTGTCCAGACCCAGGGGAGGCAAGGGCAACAGGAACAGCTGTGGCAGCTCTCCTGCACTTACTACAGTACACATCCCCACCAAAAGACACCACATAACCCCTTGCCTCCCACACCACACACAGTGCCAGGCTGACTGCTATAACTAGCACCTTCCCCAACGCCGTGGGACTGCCACACCTCCCCTTATCTTCCTACTCCCCACTACCAACCTGTTTCTTCAAAAACATTTTTAAATAAATACAAAAAAAAAATGGTCTGAAAACACACTTCAGTTTTAGGAAATAAAAGAAACTACTCGAGGACCAAGAATTCCTCCAAAATTCAGAAAATATGATCAACAGAGTATTCCTCTCTGGAAAATTCCTCTCTGGGAAATTATTCCTCTCTGTTTCCCTCAGGCTTGAAGGTAAAACGCGCAGATCCTAACTCTGTTGATCACCAGCTTGAAGGGCAACATCACGTGTCTCAAACAGACTTTTCTGAGTCCTCTGAGCAGCCGAGCCCCCACCACTCACCACAGGTCAAACAGGAAGATCAGTGAACACACACAACTGACAAGGAACAGTAACTTACCCACTTTAGTAAGCTCATGTTTTTCTAGGGTTAACTTCTTTGACTGCTTAATAAAATGAAAGGGCTGTATTTTTATTCCTTCAATTTGAGGAAATAACAGAGCAAAACCAGATTCTCCAATTTCTATTTCCTGAGGTCGATTGCTACCTGATCCCATTGGAGTCACTAAGAAGGAAGAAAAAAAAATTTTGTAAACACTCAATGAAAACTGAATTAGGTAATCATATAATCAATCCCACCCTAAATAACTGCAGTTTAGGTCACTAAACAATGAACGACCACAATAACTAGTCACCAGTGGAGTACAAGGTTTCTTTCTGCACTGTCATTGGTAGGGTGCCTGTCATGAGGCCTGCAGTTTCCTTTTGAGCACTTCAGAATGCAGGAAAGGAAAGGAAGTGGAAGGAAAGGCAAATGTGGCCCTTCCTCAGTCACTGGCCCCGGAGGAAAGAGCAGGCTGTTTCCTACTCTGGTATTCCTTCAGCCTTTCTACAGCTTAAAGCTTTTCAAACAAAACATTGGGAGGATGCATAGACATTTTCACAGCAATTCCACTTTTAAAAATTCACCCAAGTGGCTGAGTGTGGTGGCTCATGCCTGCAATCCCAGCACTCAGGAGGCCGAGGCAGGAGGATCTTGCGAGTTCGAGACCAGCCTAGGCTACAAAGTGAGCTCAAAGCCAGCCTGAACTGCACAGCAAAACCCTGTCTCAAAAAGAGACAAAAAAAAAAAAAAAAAAAAAAAAAAAAAAAAAATTCACCCAAGAAATATCTGATAAGTTTGTATATGCACAACTATTTTTTATCATAGAATTCTAATAGAAAATAAAAAGGAAAAGCCTAAATATCTCATTCTGGAATTTAGATAAAAAGTTACATTGCTATTACACAAGCCGAACACGGAGATGTTAAGATGTGTGTTTACTTGACATGGAAATGTTTGTCATGAGCTGTAAACTGCAAAGGCAGATGTTACATGCTCAATTTTGTGGTCCTCAACCCCTCAAATCCCAAAAGCAGCTCGCAAATCTGCTGGACACAGTGCAGTTGCGCTGCCATGGGCTTAACTGAACGGTGTGACAGTGTGCAGCAGTACAGTGCTCGTTCAGGGCCCGAGGTCTGGAAGCAAGAGGACAAGCAGTGGCAACGTGGAGGGGTGCTCAGAACTGCAGAACAACAACCACAGAAACAAAAGTGAAACAAATGCTAGCCCAGGACAAGACTAAGGTTGCAAGAAGGAGGGCAGGGCTGAGGGGTGATACATTCTTTGTTTTGTTACAGCTACTTTGTCAAGATTTTTATTAGAAATTATTATACAGTAAAGTTGACTTTTTTGGTATGTGCATACTAATGAGGACCTGGTAGAATTAAGAGGCACAGTGAAAAAATGGGGAGAGAGGAAGATGGGCGTGAAGAAACAAAGAGATTCACAACACAGGAAATGGCAAGGAGTCATCTATGAGGAGAAAAAAAGAGCTAGTACTCGAACATCACTGGATTGTTTCTAAGAGCCTAAACAGAATTGAATCCATCAAAACACCTGAGTTATCAACATGAGGTGGCAGCGAAATTCCATCTTGCTGCCTGTCTCCTTCAGCATAGTATCACCCACCACCTCCTCCAGTTAGTAATCTCTTCCTTTCAGTTCACTGAGTGCAGTCCCCTATACGGCAAGTGTGTAGTACCATACCTCCCTTGTAAGGTAACTGTAGAAGTAAAATAGTTTATTTACAGTATTGGCGTGTACTTGGTTTTTGTATGCTTCACATTCTATATTTGTGGTGTCAAAAATGTGTAAGACTCACTATGTCAGACTTACGAATGAATCTGACACAAATGTACTCCCTGAACAGAACTGGTTTGTAAGTCAGGGACTTATGGTATAACAACAACAACAACAAATTACCTTTAAAAAAATATGTATTTTAGAAAACAAAGCTATGGCAAAACAAAAAAGTAATGTCAAGATCAAACTAAATGCCACGCCCAATAGATTCTGAATTTAAAAATGGAAATAAAATTTAGAATATAAAGCCCTTCCTCCCACAAAAAAAACCCGCAAGTTTTTAAAATGTGTGTATTAGACCACCAGACAATCTGAATTAAAATTACCACAGACTTGCTTATAGAAATTGATAGGTTCAATATCTGTGGAAATGTAAAGGATCCAGATAGCTTACCAACCCTTAAAAAAAAACAAAAAGACCATGTAATCAAGATGATATGGTCTAACATATGCTAGTCAAACTCAGACTCACAAACATGTCATTACTTATTGCAATACTGACAAGACATTTTAACGAGGAAACAAAAGTCTTTAACAAATGCTACTGGAATAACTAAGCAAACATAAAGAAAAAATTACCCTCAAACTCCTAATAGACATGTACAAGTTAATTCTAAACAAAAGTTCAAACCACACAGTTTACATGAGAACCCTGTGACCTTGGGGTAGGCAAAGATTTCTTACAGAGGATGTAAAATATTAACCAGAAAAGAAAAAAAACTGATTAAATTTCTCTAAAGAAAGTTTCTCATCATAAAGACACTATTAGGAAAATGAAAAATGACCCACAGAGAGGAAACATTTGCAACACTGACACCTCTTAGATGCCTATCAAAGCACAAACGTGCACCTACTACTCAGCAGTAAACAGCAGGCGCTGTAATTTAAAAATCGATAAAAGACTGAAGATGTTTCACAGCCAATAAATACATGATAAGGTGTTTAACAGCATCAGTCAACTACAACTACTGAATTAGAAAAAGCAATGCTAGTGTCAGGACATGGATAGGTGCAGCCCTCCCACACTGCTGGCTGGGTGTGAAATGGTGCATGGTTGGAAACTGGCAGATTAAGTTAAATATACACCAGCAATGAAACCAAATGATCCTGTTCCTTGGTGGCTGCCTAGAAACTAATAAAGACTTCCACTAAGGAGATGTTCCTAACGGCTTCATTCTTAATACCTAGAAACAAAATAACACAAGGTCCATCAAAAAAGAATGGCAAAACAAATGATGGTCTACTTCTGTAATAAAATATAACCTGAGAATGGTTTTGAAATGGGTCACTGATCCACGTAACAAATGAATTTATCAAACACATGTTGTTAAACACATTTATATGGTGTCAAACAGCTCAGGTGCAAGAAGAGACCATGTTCCATCCATGTGACATTCAGCAACACACTACTACTCTGGCCTCAATATCACAATAGGCGTTTCCTAAAGCATGGATTACCGGATGTCTTGGTTACTTCTTTTCTTGTTGCTGAGACAAAATACCTGATGACCAAAGTGAAGCAAGGAAAGATTTACTTAGCTTACAGTTTTTGGAGGGGTCAGTCCATATTCAGCTGGCTCCAAGGCAGGGGTAGTGTGGCTAAGGGGCAGCTGTTCATGGCAGCGCTGAGTGACAACAGTGAAAAGACCAGAGGGCTAAGCATGTCTCCTTCTCTGCCTTTTACTGTATGCCCGCTCCCTGCCTCTGGCCGGGTACAGCACTCACACCGCCAATCCCAGTGCTGGACAACAAACCAATCACAAATGCTGGACTGGGCCACCTCCATGACTGCATAAGGCTTTGGGGGGACATTTAAACAAACCACAACACCAGGAATGAAGCAGGCAAGAACTCTCCAGGGGAGGGAATCCATCTGCATCTGCACTGGTAACAGCAGGACATGAGCTTTCAACACTCAGGTTGGTTTATACTAACGAGTGGCGTTTGACTGTAGGTCAGGTTTTTCTCAACTAACTAACATCTGTACCTCCAAAAATGAACACAGTCTCTCAAACTTGGAAGATGGACTAGGGGTGAATGGCTATTTTAGAAAAACAATCACTACAGTGTGACCCCCGAGAAAAAGAAAGGAGACGATCTCATAGAAATTCTGTCTGGGCCCCTGGAATGGATTCAAAGGCAAGAGCAGAAACAATGACAAAACTGAGGAGGAGCCAGAAAGATACCAGAAGCCACCTGCCTGAGGCAGTAACATCAAGAGCAAGAGAGGGTGGGAGCAGAGGCACAAAGCCAAAACTGCTGCCCAATCAGGCAAGGATCTGGGAAGGTCACTCCCATCTCCACAGCAGAAAATTTCCAGAGGAGAAAACAGGTTGCATTTGGAAGCAACAGCTCCTACAGCCACAGCACAGAGACAAGAAAGTGACATCAGGAAGCGGAGCCAGCAGCCCATATATGCACTCATTAGAAACTAATAATGGGAAAACGAGACAGTCATTTAAGGACAATTAAAAAATTCAAAGAACACCGTGGCCACCACTATCATTTTCTTCATTCAGTGAGCAGTGACCCATCTGCACTGTGGGGCTGGCAGGAGAGGAAGCGCCCCTTCTGAGTAGCATCTGTCCCTGTTCACCTGTGGGGCTTGGAGCCTTCTGCCTCACCATCCAAGGCACTCAAGAGTCACAGCAAGTATTCCAAGGACAGGTACCTGCTGAACACTCCAAGCCTGTGCACAGCCCTGGGTGTAACCCCAATCCCCACTCCCAGAAAGTTTTCAGTGAAGATTAAAATGCTGATCACGGAGTACACAGTACCACCAAGTGTGAACACCTGCCAACTGCCTTCTGCGTGCTCATTTCTCTCCATGAGTCAGGGAGACGAGTCCACAGCAGCCAGGAGCCCCCCTGCTACCAGGACACCGAGCAGCACTGAACCCCAGGCCAAGCGCCTGTAGCACTGCAGCACTACCATTTGCACAGATCCTCTCCCCAGCCGTCACCTATAGACAAGAATCAAAAACAACAGCAGCAGCAACAATTTTACCAGCAGCTGAACGGGAAGGGAGCACAACCCCAAACTGGCAGCAGGTGAGCAGCAGATCCCAGCAAGGCGTGGCTTAGCTCACAGACTCAGACCACCTGCCCCACCCAGCAGTCACAGACAGCACCCTGAAAATCCTTCCCAGTGTGGAGATGCAGAAGGAGAGCTGCTGCTCCTCAGAGCAGCTGCTGGGGTGAGAGGTACCACACCTGCCTCACACAGGCAGCCCTGAGATTTGGAATCCCACCCACAGCAACTTAAGGAACTCAAGTGTTATACCATGCCAGTGGCTAGAAAAATAAATGTGTTTCTCAGCTACAAATAACTCCCCAAACTACCAAACCCCTTATTAAAGCAAGGCGGAAATGATCAAACTGCTGATTTCTCTCACCTACGATTCCTGGGGTCACAATCCCGAGGACTTGGCACTGTTTTGGGAACAGCTTCTCAAGGGCAACTGCTGTTTCCATACTCATTTTTTTCCTTGCTGTAATAACACAGTAGCAAAATTACTAAATTTCACCCACTGGTCAGATCTAACAATGTTTAAAAGGGAAAAAAAGTTAAATTTTTGATGTCATCATGCTTTACAAAGTCTAAAAACTTGATTAGAAGTTTTCCTATGCCAGACATAGTGGCACACACCTGGAAACCTAGCACTACAGAGGCAGAGGTAGGATTGCTGGAAATTTAACACCAGTCTGGGCTACAAAATGTGCTCCAGGCCAGCCTGAACTGCACAGTCAAACTGTGTCTCAAACAAAAAATTTTCCTGTTCTGATCTTTAGCATAGTTTGCCTCTGGCAGTTTTGCTTACTCCATTTTCACCCAGTGATAGTAAGCTTCACAGCAACAGCGGAAAGTAGCACTTTGTGCATCTTGTCCCTCAGTTTGAGCGACTTCCCTCACAGCTGAACTACACCCGACCCCAGCTGTGGATCCAGATGACACTAAGGTCACTCATGGGAGCCCCACCCCCGGCCATAGTGCCTCATGGTACTCGACTACCTTTCCCTCAGCGAGCCAAGCATGCCTGGGATCCGTCAGTCACTTGGGAAAAGGGACCCCACAACATAGCACCAAGAGGCTGGAGCAGCTCGAGTCACACATCCTGCTCAAATTGTAAAATGCAGTGCTGGGGGGACACTGTGATTCAAAATGAGGAAAGCACCTTTCTAAAAATGCTTTTTTCAACTGTACAGCAAGGTTAGAGATCAGCTGAAGACCCCATGGCTCCATGAGGCTCAGAGATCCTCATGGACACAGCAGCCCTAGCTGGCAACCTTGGGAGTCAGCGACTCCAGGATCGTGTGTTATGGAACTGGAAGGAAATGGGAAGGAAATCAAAGACTATTTTTATATTTACCTTTCACATGGCCCCGACGCTGCTCCTGACTAACAAATGTTTCCGAATCGGCCATGTACAGGACCGTCCTCGGTAAGATGCGAACATTCTGCAGTGAAAACAGTCAGCATCGGATGCCACCAATCCATGGATGCCCATGCGGTCCCCTAATTACCTGGCCCAAAGACTGCTGCGGCCTTCCTTCAGTCAGCACCACAACTTACTCAGGGGGAGTCCATTGTTCCTTCAAGTTCAGCCCAGCCCACTCCTCCAGACAGTCATTTTCACCATGTTAATTTAAGTTTAGAACAAAAACAAGAAGTGCCAGCAAAAGATGCCACTTGTCTTACTTGAATAAACAGCCTGGTTACAAAAGATTCTTGCCCCGGGAAGGTGTGTCACTCCTCATTGGTGACCCAATCCTTTACTTCCCTGGGACCCTCAGTGGAAAGCCCCACTTCTACAGGTCCCCTGCTGCTCTCCTCCTGTCCAATTTCCCAGATGACCTCCCTGGGAACCCTGTAGTCAACACCTGCTCCTGCCTTCCCTCTGTACCAGGCATCTGCACCATCATTAGAGCTCTATCATGCCCTTCAGAGTGGGGCCACACAAACATCGATTTCTCCTCAACTTCACCTTACAGACAAGGGCCACAGTCACTGGATTCCATGGAGGGATGGGGACACTGTCTTCGAGGTCAGGATGGCATAGGGTGCTTGGCATATTGCAACCCTTTCTGTAGGTTAGGTGAGAAATCTTACTCCATTCTAACCTGGGCAGTGTTAGGATGTTTCTCAAAACGAGAATTCTCAAAGCACAGTGCAGCACAGCAGGGACCCTTCCACACCCAAAAGACAGACAAATGGAGTTTCATAAAATGCTCAGTGGTCTTTACTTCTAATAAAAAGTTAAATCGACTCTGTATATGGCAATCCAAAGCTTCTGTATGCTTGATAATATGGAAAAAACAGCATGTATGATTTATATGGGGTTCACATTTTTGTCTCACTAGTAGTTTACCAGTATAAAACTCCTTCAAGTCTATACTGTAAATCTTAGTAATGATATTAAGACTAATGACATGTATTGAAAGCATTTATTCCTAGTAGGTTAATGCGCTACATGTATCATATATTCACATTTTTATCCTTCTAATAACTTCATAATGGCATATGAGAATTTTTTTTTTTTTTTAACAAGATGGAACCTATGGCTCAGAGAAGTTAAGGAACTTTTTCAAAGTCACACTGCCAGTATGTGCCAAGGCTTCGGTCCACAACTAAAACTGGCTAGAACAGCGCTACACTGTCACAAGCTGTGACCAAAACTTTGAAAATCACCACTCAGTTTTTAAACAGTTAAAAAATTCACACAATTCCCTTTGTATTTTTGATTGTCCTTATTATACTAAATAATTTCATTATCTGCATCTTCATTTTCTCTTTGCATTAAATGATTCTTGAAATTTATCACTTAATAACTTCACTTTTTAAACATTACGATGTTAATTTCCATTTTTATAAATGATGATCCAAACTGGGCATGGTGGTGCGTGCCTGTAATCCCAGCACTTGGGAGGCTGAGGCAGGAGAATCATGGGGAGTTCAAGACCAGCCTAGGCTGCAAAATGAGCTTAAGGCAGCCTGAACTTCATAGTGAGACCCTGTCTCAAAAAGACAAAAAAAAAAAAAAAAAAAAAAAAAAAAGATGTTCTAAAGAACTCTTTCAGTGCAGTCTTTACTGCATTTTTTAATTTTTCCATATGACAGCTTTCGAAACAGTAGGCTTTGGACCTAAGTGTCGGAAAAGGAAGTTTTCACCAAGCCTGTCCTTGGATTCTGGCCGGCCAGGAGGAACCTGAGGCAGAGGCGGGGGAGTAGATGGCGCGCGGATCTGCTACCTAAATATACGAGTAACAGGGGGCCACGTTTCTGCTGCCCAAAATCAAGCAGGAGAAACTGGAAAGAACCGTATATTGGATTAAATCGGCTGCACCTGTGTGAACCTGAGCGTCCCCAGTGGGAGATATGAACGGACGCGCGCTTTCCACCGAGGGCTCCACCAGGAAAATAACCCCCATACTATCAGCACCAGCATGCGGCAGCTGCACAAACAGGTGTCAGCTGTCTTCTCAACAGTCTCTGAACGACAGAGTTAACTCAGGCCATGGAAAGCATAATGATGAGGGGGACAAGGGTTCAAGGAGAATACCCGCGCCAGCCCGCCAACGCCCCACTTGCCTCGAGCTCCTCGGCCACGGCGCGCAGCAGTCGGTGCCCGTCGGGGGCGACGTCCGAGAAGCCGTCGACCCGGCCCACGGACACCCAGGCCACGGCGCGTTGGCCCCGCAGCACGCGGCGCGCGCACGCACTCCAGAGCCGGCTCACGCTGCAGGGAAGCGGGGCGCGGTCGGCAGCAGGTCTCTCCCTGATCTCAGTACCCACCCACCCACGCGCCACCCCCCCACCACGCATCCCACAAGAGGGAGGTGCCGGACTGAGGGGCAAGGGCTACGGGACGACCTGGGCGTGCGAAGGCGCAGATAGCGGACCTGGCCACCCTGTCCCGAGGCCCCCGCCAGACCCCTAGCACCGGGCGCCCCCAATCCTCACCCGGCAGCGCGCAGCAGCGCCTTGGCGGGCAGGAAGGCGAGCACGCGCTCCACCACTTCCGCCAGGTTGCTCAGCACGAAGGCGCTCGGAAGGTCTGCGCTGCCGCCAGGTTCCATGACCGACGCCATCAGACCAGCTCCGCGGCCTGCCGCGCAGCCGCTGGTGCGCACTGCGCAGGCGCAGGCGCTACTTCCGGCCAGGGCGGGACAGAGGCACGGCGCCCTCCCCTTTCCAGCTCCGCCGAGGCCGCGCGTGGGGTCGTTGTGCGCCCTCGAGGGGAACGCGCGCTGCCTTCTCGGTCTCTTGAACCGGATACACCTCCTCGCCTCGGCCCCCAACCTGGTGTGGCGCTGCGACGTGCCGCCGCCTTCTACACTCAAGGCATGGCACTGAGTGCGTTTTAACCACATTACGACGAGAAACGTCGGACACGTAAATAGTGCCGTGCACATCGACAATATACCGTTTCGACGAGAAATGGATATGTTTCAGTTATGGACATAGACCCTGAAAACCTCAGAGGGTGTCAGGGTGCCGGGATTCCCACCGAACCAGTGCTGGCGCGTCCCCCTTCCCGAGGTCTGGCCTTGGAGAGCCGCACAGGCTAATGGGCTGGGAGGGGCTCTAATCCAGCACACAGGCCGAGGGCCTGCGAGAGCCCAGCAAGAGCAGGCACCGGCCCAGGCCCGGGAGATGTAAGGTTCTCTTGGGCATTGGTGGAGGACACCTCCGCCCCTGCCCCCTTCACACACCCAGGCCGGAGCCCAGCAGCATCTCCTGACCTGAGGCACAGTAGCTCTGGTGTGGGAAAGGTGACATGGCAATTTTTTTTTTTTTTTCTGGTACCAGGCATTTAACTCGTGCCCTCGTGCTTGCCAGGCAGGCACTTAAGCCACTGAGCTACATCCCTGGCCCAACAAGTCAAGTTTTAAATGGTTCTTTATATAGAAACTTGGTACAAGTTTACAAAATTTACTGTACATTGCCAAATAAATCTGCAATGGAAAAATCCAAAAAAAGCATGCCAAATGTACAGCCATCACACTGAGCAGCTGGCCCCATCCACAGCGCAGTTAGGGTGCAGCCTTAAGCTCGGAGAGCTTTATTGCTTTGAAGTACTCTGCCCCTTCACTGTTTCTCTGAGCCACTGCCAATCAAGCAAGCAGAATGCCAGAAAACCTTCACCAGCCCTCCCCTCTGCCAAAACCAGACCTCAAGACGGGAAACATCCACAGCGGTGCGGAAGCGCCTGTCTTGGGAGTGGCTGACCACGCTGAGAGCTGAATCTTAAAACAAATGCCTAAGAGTAACTTTAAGCTTTATAATTGGTTTGTATGTATAGAAAAGTGTGCTTCTGGGTATCCTTTTAAAAGTGCTTATCAGCTAGAATTTCTTAAATCAAACTTGGGTTTATAAAACAATACTACTAAACAAACAGGACTGAGTCAGGTAAGGCAGTAAGATGGAGGGTACCTTGATCCTATCAGGTTTTATGAAGAAATTAACATAGAGCTCTTAACTTTTGACTTAAAAGCCATTGTTATAATCTATAATACAGAGCAAAAAATTATAGTCTCTAAATTACCTTTTTGTACTTAATTGTGTAGCTTTTGCTTAAGGAGTCTGTCTTCATGACAATCAATTTATAAGTTTATTAGTTTACAGATAATTGCAATACCCTATTAAATGACTTTAAACATCTTCCAGCTCTACCCCGTGGCTCCTCTGTATGAGACATGCCAAATGGAAAAGCAGCAGTGAGCCCAGCCTGTCTCAGCCACATCGAGGAAGCAGACACTGGATGGGGAGAGCTTCTGCTAACAAGGATGTGAGCTCTGGACAGTCCATGGCTTCCGATGACCAACTTGAACAACTTCAGAGCAGGTTTCTGGACATTATTTTGGCAATACCATAAAATAGTTTTAGACCTGGAAAAAGTTGGGTTTAGAAGACCTAAATTTTCTAAACCAACATTGAACATCGATTAAACTTTTATTGGCTCTAAATGGAACAGTATTTTGCAAATCCTCATAACCCATGGGCTCAATAATAAAGAAGTTACTGTGATATTCCAGCTTCGGGGACCTGATGCTGACTTGCCTGCTTCAAGATTTCACTTTTCAAGGAAGAGATGGCAAGGGGTTGTGGTGCATCGATCAGGAAGAACACGGTATGGGCCCAGCTGCACAGTGAGCAGGCAGAAAGGCCAGAACTGAGGCTGCGGCAGTGAGGGTTATCCACTAAAGATCTAGGCATTAACATCTTCGTGCGGTTGTTACAGCACTCGAAGCTTGCATCCACATGTTGGAAAGGTTTTCTTTAAAGCAACATTGGTCCAGCTATAAAGAGTTGACATACTTAGCCATCTTCCTTTGGAGGAGTGTACCAGCCTGAAACAGAATGGAAACCAAATTAAGATAGTTTACTCCTAAACAGACTAGGAGAGCCTATATGTATGGCTTCTGCTCAGAATTTGGTAGAATTAGAATTAGAATTGCTGTAGAAATTAAAATTTGCACTTGGGTTAACAGCATTCTAATACAAAATACAAAGGTATGGATTTCCTGTGATAGAGCATACTTAAGTTTTCACATAAGCTCTATTAATGACATCCCTAAAGATAATGGTATGGCACATCAGACTTGATACTATATTTCCTTATCAATTTTGTATGTAAAAGTAAGCCTATCACTGAGAACTATTCCCCAAGTAAAATCCCAACATTCATAGTAAGAGGAATTAGAAGGTGGCCACTTAGGCAAGTGCCATGACTAAGTGACCAGGCCTAACCCTAGAGCTGGCAGCAGATGCCCCAGGGAGAATCCAATTCTACCGAACCACATAGGGCTGTGCTGCTGTGCTGGAATCTAGAAAGGGCCTCAGAAGGGTGTGGCCAAATGTTTTCCCTGCAACAATGGTAACTGGTAGGTAATTTATCTAGATTTAAGTTTTCCAAATCGAACACATAATTTTATCTGTCAATTTAAAATAAGTTTCCAAGACACTATTTTAAAAATTACAATCTATCCTTCCTGATTTTGAATCCGTTGTACTTTGATCATGGTTCAACTTTTATATTTACACATTCTCATAATCTCTCTCTTTCTCTCTCTCTCTCTCTCTCTCTCACACACACACACACACACACACACACACACACACACACACACTTCTAGGCAAATAAATAGCACTTCCTCTAAACACATCCCTTCAAGGACCCAGAACAATGGAACAAAGGGTGCAAGAGTGTTCTGCTATCAGCACCTGGGTACAAAGTGTTTTGTATACCTCTTTTCCTTCACAGCTTGGGCACTGTGGCCCTGTGCCAATTCAGGAAACTAAGGCTAAAAGATAATTTGTTCAGGGTCACAGAGCTAGCTTGTGACTCCAAAGGTACTTTAAATGGTCTTCCAGGTCTAGGTTTCTTATCTCAGTATGTGTACTGGGAATATAAGCGGAAGTTAAGGGCCAATAAAACTAATGAAGAACATCTTAAAAAGATACACTTTTCACTGTGGAAAGGCATCAGAAGCACTAAACAATCCAAAGACATTTTGCACATGGCTGGCTATGACACTTACTGCATTTACTCAATTCTAACAAAATTCTACTCCTAGGGCCTGTTCTTGCCCTACCAGCAACACCTTTCAGGTGGACACAGTGTTTCCTTTATTCATCTGCTCAGAATCTGACTCAACTCAAGGTACCTAGTCTGCTACCCAGAGCAAAAGAGATTTTTATTAATCATGGAGTTCATAGTTCATTCAGAGATGCCTGAATGAAGCACAAATTAAACGTTTTCACTGTGGATTAAGATAATTTGGTAAGATATTAAACCAAAAACAAAAAACAATAAATATCAACACATTCTGTAAAACTTCATAAATACATGTTGGATAAAACATACCATTTTTCTCATGTATCTGTACAATGGAATTGTAGGATTGTTGGGCTCTTGCTAAATTATACTGATTCTGAAAGACAATTATACATTTTAAATCAAAATTAGATGAAAACTGTTACAATAACTTTACAGATATACTGTGGCAGTGTTTCAAAGAGCACAAAAAACATACTTTCATTTCCAAAACAGTTTTAATTTAATAGTCTCAGAATACTCTCATTGCTGCTGCAAAAGAACAAAACCAAGATTGTACTCTAGCGAACATCTATAAGCTTCCCAGTTACTTCTCTTGAGAACAAGGACAGGTGAAGTTAAAGGATTCCTCAGGATGTGAATGAAACTCAAACCATCTTCCTCACTAGCTTATTCCAAAAAGACAAGCCACTGAGTATTTTCAGATTAGAAGCCCTATATATACATGCCAGTCAGATTCTGAGTTGGAAACCTGCAGCATGTCCAAAGCTAGCTCCAAGTTATGATTAACTAAAGGAGCCCTTCTTTGTTACAAAATAACTGTCTTCATAAAGCCAAGCTTAGGGTAAATTTTGTTCCTGGAAGCACAACTGCCCTACACCTTCCCTTCAGCTACTACTACTTTCAAACTCTCCATTGTGGTACAGACTGTCTGTTATGTCACAGAATTGTTTGAGTAAGAAATTTTCATAGCAGAAGAAAGCTGAGTGTGGTGGTGCACACCTGTAAGCCCAGCACCCTGGACAATTGAAGCAAGAGGATTCCAGGTTCCAACCCAACCTGGGCAACTTAGCAAGACTTTGTCTCAAAGGAAAAAGAAAAAGAAAAAAAGGTTTGGGGGAGGACTGGGGCTCTAGCGGATTGCAAAGGCCGTGTGATCAAACCCCAGAACTGCCAGATTTAAAGACTATAAAAGCATTCTAAGTAAAAACCTACTCCCTACCTGTTCCTGAGCCAACCAGACCTTCACCTACCTCATTCAACCCACACTACCCATTATGCCTGGTGTCTTGTATGTCCTACTTGGGTTTACAGGGCCATCTTGTAGCCCCTCGCTACAGGAGCAACCATGTCCATACACATTTGCAAAGCACTGGCAACACAGGACCTCAGCACCTCTGGCCTATCACCAAGACACGTTGCTCAAGTGTCCCTGCAGGTATCCTGGCATCTGAGGCCTCTGCACAGCCCCACACAGCCTCACTGACAGAAGACTTCAAATTTTTGTTATTTCTGACAATAGGTGGAAGACAGCCTTTCAGGGTGGTTTTTAATGTGTATTTCTATTATTGAGTGACTCTAAGGGTATTTCCACGATCATAAGCCATCATTTGGTTTCTCTTAGACTTATTACAGCCTTTTTCTATTTCTCTTCATTTTCTAGGTGGTCAGCACTGCCGTAAGACAACTAAAAACCTGAAACACTAAAAACATTCAGTACTGTCATTTAAACTTAGTGTTTTTCACTGTCTTTATTTTCACAAAAACGACCAAAAATAAAGACAGAAACAGACTGAACAAAATATTCACCGACATGCAAAATGATGGTGAAACAGTAGCTTCCCAAGTGCTTATTCTCTGGCACCAAGGACAGAATGAGACTGTCAGACATGCTGTGCTCAGCATCCAGCTAAAGGCAGGGCTACCTTTTACAGTTTCCTAACTCACAAATTTCTACTTAAACTTTAGTCATTTTTCCATTCTGGTTTCCCTCGATTTGACTGTGCTTTCTTTTCTAACACGGAGCTGGAGACTTGACTCACTTTTTACGATTTTCTGTTGATAAGAATTCTTAGAGCAGTGAACACCTCTGCGAGTGCTCCCTGGCTTCCATTGGCTGTGATTATATTATTGTCATCGTCTATTTACTCTGCAGGTGTAATTTCAATCCCTGTTTGACCTAAATAGTGGGAGGCTAAAAACTCCACAACAGAGACTTTGTTCTTAACTTACAGTTGTATTTAATTAGGATCAGAGAGTAAGTATCTCTTTTCTGCTTTTCAGAGCAGAGGTCTGTTTCACTGAAGAGTTTATGAGAGAATGGAGGAAATATATTTTAGTATTTTCTTTACAACCCCTTCTTCCTCACCACTAGGGACTGAACCCTGGGCTTTGCACTGCATTACATCCCCAGCCCTGGCATCTTTTTAGTTTCAGACGGTCTCACTAAATTGTAATTCTCCTCTCTCCTCCCACAGTGCTGGGATTGCAGGTGTGCACCAATATGCCCAGCTTCAAAAATTTTTAACTTTTCATTTGTTTTAACCATGACTCAGAAGTGTCTACTTTCTAAATTCATATAGATTTTTATTAATATCTTCACTTCTGTCTTCTAAATTTTATAAATTATATGGTTTGTGCAGTATGGAATGTTTAACTCTTCTAACTTGCTTTATTAATGAATGGAATTTTTTCCATATCCCACATATGCTTGAGAAGCATATAATATCTAATTACATTTCTCATTTAATGACTGAGTTCTTTTTCTATGACTAGGTTATTAAATGAATTGTGCCCTAAGTGAGGAATTGTATATAGTACGTACATTATAGTATTCACAAGAATGGTCAAAGTAAAGTCCAACTCAATGACTTTGCTTTTATTTGTATATCTCTTACATGCAGTACTGCAATATATAACAAAAAAGTTGTAGTACTATACTATACAGTACAACCAGCAAAAATTAGTACTGCATATACAATGGTGTACTGCACTTTAAAAAAGACAGTAAAGGGCCAAAAGGAGAACCAAGAAGCCAACCTGCCCTCCCGTGAGCCAGCTAGCATGCAGGCCAGGAGACCACTGCCATCGTTCTCAAGCAACCAGCTGATTGGGGAAACACAACTGACATGATAGCAACTGAAGTTTAAAAACCAAGATTTTGCAGGCCTCAGGCTGTAGTCTCAGCATCTAAGTAAACGAAAACAATATGCAATATTGCAACTATGGGAGATTTCCTTTGTCTTGTTTTTGAAATCCAAAATTGTTCTATTTTATTTTGTTCTGTTTGTTTTATTCCCTTTAAAATAAATTTTAAAAAAAACATTGAAGCTCTACCAACAAGATGTACAGAACTGTACAAAAAAAGACAGGGGGTCTAGGGACATAGCACAGTGCTTGCCTGGCAAAAGTGTGAGGTTATGAGTTCAATCCCTGGCACCCTCCCCCCCGAAAAATAAAAGCATTTTTTAAAAAAGACAAGATGTAAGTTTGAGCTATGGGTCATAAATCTGAACAGTATACCTTGATCTTATGTCTAAATAATCATTAAATAGGTAGGTTGTTTAATAAGGAACATTTGTATGGGGTATGGAGTTTTGTATTTGCTCAGTAACATATCAAGCTTGTTAAATGGTTTTTTTAAATCTATATTTTCATACTCTGATTAATACAAGATGAAGTTGAAATCTCCAACTTTTTTGGTGATTTGTCCATTTCTCCCTGTGATTTTAACATTTTTTTCCCTATGTTTTGATGGATACATAAAATACAAAACCTGCTATATCCCCATTTAACTGAGACTTTCATTATTAAGTTTTCACTAATACTTTCTGTTCTAAGTTTGTATTTTGTTTGATACTAAGGCATATCACCTTTTTTTGGCCAGTGTCTGCTGACATAACACTCACTCTTATTTTTTAAAAAATTTTTATATTTTCACATTTCTAATGGTTTTGTATTCTTATATTTCAAATATGCTTCTTAAAAACAGCTAATTTTATTAATCCCATCTAATGTCTGGTTTCTTTAATCCGCTTGTGACTTCCTTCTATCACCTTACCATACTTCCTACCTTCTATTTTTCTAATTTTTAAATATAATTTTATTATCTTCTTAGAGTCCAAATAAGACATATTTAAACCTCGTGCTGTTCTGTCTTAACATCTGCCATATTATGTTTCCCATGTCTTTAACACTTTCCTTTATAGTATTTTTTAAATTAGCATTTAGATTATTTCCTGCAGAGTTATAGAATCCAGAAGAAGAAACTTGTATCACGTAAAGTTGCCAGTTTCCTGACAAATAGTTCTTACTAAGCATAAAAAAGAGAAAAAGTTTCCTCACTAGAATTCACTAAACAAATTCACCTTGTAAGACCTAGGACCATGTATGGTGAAAAGAACCCTTTAGTCAGCACACAGGCTGGTGATCCCAAAGCCACCACCGGTGACACCGCAGCCATCCCAGTATATGTAAGCACATTCCAAAAGGTTCCAGTAGCAACAAAACTGCCTAACTACACATTCCTCTATCTTTAGGCAGTGGATACTTGTATTTTAATTTGGAAATGTATTTAGCAGCCTAACGGTGTTCTATGTAAAATGGTTGTAATATACTTGCCAAGAAAACTGCAATTCACAGGAAAAACCATTTAAAGCAACTGTATTTACACCAATTGAGTCTAAGGGATATATGTCACAGAACGAAAGAGTACTGGTATTACAGAATTCTAAAACTGGAAGAGACATAAAATACTGCCAAACAGACATCTAAGCTGAGACACTCTGTCCTGGCTCCAGTCTCCACCTTGGCCCAGCGAAGGGGCTCAGATGTGACAGCCTTTTGGGATCTGACACCTGGTGAACCAACTATTGAAAAAAGTAGATTTTACCCAGATTATCTGGACACAGGTTCTACTGCTGCTAGGAAAAGCAATGTTAAAATTTTAACATTTTGGCTGAAGGGCCAAAGCACTGATGTTACTAACGGGATGGATACCAATTCAGGAAACTCCAGCTTTACAGAAAGTTTTCAGATATTAATTCACAGACTCACCTGAAAACTACATTAAGACAAAGACTTTTGAGGGCTTCTATCTATTATGTCTTGCTGTAAGTCAGGGACACTGGAAAAGCATAAATTCTTTTAGGAGCTAGAGCATATCCTAAGGCAATTACTTTAGAAGAAACCACGCCATTGTTTTCAGCTGTTACAAATGGACACACAGATGTGTTAAAGCTGTTATTCTGACATGAGCAAATGTTAATGGATCTCGTTCTATGTGTGGATGCAACTCCTTACAGGAGGTTTCTTTCCAGGAAAATGCTGAGATCATAAAATTACTTCTTAAAAATAAAAGGAACAAACAAGGAATGCCAGGTTGACTTTGGACTCGCACATTCATTTGTGGCTGTGCAGCATGGCTAGCTTTGTACAAAGCTTGAGCATACTTATTCTATCAGATACAAATGTTAATTGTCAGGCCTGGGACAAAGCTACTCCCTGGTTCTTTGCTGCTCAAGAGGGTCGTACTAAATTGTGGAGCTTTTGCTGTCCAACAGGGCATATCCTAACCTTTCCTCTAATAAAGACAACTGAGAGTTACCTATTCATGCAGCACACAAATGTTCTATACAAAAATCTTAGACTTATGAAAACTACTTACGTTAGGTCTGTGAAACTGGGCCCAAGTGAGCCCTGTTTACTCAGCAGTATTGGAGGATGTGGAAAGTGCAGAATGGCCACTTCCCAGATACTCAGAGGTACCTGGTCTTTGCAATCAGTTCTCCTATGTGCAGAGCTTTCCAAAAGGACCATGATTCTTTGGAATTGTGAGTACTTTTTTGAGATATGGAGCCAGCTAATGAATTTTATTTGGCATATTGCTTGAAGTATGAGAAATTTTTAGTATTTCAATTCTTTCTGAAGGAAAATTGCCTACTGGTACCATGGAATCATGTATCTGAATTTATAAATCGCAGTTAAAGCACAAGCAAAACATAAAGCAAGGCTGCCACACCTCCCACTTGTTGGCTTTGACTTACTGACTGTCCTGGGCAGTCCTGCACTGACTCATGCCAGTGATAACTCCCACCACCACCGCCAGCTTCACTGTGGCACTGACTGAGAAGAGACCTCCACCAAATATTGAGAAGATGCTCTCTCTGCGTGTACCTCAAACTCCTCTTAGGTTCTATGACTGCCTTTGTTCCATCCTTAGCCCATCTCTCTTTTTTTGAAATTTGGTCCAGCCTGAAAAAATACTTGCAACTTGACAACTCTATCCTTCCGTTGCCCTTTCCTAGAAGCCTACATCACTATTTGCTCTATGAAGAGGTTCTAGAACACTGGAAAAATCAGTGAGCTACTTAATGTAAGTCACATTTTACCCTGAAAACCATCAAGATAAAAGAGCCCTAATGAAGAAATTACTCATGATTGTATAGTCATAAAAAAGAATTTTTACAGCTAGACTTTGCAGCATATTAAAAATATATATAAACTTCCTGGATACTACACTTTATTGCAGTTTCATCACTGCTATACTTTATGTGATAATATTTGTTTACCTCATTATTTTCTCGTTTATTCTACTAATGCACTGTGATGTTCCTTCTAGTGCTAGACAGAACATACTTCCACCTATGATTTATATTTTCACTTTGTGCTAGGAGCTACAAATAGAATATCCAATACTTTCTTTGGAGGTATATACAAATATGATGATGACGATGATGGTGGCAGTGGTAGTAGTGGTGGTGATGGTGATTAATTTGGGGCTGAATATCTATTTTATAACAATAAGGTTTCCTGTCCTTTCATATTTCAAAAGCAAATACTGTCTAATTTTATTTCAGATACAGATCCAGTGGTCCACACAAAAGTTTATACAGTGAATTACTGGTAAAATATTCTTTCAGTTACTCAGAGAGATCCCTGGCATACATCCTTCATATTTTCTCTTTTAAAAAGAAAAATACGGGCTAGGGATATAGCTCAGCAGCACAGCACCTGCTTGATGCGTGTGAGGTCAGCACCTGCTTGATGCGTGTGAGGTCCTGAGTTCAATTCAATACCAAAAAAAAGCCAATTTTTAAAATATGATTAAAATTTAACATCAAACTCTGTATATTAATAGGTGCCAGGAAGACAACTGCAAAGACTAAAGTAAAATACTAATAATATTTTGCTATATTTATAGATAGAATGACTATTTTAATTTTTTGTATTTTTACCAACTTTAGAAATTCTACATTTAAGAAGCATATGTTTTGTCATTAAAAAATAAATGTAATTATTGAACACTAGTAAACTGCTTAACTTCTGAGTTTTAATGGTAAGTGAAATAAATTATTGACACACAAGCTTAAATATCACAGTTTCTCTCATATGAGAAACCCAAATTATAAAGAGCAAAATAAAAGATAATAGAAATCAGGGAGATAAACCTTTCTCAAAGGGGAAGGGTATGAAGATATGTTGAGAGGACAGGAAGGGGAAGAAGGGGGAGGGAAATGAAAAAAAATTAAGATGTACCAACTCCACACAAGGAAAGTAAACATTATGTATTGCAAATATGTAATAATAAAAAAGGTATTTTTGTTCCAATGTAAAAAAACAAGATCCTAAACAAGTTAAAACATTGAAATATTTTTTTACAAAATAACCTTTTCAATTTTTTGCTTTTTCTATAAATTAAGAATCTAGGGCCAGGGATTTAGCTCAGTGGTGTAAGTGCCTGCCTGGCAATGCAAGGTTGTGAGTTCAATCCCTGATACCAAAAAAAAAAAAAAAAAAAATCAATGAGCTGTAGACATATGGGCATCTTTTTGGGCTGGGGATTTAGCTCAGTAGCATAAGTGCCTGCCTTGCAAGCACGTGGTCATGAATTCAATCCCTGGCACCAATAAAAATAAAGAATCTAGCAGACTCATGATTCCAAGTATAATATCGTGATAAACTTTTTAAACTGTTTGAATAGATGGCTAATACAAAATTCACAAAGAATTTTAGGAAAAACATTCGAATTTTTAAAAATAGAACAATGATTTCTATCACATAAATACTTTTCAAAAACATACCAGATTGAGAGTGCATCAATTTGCATATTTAAACACTTATTGACAAATTCAATTCCTCCTAGAAAGCTATGTGTCATGTATTAAAGTGAATAAACTTAAGAACTCAGTGATTAAGAGCAGAGAATAGGCTGGATATGATGGCGCATGCCTGAAATCCCAGCACTTGGGAGGCTGAGGCAAAAGGTTGCTACAAATTTGAGGCCAGTTTGGGCTACAACAAGACTTCAAGGCCAGCATGAACTGCACAGTGAAACCCTATCTCAAAAACACAGAAAAAAAAAAAAAAAAAAGAGACTAATGACTGACAACCTCATTCTAATCCTTACTCTGCCATCTGTGACCTGAGACAAGTCATATGAGCTGTGTATGATTGTTTCCTTGGCTACAAAATTATGACAGTAATTGTACATATCATTTGTGTTATTAAGAGGGTTGAAAGAATTAATACACACTTCAATTAGAGTTCAGCACATTAAGAATGAACTATTATAGTGTAACCTCAGATTGGAAAAACCTCAAAGTACATATTATTTTGTGTTTATTAGGACATGTCTATCAGTAATAAATTTAAATTCTGTAGATGTGTTTCTTTGTGAATACAAAAGGCTAAAAAAATTAATGACTATCAATGAGTATCTTCATTTTCTTATATATTTTCTATAGTTCAATTTTATAAGAAAGAAAACAAAACAAATAAAAATGAAATAAATTCTCAATGAGAACAAACACAGGAGAAGCTTCCTAAGTAACATGAAATGTATCTGACAATGATATGAAATTCTTACAGTACCTTATTTGCTCCAAACTGCACTCTGGCTTTGCCTTTGACTAAGGTGGCGTTGATCTGCATGATGACTGACTCTATGGAGTAGGCACTGCTCCAGCCCTGCAGAAAGAAGCAGCTGTTTCTAAATACAGCAGCAGTCCCATCCTCACGGGACAGCCTCACGGAACAGCATGCAGGAACTCAACAGAAGCGAGCTGGTGTTCAGAAGTTTGTAGTACAGGGGAGAAAGTAAAACTGGACCACTTCCAGGATCTCACAAAAACAAAACCATCCCACATTCATTCTAAATTCCCAATGTGAGCAAATAAACCACTCTTTCAACAATCACCCTACTAAGCGATTCAGCAGCAAGCACAATGTCATTTTACTGGTTTACTTTAGTTTTTTTATTATCAAAAAGAAGATACTATTAAAAATTTTTTAAAGTAGACATAAGAATTTTTCTACTTAATATTTCATACACAGACTCAAAACACTATTGAAGCTGCAAATTGTGAACCATAAGAAAAACAGTCACCTGTTTTGTGAGAAGCTCCATACACAGTGCTCCTCCACCCAACACATACCTTAAAAAGAAAAGAAAGGAATCATACAAAATCCTCTAGGACTCTATGCTCCATCTGAATTTTTAAAAAGCCATTACAAAAAAGAGTATGTACATAAATTTAGAACACACTAAAATGAAAAGTTAAGGGACACAAGATTATGGGTAATTTAAAAATGTTAAATCATCATTCTAATAGTCAACTTAAAAATGATTCTTAGTAACAGAATCCTTAATGACAGAATTTTGTGATATCCAAAAATAAGAATTTAGCAGAACACATTCCAGAAAACGGGGACCAAAGAATTAGTGCCCTGCACTAGCACCCAAAAGTCCCACCACCTCCCTCTCTGTAATAAACAGCTGCACGATGCTGCACAGCTCAGGTTGTCTTCTCCATCCTGAGATGACACTCAAATTCTGACCAGCAGAGACAGGATATTCTCTGAACCAAAGACAATTCTGGGAATCTCCCTTTAGGAAATCATAATGTAGGTAAAAAGTCTTCTATCTTTTATTTATGTATTTATAGTACCGGGGATTGAACTCACAACCTTGCGCTTGCCAGACAGGTGCTTACACCAATGAACTAAATCCCCAGCCCAATTCTTCCATTTTTTAACCCTTTTAAAAAACAATTCCACACCTCCTTAATGTTACTTTAAATTTCAAAATACATTAAATAGCATGCCTAAATATGTAAATCGGAATCCTTTCAGTCCGAAACTTGTAGTGACTACTGATGAAAGCCCTAGCCCAGGACAAAATGCTGTGTCCTCTGCCAGGCATTGCCCTGCCTTTTCCCTGCCTACAATTCTGGCCATGCATGCCTACCTCCCTGACACTGTTCTCCCCACAGAACTTCCCAGACCATTCTAGCCTGCAAACCTTCCATCCTGGCTCACTACAGGCATTCCCATGTCAAATAAACCAAATGTCTCTGCAGAGAGGTAGGGAATCCAAAAGCTCCTGGAGACCCCTGAAATCACTAATAGTACACTGGAACTAATCAACAGCTAGTGAGGAAAATATTCCTCATACTTTTGTTTTTCTGAAATACAAGTACCTCCAATTTCCTGAATCTCCCATAGATCTATAAAATTACCTTATATGTAAAGGTATGCTTGCTGATTTAAGAAAATTAGTAAATCTAGGTTTTCATTTAAAGTTTGGTTTCTCTGTAACTACCCAAAATCTTGACATCTATTAATGTGTGGGCCTCATATTTGACCTGTACATTTCAAAATGCTAAGCTAGACAGGGACTCCTTTCAGGACAAAGAGGTATGCAGTGGACACTTAAGTTACCCACGACCCAGCACCTTTTTTGTGCTGGGGATTGAGCTCATGATCTCACGTTTGCCAAGCAGAGGGTTTTATTGTATGTGAACTGTAACATGATGAAGCTGTTGTTTTTTAAAATTTTTTAATTTTTTGGTACTGGGGACTGAACTTACGATCTCACACTTGCCAAACAGGTACTTGTGCCACTGAGCTAAATCCCCAGCCCGAAGCTGTTATTTAAAAGCTTGGCTCTGACAACAAATTAATAGGGTAATAAAAGAAGTAAAATATGAAATATACAGCAAAAACTGCTCAATAATCTAGACAGAATCACACAGGGTTTTTAACCTGCAGCTAGTTTGCAAGTTCTGTGTTTGTTAGTATTTCTAATTATTTAGGTCGCCTTAAGTCAGTAATTTTTTTTCCTCACTTAACAGTTGACGCTAAAGACCAAGTCACCTTAATCCTGCCTCCAATGAGCATCTGCATTTCACTTTTCTTTCTGTTCCCTTCTTGTGCACCAGCTTTGGCTCCCACAAATCAGCCTGAGATACAGCACTAGCTCTTAGCGAGTGCTCTGTCTTTCCGGCCTCCATCAGCACCATGCATCCACTGCAGGCATTCATCTTTCCATAATGTTCCTTTGTATTATTCCCCTCTTGCTAGCCAGGTAAAACAACATGAATCCAAAACCCTCATGTAGGTCTGCTTATCAGAGAGACAGTAAAAAACACAAAAAGACCTGTGTTTGCTTTAGGATGTTGGACAAATGCAAGTTACTATTTCAGCATCATTTACAGTATGAAAAAATAAATAAAGCATAAAAAAATAAAAACTATGGCTTGGAAGGTAGCAAAAGGCTGATAATTTACCAGACACAAAGGTTAAAAATTTGTCATCTTTTAGTTTTATGTTCAGTCCTTTGTATATATAAATATTTGACTGGGTCACCCAATATTCGATTCTCAAAACTGATTATAAGGTTTTATGACAGGAAAAACACTTTTGCTATCTAATTCACTACAGTGTAGGGATGCTTTAAATTCAAAATGAAACTTTGCACAATTCTAAACCCTTTATGCTCAATTGCTCTATGTCCTCAATGTAATAGTACATCGGAGATCAATTCTGTAACATCTTGTCAGAAAGAACTAAGCTTTTACATGGGGATTTGTAAGTCCATAGGGTCTGTTATTATCCCTAAGAGATGAGTAGAACTTTTCTTGCTCGGCAAAAGAAAATATCCAAGAATCATTCACGACTTTAATAAAGTAGCATTTCCCAAAAAGCAAACCAGAGGACCTGTTCTTCTGAGATCCCATGGGGTAAATAATTATAAGTTAGACAGATTTAGGAAAGCTGTTTAACATCTTTAAAAAATCACAGTAAGGTTCCAGGAGGTCACTTGGGGTTGAATGTCACAAGCTTGGTTTCTAAAACCCCACAATCCTTTCAAATAACACCCCTATTAACATCCCACCACTGGTACGCACAGAGCATTCTGGGAAACGCAGCCTAGATCTCTTTCACAAGCAGAATTTTACAGTATTGCATGAGTTAAAATGGGCTCAGCACATTTACAAGTGCTAAATTTTTCTTAAAGCCACCTTCTTTTGATTGAGCTTCACAGACATACCTCATCCCCAACATCACCACCACAGGTTCCACAGGTAACCATAGGTAACATCCTACCTATATAGTGAAACAATTCTTAACATCCCATAGTACATAGAAAGAAGCACATAAAGCAAAGAGAACTAAATGTTCTGTAAGGAGTTAGGAGCAAACTCACTTCAGAGAAAGTTCTCTGTAGTAGTCACCCACATTTTTAACCTGAAAGTAACTCTTCCTGTCTCAACCACAGAAAACATCAATTTAAGGGTGGGATTATCTTTAGATTGCATTGCTTGAATATGGATTATCTTACAAAGTAAAATTATTCAGCTAAGTGTTTGAAAATTCTCAAATTAGTTTAACCGCTTCTATATTGGCAGTCTACACATTTCATAACTAACCTAGGTACAAATTCTTGTTTTCCCATTCTCCTTACGACTTCGATCCACAAAAAAGAATCACTACAACATCAACGAAAGCACTTAATTGCCACTTAATTCCAGTCAACATCACCACTCCACTGTAAGGCAGGCTGGCTTCAGCTCCAGAGGTCATGAGAGCCTGCCCCTCCTAGAGGCTCTAGGTTGAAGAGTCTGGCTATAGGAACTACTCCATCTAGAATTCATGTCCTCAACCACAATCTGTATTTGAAAAGCACTTGACTTTTAAGGTAAATATATATAAATAGGAACCACTAAAATTTCTACCTATAGGAAAGTAAGGATTTACACCATGATTCTCAATGTGAGCCCCAAAGTAGCAGCATCAGCTTCACCTTAGAACTTATTAGAAACGCAGGTTCTCAGGCCCCACCTTGGTCCTGCTGAATCAGAAACCTTGGGACAGAAGCCTGGCAATCTAAGCCTCCCAGCGTTTTAAGGAGCTCTACAAATGATTCCCACATGCTACCAAAAACAAAACAAACAAACACTTAAACTTACCCCCCTGAGAGAACAGGTAACACTACTCGAACAAATGGAGGATCAAATGGAAAGTTATCCTAAAAAGTAAATAAACAAGTTTAATATTACTTAGAAGATTTTAAAATCATCACTAAAGAAATTCATATATTTATTATCTGATGAGGATCATAAAATCAGTATCAACAAGTAGGATGAAACAAAAACCAAAGCAAATAAAAACGAAGTTAAGATTAGGCTCAAATAGGGGCTGGGGGTTTAGCTCAGCAGCATAAGCACCTGCCTTGCAAGCAGGCAGTTGTGAGTTTGATCCCTGGTACGATAAAAAGGAAAAAGACGAAGAAAAAAAAAAAAAAGATTAGGCTCAAATAGAATGGTATTGTGGTAAATTTATTTCACTAAGTGATTCCATTCCTAGTAAACCTACACAAAAGCAATGTTAAAATAATAAATTTCTGGATAATAGCCAGAAAGAGTGGGCAAAATTTAACAATTACAGGGCTGTGTCTGGGAAGAAAAAGAGAAACTCTATAGAGAAAGGGCTTTTCTTCCAGCTACATACAGAAGAGAAGAGGTTAACAAACTGAGTAGAACTCACAGACTCATGGCTGGCAAGATAAAAAAATCAGAACACTGGAGTCCACCACGAAGAGGTACTGGTTCATATTTTAGATTAGGTCCCTGAAGACAATCTATAAACTTTCCTGGCAGAAATCAAGTCCAGCTTTAAATCAGCCCCATCCCTGATGGATGAGTCCTACCCAGGATGCCACTGTCCATGCCCCTGAAAGGGGCAAAGGTAAGTCAAAGGGGCAAAGTTCTAGAGAAGAACATTATCCAATGAATGCTATAGATCTGCACTGTGATGTTTCATACACAGTGTCTGTCACTAAGAACAAGCAGCTATAAGAAACTTAAAGATGATACAATCAGAAAACCAGAGAAGCAAACTACACACATAACCACAGGGACTGAGGTATAAATACATTCAAGAAAGGAAAATACAAGCCTAAAAATCTGGCAGAGAACTGCAAATGGAACCATAGAAATTCTAAAATTTAGAGACAGAATAACTGAAATTAATAGCTCAACGAATGAGCTTAACCACAAGCAGGAACAGAATTGAAAAGAGTAAGCTGAAAAATAGATCAGAATAAAACTAGGAAAAACAAAAAAGTGAAAAATGAAAGAAACATCAAGACATAAGATAACATGCTGAAAAGGTTTACCATACACACTGAGTCCTAGGAGAAGAAAACAGAACAGAGAAGCTGAACACTTCCCAAAACCAAAGCAGGACTGTTGAGGCTTAGCTCCTGACTGTGCTCAAAACCGATAAATGGAAGGGCTGGAGGTTTAGCTCAGCGGCATAAGTGCCTGCCTTGCAAGCAGGCAGTCGTGAGTTTGATCCCCGGTACTGATAAAAAGGAAAAAGACAAAAAAAAAGAACTATTTGGGGCTGAGGATTTAGCTCAGCGGCATAAGCGCCTGCCTTGCAAGCAGGCAGTGGTGAGTTCGATCCCTGGATCCCTGGTACCGATAAAAACAAAAAAGACAAAAAACAAAACAAAACTGATAAATGGGAGAGAAGAAGGTGTCTAGAAGTGGTTGGGAGGAACTCTAGGAGGCCAGGCCTAACTGGAGGCAATTGCTGGGAGAAGCTATGTTTTGTACCCTTCTACCTCTCTCAAAATAAATCTTTCCTCTTTTAAACTGTTTATCTTAGGGATTTTGTCACAGCAATGAATAGCCAACAGTTACCACAAGATTAAAAGACTATTAAGTAGTTTAAGAGAAAAATAGAGGTCACAATAAAGAGTATGATAGCTTCAAGATGCTAAAAGAAAGGAAATGCCAACCCAGAAAACTATATTCAATGAAAATGCTTCTCAAAATGAAATAAAAACAGCACCCTGGGAGGCTAAGGCAGGAGGACCACAATTTTGAAGCCAATTGGGTAACTCAGCCTCAAATTAAAAGTGAGGGTGAGTACCCTAGGGATGTGGCTCAGTGAGAAGGGTCTAGGTTCAATGCAGGGGCTATGTGTAAAAATAGACATTTTCCTATTCACAGACCCACACACAAAAGGAAAAAGACATTTCTAGTAGAAAAATATGATCTTAGATGAAAGAATAAAGAGCATTAAACAGCAACTATGCAGGTGGGCCCCAGTGAGTAAGTGTAGGGTTTCAGATAAGCACAGAACTAAAATGGATGACAACAGCCACATATCTGGAAAGGAGGACATGAATTCAGTATGTTTTAAGTCTTCTACTGACAAGAAAAACTATAAATCAACAAACTGATGTTATACATTGACAAGTTGAGGTATATACCATGATTATAAGGGAGAAAGGAAGAACAGGAAAGCATACAGCTACCATGCTAATACAGACAGGAAAGTGCTGTAAGGAAAAGCAAAAAATGAAAGAAAAAGCATAGAGCAAGAAATACAAGCAGAAAATCACCTATAGCATGGCAGATTGAAACTGGGTTCATAGCACTGATAGTAAATGGAATGGACAGACTGCTCCAACTGCAAATCAAAGATTAGACTTGATTTTAAAAAATGAAGAGAGCAAGATGAGAGAGAAAATAAGCAAAGAAAAGAAACCTCAGCAACTTCTTAGGCTAATTACAATCCCTTTTTTGAAATTTTAGTATTGAAAACTGTTTCCAAAGCTGGGCATTATGGCACACGACTATAATCCTAGTATTTGGAAGGCTGAGCCAAGAGGATTGCTGTGAATTCAAGGCCAGCCTAGGTTACAAACAGAGCTCAAGGCCAGCCTGAACTGCATAGCGAAACTCTGTCTCAAAAAAAAAACAAAACAACAACAAAAAAGAAAAACTGTTTCCAGAAGAGAGAGTTTTCTGCCTAATGAAATGAGGCACAAATGCCAAAGTGGTGCCAAAGTGGCCGCAAGTGCGAGCTCTGTGCTGGGCAGGATGCCAGGAAGGCTAGCCCTTCCCTCCCTACAGCAGTTGGACAGGACAGCACCCTGCTTGTGACGGTAGGAGACAGCCAGTACCACCAAGAGATGCCATCTCTATTCTTTATATTCAAATAAAACAGGATTACAGGAAACAACTGATGCCTTGCAGAAGACCAATTTGAGGGTGAAAAATCCAAACAAACATTTGCTTCACCAGTCATTTCCAAAGGAACACAAAAACACAAGTTCAACTGAGAAGAGCAGAGCATAATTTCAATAATTTACTTTAACTCTCTCCCTTTGCCTACCCTTCGTAAGACTCCGAGGAACATACAAATTACGGAAACTCAGTCCTATGGGCAGAAGATGAACAACTGCAACTCAGAAAGTGAAGAATCTACCCACACAAGAAACCAATTTGAATGATAGCTATGATAGACTAGAAAGATTCTATTTCATAAGCAACTCACCATTTATCTGTGATTTAGTAGTATAATAAAAGGCATTATTAACAAAGTTTGGTAAAACACAACCTCATTTAATCTTCTATTATTTATCCCTTTGAATGCATCATCCCAAGTAGGTGACTTCAAATCTGTGTTAAGAATTATCTTCAACTAATTCTTCTGCATTAGAACTTAGTGTGCCCTGATACTCAACTAATCAAGATTTTACAGAAATAAAGAGGAATTCCTTAACTAAAAAGAAAAAAAAATAGTTAAGACAATTGTGAAAATGGAAACTTGAGTTACATTACTGTACTAACTCATAAATGAGAATCTCAAGCTTTAGGAAGATGCCATAAATTTATCTGATTTCCCAGTTAGCACCCGGGCCTTCTAAGGATGAAGAACATTCTGTTTTTAAGATGGTATTACAAAAGGACTCTAAATAGTTATAAAACTTGAAAACTGACTGTATAATTTGACTCATTAGTTCTAGTTTTACACCATGTGTCCAACAAAAACAAAACTAATGCTTTCAACAGTCCTTCAGACTGCTGAATACACCCATTCTCTCACCTCCAAGTCCACAATTTAACCAAGCTATCTTATGATATAAGCTAGAACCTCATACCACTCCTGATTGCTACTCTCTAAATAAACTTTAATTTGTCTAAATAAACTCTTCTTAAAAGTACCATCCGACATTCAATTCAGTAATTCACAGGTGGCCTGAAGAGTAAGAAAATTCGCTTCTTTAAAAGTACGGCACTGGGCTGGGGATATAGCTCAGTGACACAGTGCCTGCCTGGCAAGCACGAGGTCCTGAGTTCAATTCCCAGTACAAAAAAAAAATGTACAGCACATCACATTTATCAAGCTGCTGATCAGGTCCCATCTCCATGACTACGTTCTAAATCAAGCTCTATTTTTCTCATTGTTCCTAATTCGCCAGTGTCAGTATGCATACCTGTGCAATTCTGGCCCTTTGTGTGAGTCTTGCTGAGTTCTTCTGCTTGCTCCAACCTATGAACCCTGACACCAGTAACCTGCTGATTTCATGTAAGGTCCTTCTCACAACATCAATTAGCCCAGGAAGATCACCCTCAACCCAGGCCTCTTAAAAAATACTCCAACCCTAGGAAAAGGCCCTTCTTTCTGTTGTCATTGTCCAAAACATAAATCCACTAGAATTTCAACCATTTTCCTCCCAGATCATCCCTTCCCTGAAGTTCTATCTAGAGTAGGAAAATACTATGAAAACACTGCCTTCTGTCACAAATGGCTCCAAGGAGGAAGGGACAGGGAGGGGCACATAGGTGCTTCAAAATACTAAAAAAACAAGGTTCTATTTCATAAGCTCAGTGTTAGGCACATGAATGTATGATTTAATATTATTTTCAATTAAAATATTTTACATAGTTTTTGTTTTGTTTTTGCACTGATTAACTTTCCTACTTTTCCATGGTTGTCTGGTTGATTTTGCCTAGGCATTTCCTTTATCGCCCCATAGGAATTAGTAAAAGTGACGAGTCATGAGCACCTACATCAAGTAGACCAGAGTCACATCCTAGAAAGACAGCTCAGAGGATACTGATATACTTTATACAATAACCAAACTGAGGAACCATGACTCTTGGGCTATTTCAAGAAAGTATAGTCATAAGACAGACCTCCAAATAAAAACAGGTTTATATAAAACCTATACAAAAAGCTTTCAAAAAAATATTGCCACTGTTTTCCTAAATATAAATTTTTTTTTTTTTTTTTTGGTACCGAGGATCAAACTCATGACCTTGTGGCTTGCCAGGTAGCTGCTTATGCCACTGCACTAAACCCCTGGTCCCCGATTTTTTCTTAATTACAAAGAAAGTATCTTTTCATGTCTTAATTTTCATCATTCAAAACAACTCACACTAATCTACTCTCACTTCTACTATCACCACCCTACATCTGGTCTTCACTTCTAGTTAAAGCCCCTCCCAGAAATTCACTCTGCCCTATCTAATCCCTGCTGTACTATCAGAGGCATGACTATTCAAAACAGAATGAAAAGTCTAACAGATCAAGCATGACTTTGCATAAAAAACTAAAGATTCTTTCTGCAGACTGTTCACTACAATTTTCGAAGTCTGATAGCCTCTATCACACTAGTTTCCCATCTCCAGAAAGAACACAGGCTCTTGAAGAACAGAGATCACAGTTTAGATGTTTTCAGGCATTTTAAATCATCAATCTGAAATGAAAACAATCTATCTGCAAGATAACTGTTTCATAAATTTTTCTTCTCAGTTTAAAAAAATAGGTTAAAAGAAGCCCCATATAATTTAATTCCTTTAGATATACTTTCTAGGCTTTTTAAACTAGTCAATATTATTAAGGGCTTAATAATACTGCCTTACAGCTTATCCATAATTCTTAATAACTCACTAACGTTTTATCTAGGTCCCTTTGCTATTCTTTTTAACCTTCATTTTTAGCATCCTAAGAGTAACTATTAAATATAGTACATGAATTCAGAAAATGCATAAAAAAAAAGAGTACACCTTACAAGTGGTTGTGAAGTACATGCCCTTTTCAACTCACAACTCCAAATGGGCTCCTTATCCTGAGTTGTATGCTAAGCATATCTCTGCTCTTTCAGACAGCTTTATTGCCAAGGGATAAATTTGTGTATTAATATTTATTTTTTTCATTTTTTCCCAAGATACCACTTTAAAATTTTTACCTCATTTTGCCCTTCCCACCTGCCCAATGGAATTTTTAACACCACACAACTCTTTCTTGGTTTATGTTTTATGGTTCCTTGCAAGTGCCAAGATCACTGCAACACTGAGCATTTTTTTTTCACTCTGAAGACCCATTTTCACCCCATTCAGGTGATATCCAATGAGAATGCATTCCCTAAACTATTATTAGCTTTACCAATTCCTAAACTCTATATAATATATAAATGAAATTGTACAAAAAAGTTTAGGGCGCTAGTTTCTCTTGCTCAGCACTGCATTCAAGATTCATCCATGTTGTACATAGCTATATCCCATTTTATGAATAATATAATTCTCCATTTTACTGGAACTTCGATTTTTCTGTTTGAGTTATTGTAAACAACACGGCTCTGAACATTCTTGTGCCTGTGTCTGTGTGCCTGAATACTCATTTGTCACAGAGCATATTCCAAGAGAATTCCTGAACTGTAAGGTAAACACTTCATACAAATAATACCATATTGTTTTCCAACCATATGGAGTCCCACTAATATTTTCTTACCTTAAAAGAGAAGTTAAGCAAAATATATTCTATGCCTTCTTTTTCTTTTAAAATCTGAAGATCACTGTGCAAAGGACTATCAGGATCAACCCTAAGAATAACAAAACAAAAGCCAGTTCAAACAGAGGACAATTTTTTTCACTAAACTAAAAAATGAAGCAGTCTAAGAGATAAAACAGAGACCCCCAAGCTAAGTTCCAGACAGAGAAGTTCTAAAGCTGCTCTATAACCCTGGAAAAAAAATAACTCATTGTAGTCTCTAGCTCCTTGGGAATATAGGCTCAAAAGGAAATTACAGTAGTCAGACCTATTCTTTTTTTTTTTTTTTTTTTTTTTTTTTTTGGTCTTTTTGAGACTGGGTCTCTCTATGCAGTTCAGGCTGGCCTTGGGCTCACTTTAGTCCAGGATGGTCTGAATTTGCAATGATCCTCCTTGCCTCTGCCTCCAGTGCTGAGATTATAGGCATGTGCCACCATACCCAGCTAGTCAGATCTATTCTAATACAGGAATTCAAAATCAGAAAAAGGCACATGTTCTTAATTTCCTCCAAAAAAAGAAACACAAAACAAAACAAAACACATACTTTCTGAAATTTAGATTATTAGCCAAGGAGTTCATGGAAAAACACTGCCACCAAAAAAACCCGTGACAGATCGAGTTACTAACTACAAAAGTCTAGATTTGTCTACAACTCTTCTGCATATACAAACCCTGCCCAAATTCCTTACTTCAAGCAAATTGGTTATCAGTCAACTTCATCAGTGAGACAATGGCAATCTAAATTGTCATTGTCTTACAAACTCCATGAAACACCTTATCCCATAGTGGTTCTTTCTCACTTTATAAAACAACTCATTTTCACAACCTGAGAACTATTTCCATAAAGAGAAGTTCTCAAGTTCTAAGTAACAGTATAAAAGGTTTCATATTGAGAGTAAAAACTCTCACTGTAAGAGTCAAACACTGCATGAGTAGGTCAGCATCAGAGCCACTTACTTCTGCAGCTTCACGTGCCACTCATATAGACTGTCATTTACTAGTTCCACGGAATAGATCCCTGGGAAGACAAAGCACGCTGGTTACTCTCCACCTTATCATGTACCTCAACCATCATATACAAACCACCAACAAAAACTAGAAATTTCACTACTGAACGGAATGTCTAAGCTGTACTGCAAATACAGTGTCTTACACCCTTAACAGACAATCAAAACCATCAGTTAACAGGATTCTTCAAGGAATTCAGAAACCACTTACTATTAACTTTGAAAAATTCAGTTATGTTAAGTCACATGACTTTTCTTATGTGTACACAGAAACATTTATACAAAATTGAATCCTCCTTACACAAATGTTTTTAATCTTCAATTTGCTAGGACATCTCAGTCAATATACACTAAGTCCACTGTCAACTCTCTTAGTAATTTAAGAACATACCATAATGTAACCAAATCTAATATCTGGTTATTAAATTTTTGCCAACATTGAGACAGACAGGTAATTATTTAACATTCAAAGATAAAACCAGTATTCAAATGTTTAACTATTTAGGTTTCTATAGATAAATGTTTAGGTTTCTTACAAGATAAACTATTAGGACTCTCAAGTTTCTAATAACTCAGAAAGAAATTTGGCTTAATTTATACTTTGCAAATCAGAATTTGGTGTTATTTTTTAAGCAATTTTAGTAACTTTTATTTGATCACTACAAGAATTTCTAAATGAAACATAATGCTATCTTCTCAAACAAATGAAGGGTTAATGCTCTCTTATTTAGCACTAGAACAATGTAAGAAAAGCTTACGGAGAAAAGCTAATCAGAGAGGTTCCACAGTGTTTTTTCAGTAAGAAAGAATACCCTTAAATCAAACTACTATACAAGAGCAAAAAAATTTTAATTAAAAGATTTTAAATCCACTTCATTTAAAAGTAATACCACAATTATCCCTGTAAGAGTTCTTTATGGAGTAAGGAAAAAAAGGCAAAATAAAATCAACTTACAATAGTTCTTTCTTTGTACAAAGAAATATATCAACCTTATTTACTTTACAAACCAATACTCATGCTTTTGCCAGAAGATAAAAATTATATGAATTAAATAAATATCAGGAAGACAAAAAATTATGATATATTTATAAGAACATTTATTTTTTTTAAAATCCAGACTCATTCTCTTTTACCTCCTATATCTTTTGGAACTTGATTAAATTTGAGTTTCAATATCCTTACAATAAAGTTAATAAACATTTATATTGCTGTCCAGTTATAAAAATATATATATTTTTTTTTCTTTTTTTTGAGACAATAATCCTCCTGGCCTCAGCCTCCCGTGTGCTGGGATTACAGGCATGCAGTACTATGCCCAGCAAAAAAAAGACATCATTTGACAACAGCAAAGAGCAACAGAATGTAGACAGCAGGGACCCGGTGGTCCTTACCTGTTTTGTAACTCTGTGATCTGTATATGTCCCTGAGCTCTTTCATAAGTCTATCTGAAGCTTGCACAGACCCAGACACTGCACCCTGAAACAGAAAACCTGCTGTTTACAGGGTCTCCTACGTCATTAAAGATTCAAAGTCTTTGAACCAATACTTTACAAAAAATGTTGTAAAATTGGATCACCACTCAGCATTTTAAGAAATTGAAGAATTCAATTAAATGAAGGATTATGAAGTTTCAAAAGGAACATAAAATTTGGGCCAGTCTGGTTTGTGTACTGTTTATCGCAGAGGAGGACCATCATGAACTCTGTGATACTGCATAATTTAGTATGAGTTTATTCCAAACTCTGATTTTTTGAAAATACTTGAAGACCCTCACCACAGCACATTATTAACTAAAATAGTTCCATTAATAAGACTGAGCAAGAATGTCATACTGAAAAACACGTTTGCCTTCAGGCAACTGGTTTCACTTTTTGTCAGCATCCTAAGAGTGAATAAGAATGGAACTACTTTTGAGCAGATAAATAAAAGATTTTAAGAGCTGCACTACACTTTGAGGGTGAAAATACATTAGCCTACAAAGGTATTTCCTAGGTATATGAACTTGAACTGGTTTAAGCCCTAACTTTCCCATTTACTAAATATGTAAAATATCTACTTCATATGGTGGCTTTGAAGATTAAATACATATATTAAACATGTTTATCATATCAAAGTATCTGATAATCTTTAGTTAATCTGACTATAACTCATACAACCTGGAGCTGCACAAAAGACAGCACATACAGTAAAATATTGATTCAGATACTATGAACTTATTTTAATCTTTATTCAGATATTAGGTTGTCTACATTTCTTTGCTATATTTTTAAAAATCTGCCAATAAAATTAATATACTAAAATTGAAGCAGAGAAAATAATGTTTTACAGCTCTTGGCATTTACTCTAAAAACACATTCTCTGGGTTTTTTCAAGACAAAGCAACTGACCTTGGACTTGAGGAAACTGACAAGTGGCTCCAAGAGAAGGCAGAAGTATATGTGAGGAGATAGCCAGACCAGCATTAGATGTCTCCCTCCTCTGGGTATCTATTTTGTTGGGGGGTCTTTTTGAGACAGGGTCTCACTCTGCAGTTCAAACTGGCCTTGAGCTCACTTTGTAGCCCCAGCTAGTCTCAAACTTGCAAGGATCCTTCTGCCTCAGCCTCCCTCAGCAGGGACTACAGGCATGTGCCACCACACCCGCTCTCTGCGTATCATTTATACCTATGTATAGAGCACATTTTACACACATATTTCTATCCACATACACACACACACCTTCTCATTTATCTCAGCAGCCATCCAAAAGGTATGCAGTATCTGTCCACATTTTAGAGCTGAGAAAACAGAAACCCCACAGTGTCTATAGCCAAACTGTTTGTTCTACCCTCCTATGGGGTTTCATGTGACACAGTTGTTAAGCCAAAAGAAAAAAAGTGACTTTGGGTTTGGTCAGGGAAGGACAGACCCAAGGTCAACTTCAGAGAGGAAAAATTCTGAAGAAACTTTATAGGAGAGTCTGAATACATGTATTCCACCACGGGGGGTAAGAAAAAATACAGCATAAATGAGTGGGGGTAGGAAGGGGCAGTACAGGAGGGCAGCAGGAGGGCCTCAGGACATGAAGAGCAGATGGACAAGGTGAGAAGTAGATGTCAACAGAGAAGCACCTGGGGCAACAGCACATATGACTGAATCTACTACTGAGGTGGAATGCAACAGGGACAGCTGGAACGCGTATCTGCATGAACTGCCTACTGATAGCTACTCAAACACCAAAGTCCAGGCTCTAGGTATTTACACATACTCACATTTAAATGGTCTTGCCTTTGAGTCTTCCTAATTTTCTCTAATATTGCCAAATTTTCTTTTTCAATTCCTTCATCCTCTAATTTTTTTCCACTAATAGGCTCTTCTTCCTTCATCTCATAGTGATCTAAGTCTTCTATATCCTACAAAAGGGAAAACACTAGCTTTTTAAGTTAATTTTTTTCAGTAGTTTCTTGTGCCAAAAGTTAAATTATTCTCAACTGGGATAAAAGAGAACAAGAAAGAGAAGATAGTGAATCCATTCTATGGGAAGGGGCAAAAACTCTATATATTCAATTCAAAGGATTCCTTCCTTCAATAGTTTATGTTCTCTTTAAAAGATAGACTCAGAACAAAGCAGATTTAACAGCTTTACAAAGTCATAATATTAACAGATATGCCATCTGTTAAGTCTCTCATTAAAAGGAATTTCTCAAATAACTTAACAGATATCAAGGACCTAAACTGTTTATAGTTTGTCCCACAAACATGACTTCTAGTAAATGTGAACACAAATATAACAATGCCTATTTTATCCTAATAACCATAAACACAAACACAAAATCTGCATGTACATAAACAATGAATTCAACAGAATACTGAGGCCAAGAAAATATCAACATACCAGAATTATTTTCTTCTCTAGCAATTAAAAACTTTGAAGTACATCTCAGTTATGCCAAAACAATTGCATTGAAGAAGACCAGCCAAGTGTGGTGGCACACACGTGTAATTCCGGCACTCAGGAGGTGGAGGCAGGAGCATAACAGTGAGTTTGAGGCCATCCCAGGCTACATAGCAATTCAAGGACAGCCTCAAATGCCTAGTAAGACCCTGTCACACAAAACCAAAAAAAAAAAAAACCCTAAAAATACTTATTCTATAGCTGTTCTCTCTGAAGACATTTGTTTAGTGCTTTTTGAAATTTTATGTAATAAATAGTGATTGACTTTTATAATTAGGAAAAGAACTTGAATAACACGCTTAGACTAATACCTTTACCTTATCATCATATACAAATCTGTGTAGAATTTTTAAAATTTCAAACTTTTTCAAGTACCTTACTTCTCTCTCTTCAATTGCCAAACTCTCTAAAGAAGTACTTTATTATCTCCATTTTTTGAAGCAGGCTAAGTTGCTGTGTTCTAGATCACGTTTAAGGACCACCTTCTCTCAAAAAGAGACTCGGCAGTCTCTTTCTTGGGATGCCACTTCCTCAGCCTCCTTACACTGCTCTCTGCTGCCAAGCACCTTTCGGCCCTCGTCTTCCTGCCTATCCTGTCTCCTTCAGAGTCCATTTCCCTACACCTTCACTCATGTTCCTGTCCACAAAACTCCACTTGCAGTCTAATCCACACATTCCTGAAGAGTTGATCATTACTTTTCTAGAACTATATTCTTAGTGCACCATTCTACCTTCCTTGCAACACTGTCTCTAATCCCAGACTTTAACCATGTGCCCTTTCCAACCAATCCTGCTCTCTACAGCCTCAACAATGCTCCTCCTACAAGGACAGCACTCAGAGCACCGTCACATGCCATGCCCAAGGCTTCTCCACATTATTTCTGTAGCCTAGACCATCTTTCTTTTTATCTGCACAACAGCCACTTCTGTAAATCCAGTATCCATCCATTCTAGAGCTCCCTAAATACTGCTGTCCTTTGCTTGTTGTGAGAAAAAAGAAAGGTACATGAACCTTGATTATATTGTCTGCTTTACTGTATAATGGACCCATGGAAAAGGGTTAATATTTTCACAGAAATACAAACTGTCCTACAAGTCCTTCTAAGTGGATAATTATAAGAATTAATTTACCCAATAAAGCAACTACTCCTTCTTTAGCTGAGGTATTCTGAAAGTGTACATTAGATTAAAATATTTCAAATAAAGTAACAGGCATGCTGGCTCATGTCCTCCAGTGTTCAGGAGGTTGAGGCAGGAGGATCCTTGCAAATTCGAGACCAGCCTGGGCTACAAAATGAGCCCAAGGCTAGCCAGAACTGCATGACGAGACCCTGTCTCAAAAACACAAAACAAAAGGGAAATAAAATAAGGTAAAACTCTCAATTATTAGTAAAACAGGAAAAAAATTTTATATTTTAGACCTTTCGCCAAGTATACTTACGTATGCCTGTAGTCCCAGCACTTCGAGGCTGAAGCAGGCGTATTTCTGTAAGTTCAAAGCCAGCCTGGGTTGTTTAGTAAGTTCAAAGACAGCCTGAACTACATAGTGAGACCTTGTCTCAAAAAACCCCGAACAAATTTAAAAAATGAAGACCTTTAATCTGGCAATGCAGAAACAGATCTCTCTTCTCCAGTTTTCATTTAAATGCAACACTTCAGAGCCTGGAAACCTCTGAAGCTGTATCAATGACTGACGGCTAACACCATACACATGGAATCTGCTCTGCTAAGCTTGCTGTGATCTAGATGCACCTCTCCAAACTTAGCTGTTGTTACAGGATGGTACTGAGAGGAGAGTCATGGAGGGGGCCTCTGGGCCTGAGAGTGCCTTTATCAGTAGCGGAATTAAGGCATTTATGAGAGGCTCCTAACATCGTCTGGCTACCTTGCTCTGTTATCCAACTAAAAGACTTTAGAATAAACACCCATGAAAGCATCTTGATCTTGGATCTCCCAGCCTTCAGGACTTGGAGGGAAATTTTTTTTTCACCACTGAGAATTGAACCAATGGGCTAAGGCATACTGGATAAATACTGTGCTACTTACTTCACCAGCCCTTTCTTGAATTTTTCACTGTTAGACAGGGTTTTGCTAAGCTACTGAAAATGGCTGCAGACCTACAATCCTTCTGCCTCAGCCTTCCAGCTAGCTAGTATTACAGGCATGAGCCACTATGCCTGGCTTAACATTCTGTTCTTTTTTTTTTTTTTTTTTTTTTAACCTATTCTCAGGTCCTAATAACAATAGCTCAAACAGAACTATTTAGATTTTTTTTCTAAGAGACAAATACAGAACTTTTAAAACTTAGTAGTTCTTCCCAAAAATAATCAAGTTAGTTAAATACTAAATTCTATTACATTCAAATATAACTTTAGTGCAAACTGTCAAAAAGCTCATTTTCTGAGAGATCAAATTCAAGGAATTCAGATAAACTTATTTGTTCAAAAGCCCATCAATAAATGGAAGGTAAAGCCAGTATTTAGAAATTATATTTATCCTAAATACCATGTGTTCTTCATTAGTCTACAATAACACTAATTTAAAAGATTCATGAATTGGCCAGGGATATAGCTCAGCAGCACAAGGGCCTGCCTGGCAAGTGAAAGATCCTAAGTTCAATTCCTGGTACCAAAAATCAAAAGGGTTAGTGAATTGCTACAATGTTCAAAAGCACAGTTATTTATAATATATTACTCTTACATATACGTACTTCAGCCATCTCTTCTTCTTCCTCCTCTTCTGAAGTCAATTCTTCTGTTGTCCCATTCTGAAACAGAGAGCAACTTGCCAGGGCTCCACAGAACAAATGTGCACACACTGAGTACACAGAAGAGCAGTGTCCCAGCTTAGGAGACAAATTATCATCCATCTGTCACGGCCCTTCCTCTAAGGGAGAGCTTATTAAAAATAAACATTCATTTTCAATCCAGATTTTGTTTGAAAATAACATTTATCAGGTTTTTAAAAAGTTTTTAACAATTCAACTTACAGATGACTTAGGAAATAAAAGTAATCAGTCAAATGCAAAGCAAATCTTGAAAAAATGTTTTAAACACAATTTTGTTTATAATAAACACTAAGCTATTGATTCCTTAAATATCTACCCTTTTGACTTGAAAAGCCTGAATTTTTAATTAATCCAACCGTCTTGTGAAAGGTCAGGCAACTTATACAGGAGCAGGCACTTCATAAAAACTAAAAATTACAAAATCACACTTAAGAGCCAATATTCTTTTCTAAACCATGTTATTTACTACAGAACACTTCTCTGTAACACACAGCTTGCTGCTCATTCACAAAGGATTCTGATGGGGTCTTAGGAAGCACCTTCACAGTCAGTTTTTGCAGATTTCAAAAGGCCTTGTTTGCAGAGTCCAAGCATGGTTCCCCAGTCACAGTGTAGGCTGTGGTCTTTAACCATAAAAGTAGGCTGAGGTAGGACCCAGAATAACTAAGAGAAATTAGGACCCAGAAATCACATCAGATGAAGATCTCAGCAGTATCTAACCTATCTATTGTTAGAATCTCCTGTGTAATTATTAAGAGATGAAAATCATTATCTCAGAGGATACAACCATCACTCTTCTAGATTGGTCAGCTGGAAAATTTCGTAAGAGGCACATACACACACATGCAGAATAGACTTGTATGTGTTTTAAATTTGCATCTTCTTAAGTATTATATGTCTCCTAGAAACTAAATCAGAAAAGGAAACTAAATGAGAAGAGATTCACCCTTTTTTCATTTCTCTAAATTACATTTCCAAACCAGACTGTTTCTGGTATCTAAAGAAATAACTAGCCTAAAAGTCGCAAATCCCAGTGTGTGCACATCAGTGACTGAGAGAGCAAGTTTAAAATGCTGATTTCAGAATTCATCCCAGAGAATCTTTCCAAAAACCTTTGAGGTGATCTGATATGTAGCCCTATCTGAACAAATTACCTTCCCCTCAAAAGATGAGTATATTTAACCAAAACACAGAGCCAGTGAGCACTGTGAAGTTCTAATGTGAACTTTGTTTCAAAATGTGACCTGCCCTTTTCAAAACCTCACAGAAATGACTGAAAAACTTTATAAGAAAGGATAAATTCATTGTTGAACTAGAACAAACACAAGAAGGGTACAGACTGGTAGAACACAACCATAGGAACATGGTAGAAGACAAAGCAGATGAAAGCAAGCTGCTGATCTTGAGAAAGCCACGTCCAATCCAGAGAATGGTGGGGACTACTGGAGAGTTAGTAGGATGACTTCTCAGATGAATCACATACTCTTTGCTGCACCTGTCTCAAATTCAATTGGTAAGGATCACTGTCTTCTAGAGGAAGCCTGCCTTGACAGCCTGTTACTATATGACCAGAACCAGAAAGAAAAGAAAACATTTTAAATATAATTCAACTAAGAATTCTCTGTTAGCCCCAACAAGACAGAAGCTATATCTGTCTGTGTTCATCACTGGATCCTCCATACCAGCATAGCAGCAAATCTCTTAACAGACACCTGCCAGTTTCTCCCAATCTTCACTCCACAGGGAGAGCACAGGTCAGAAGTTCACAGAAGATCTCTGACACTAGACGCCCATACAAAACTGTGTCACATCAAAGTCAAACATAGATGAAGAAAACTGACAATCTGAAAGGTATACATGAAGCCAAACAAGGACCTGACGCACTAAGAATGAAGAAAATAAAACAACTTAAAAATCTAGTCAGAATCTTTAGAGGTAATTGAGAACCTATTGCATCCACAAAATAATAAACAGAATAATTTGTGAAGGACAAGACAGCTCTGGGAAATAAAAAAACAGGATTTTAAGAAAAGGGAAGGGCTAGAACAATTTAGTAAAGAAGGCAGAAAACACAAAAAGACTTGACTGGACAATGCATTTATGATTAACACCATATGATTAAGTGAATTGTGACATTCACTTAGAATGTGGGAAAAAAAAAAAAAGATGGGGAGCATGGCCAGGCATCGTAGTGCATGCCTGTAATCCCAACACTTGGGAGACTGAGGCAGGAGGATCACTGTAAGTTCAAGGCAAGCCTGGGCTACAAAGTGTGTTCAAGGACAGCCTGATCTGCAAAGCAAAACTCTGTCTCAAAAAAAAAAAAAAAAGAGAGAGAGAAGAAGACAGGAGAAAACAGAAAAATTGGAAATTAGAGAATAGTTAATAGACATGGAAGAAAAGAGACTACAAAGATCTAATATTCACTCAGAGGATGCAGAAGAAAGAATAAAAGAGACAAATATTGCCAAGCTAAAGAAAGATTACAGAATGGTATGTGGTTCTGGATGCTCCAAAGCGACACAGAAAGGTGAAACCTAGACTTCACACATAAAGAGAAAACCATACCAGGGCCAGGGATTTAGCTCAGCGGGATAAGCACTTGCTTGGCAAGTGCAAGGAAGAGAGAAAACTATACCAACCTTCAGATAAGAAAGAGAAAACATATAGAGAGAAATAAGAGCTAGGGATATAGCTCAGTGGCACAGTGCCTGCCTGGCAAGCATAAGGTCCTGAGTTTAATTCCTGATACCAAAAAAAAAAAAAAAAAAAAAGAAAGAAAAAAGAATTCCATCACAACAGATACAAGAGACAAATGTGTAAAGAACTGGGAGAAGACTCAATTGGAAACTGAGATTCTCTTTTACTGCTGTCGAGAAAGCAGCTATACTAATGTGTGTTTACCACTGGGTCCTCCACACCAGCATAGACTACTAAATATACAATCAGACTTTTATTAAATGATAAAACCAACAGATATTCAAGTACCACTCTCCACACATACTATGCATACTTCCACAAACAAAGGCATATATGTGAGGGACACTGTGGAGGGCCATGTGGTACAAGTAACAGCCTAACTAGCAATAGCACCAACAGCTATTTCTCACTGTTCATGATCATCCAGTCTGAGAGGGCACAATCCTACCCTCTGACCACATGGATATAATCCCACCACATGGATCACAGCAAGTTTCAGGTCAGCTGGGGCTACATAGTGAGTTCAAGGCCAGCCCTAAACTACATAGTGAGACTCTGTCTCAAAAACAAAAAAAAATTCTCTAGGTAATTTTTTTTGGGGGGGGGTTAAAGAAATGGATTGCAATACCCTAGAAAATCAATTCCTAAGGATGTACCCCAAAGAGATGCCTATAAAAGAGGTATCAAGAGATACAGCAAGAAGAATCATAGTAGCATTCTTCTTGATGTATAAACACCAGGGACAACCAAAATGTCTATGAAGAATTCAATGGATAAATGTTACCTTATGTATTTATAGCTTGGATATGGTGGGGTACTTGCCTAGAGTGGGTCAGGCCCTGCATTTGATCCCCAGCACCACCAAAAGAAAAAGTTATGGTATGTTCCATGAATGGAATAAACATAGCAATGAAAAAAGAACATGGTATGAATGAATTTCAGATATACTGCTGAACAAAATAAAGGCATGAAGGAGTACCTATAACATGACAAATGAAGCTCAAAAGCTCAAAAACAGGGAAAATTAAACTCTAACTAGATCAGAATGCACAATGCACACAAGACTACTAAAACTAGAGAAAATTAAGGAAACAACTGCTACCTGGGAAAGGGTGACCTGGCATGATCTCAGAGGAGCCTGTAGAGGTTCATGCTGTGCTAGCAGCATCCTGTTCATTCCTGGGTGGTGGGAGGCAGTGGTTTCCATGAAGTCACTGTAACCATGTGTTATGCTAAGCTCACAGACATACTTTCCACATGTTACATTTCACAAAAAAGGTCTAATGAGAATCATGCAAAGATGGGAAAAAAACTACTTACGAAATACAAACTGTTTAGGAAATACAAAATTTTCAACTTGCAATGAAGCCAAACAGCACTCAGAAACACAGACCTTTACATAAGTTTATTTAAAAACCAACTGATATCATATCAATCTACTAAAGCAAAAAAAGCACAATGAAAGGAAAGAGGGAAAATAACTAGATAAAGATAACAAATGAGAAAAGAAACATGCTGCATTTAAAAAATAAAACTAAGAGCTGATTCTTTCGACAGACCACTACATTAAAACAGATAAGCCTCTAACAAATAATTAAGATAAAGAAACAACTTTAGATTTGGGTCAGGCTCTGTTTCTGTACCCTGGCAATACTGATATACTGGGCCAGACGCTTCCAGCCATGGAAGATTCTGTTCACTGAAGGGAATCTTAGTGACATCCCATCTATGAAATGCCCAGAGAATTTCTCTGCTGTGGCCAACTCTGACAATCAAAATGGGCTCCACATATCTCCAAATGTTCCATGGAAACCAAAACTGTCTCTGGTTGAAAATTACTAAACTGGCTGGGGATTTAGCTCAGCGGCATAAGCACCTGCCTGGCAAGCACAAGGTCATAAGTTCAATCCCCAGTACCCAAAAAACGAAAAAAACAAAAAAACCAAGAAAATTACTAAACTGTTCTAGATCATAGAAAAAAAAAAAGATGCAAAGCTTCCCAAGCCATGGCCCTGACACACACACACACATACACACACACACACACACACACACACAAACCAAGCATCTACAAGTAAACAAAACTATACTACAATCTCATTTAGAGAAAATACAAAAATAAAATATTATCAATGTCCATTCCAAATGACTGAAAATTAGGACATATAACTGACAAATTAGGAGACATACCTACATATGACTGCATCATGATCATGAAAACAATGTATACCTAATGTATTCTATGCATGAAATACTGTGAAAAGAAAAACCACAAGTTGTAGATACTTAGGGAAAGAAAACTGAACACAGCACATGTCTTTCTCCTGTTTTCTCTTCCCTGAGGCTCCACTAAAATTAGAGTGAAGAATACATACACATTGTATAAACATAAATAATAAAGGAGTAAGGTCACCTGCAGAAAAGAAAATGTACCTACAACAGAAAATGACAGTGAATGGAGGAATGGTAATTAGTGAAGTCACAGATAGGGAACACTGTCCATGAGGAGGCCAATTTGTTCCCTAGCAGGGCTCCAGACTGACCCTGACATGCAGACAGGTGCCCTGGCCAGGAACATAAAGGGATGAGCAAAACTGAAAACCAGAGACAAGCAAAAGCCATAGGACATAGTACCCAGCCCTGAAATATTGTTTTCCCATATTCTTAAGTAGAACGCAGGTAAACCCTTCCATCTCAAGCAAAATGTGCAAACATCACCTCCAGAAACACAGCAATTCCAACCATCATTTATTCCTGCTGGGACATAAAGGAGCGAGAGTAACAACTGAGAGTCAACATAAATTCCCTCCAAAAAGCTGTCAATTGATAATCTTGGCCACAAGGAACTCCAAATCAGTCACTCAGTGCTTTCTGATGAATGAATAAAAGAGGAAGAGTATATAAAAAGAAGAAAAATATAAATGAGCAGTAAAGAATACACTGCTTTGTTGAATTAACTTAGTCCTCATGGCTCCCCCAAAACAAAGGTACTACTACCATTATCTCCCCTATTTTTCCAATGGGAGATGATGCACAGCATGATGACAAGATCGACCCAAAGTTAAAAGGTAACAAACAGTAGAATCAAGATTCAAACTCACTGCAGTCTAGCTACAAAACCTTTAGTCTGGTCTGCATTACAGTATCTCAGAAGCCAGAACCGAGAAAAACATTCATGCTTCTGCAGGCTTTCATTTGAGGATATACTGAAACAAAATGAGAAAGCTAGGCCAAGAGAGGCAACATGAGGGCCCAAGCAGACAGGATGAGAAAAACCCCAAGGTGACAGCAGCATCAGAAGATACCTGTTATGGTTTATGTCAGATGCCCCACCTCAAGCCTCATGTAATCATGGATGTAGCTGAATCTAGTGTTTGTGATTGGTTCATTGTTTAGCACTGGGATTGGTGGTGTAAGTATTACACCCACTCAGGGGTGGAGCCAGGATATAACAGTAAGAAAGAAGGCGTATCTTTCTCTCTTTTGCTGTTGTGGTGGCCGTGAACCACTGCCCCTCAGCCTTGGAGTCTATCCTCAACTAAGGATAGACTGAAACCTCCAACCTGTAAGAAATAAACCTTCCCTTCCCTAACTTTGAGCATCAAATATTTCGTCTCAACAACACGAGAGAAAAGTAACCAAGACAGTTCCAGAGACAAGGATCATAGAAAGCGATTAAACATAACTTTTTTACCCTAAGAATTATTAATATAAAGATGACACTGGAAAACAAAAGGAAATACCATAACAGAAAACCTGGCTCTATCCTGTGAAGTCCTGGTGATAAACTAGTGATTATTAAAAAAAACTAAAGATTAAGTTTTAAGAGAGATAAGCAGTAAGGTATAAAAGCTAAATCTTCACAAGAGTAAAAGGTAAGAAATCCAGAAGTGCAGTGAAGCCTACTGGAAATTCACATTGCCTGCTGGAATTGACAGCATTAGGTTCAGACCTTAAGGATTTAGCAATCAGGAGAAGGCAACTGAACAAACAAAATCAAGCAATCCAAGAAGCAGTGACTATTTCCAGAAACCAGAAATATTAACAAATTTGTTTTAACAGTTAAAAACAAAACAGTGAGACAGAAGAGCAGTTGTTTGCCTATTATAGCAAATACTACCAGCTCCCAAGAATGAAAGGTTATTTTTAGTACTAAAACTACAAACAAAGCAATCTGAAAAAAGGACATACACACAACAAAACAAACTTCTAAATAAGTTATATAGGGGCCAGGGATATAGCTCAGCAGAACAGCACCTGCCTGGAAAGTGTAAGATCCTGAGTTTAATACCTGGTACCAAATAAATAAATAAGCTGTGTGATATAAAAAGAATACGCATCCTAGTTTTACTTTTGACTGAGACAATTTATTTCAGCTCTTGAACACTGGAGAATTTTTACTTTACCTGACCCGTGGGTAGTGGCTGATCTAGCATCTCAACATCCAGGTGCTTAGGAAGGTTATATAATCTGCAGAGTTCACATATCAACCACTTCAATTGCTGACGAAGCTACAAAACACATTTCAGTAAATAAGCATTATGTTAAAGAGTCCTTACAAGACATGAATAATGCTACAATTACTGCAATCAATCCAGAAAGAAATGAAAAGGTTTCTTACCGCTCAACTTCAGCGTAGGAATAGCAGCACACTCTCAAATATTTTTAAGGGCTAGTAGTACAAGAAAGTTATTGAGGGGAGATAAAGTAGCTATGGCTTACATATAAATCCTGTAACAGCTACACAGCAGAATGATATCAACAAAAAAACAGACGAGATAGTTTCAGACATTGTCCACTTTCATTGTCCACTTAATTTCTCTTCTTAGAAACTTCTTAGAAACTTCTAAACTTTATCTTTAGAGAAACTTCTAAGAAGAAACTTCTTAGAAACTTACAACTTCAGATAAGACAACACTCATGCATTTAAATGCATAAGCTACAAAAAGAAGTGCTATTGTATATAGATTATAAAATTACACTTTACTCTCAGATGTGTTTAAAAGTATAGAGGGAAATGTGATCTAGTAGACAGTCTTAGAATATAGATGACCTTGGCTATGATATCTAACTTCCTGAGCTTGAGTCCCACCATCTGTAAAACAAATTAAAACTTTCCCAGAATAGTAAAGACTAACTGAAGCCTGCTGTGGAAATACTCGGTGCTTAATTTAATGCATGGGCAGGAATTTGGGGATTTTACTGGGAAAACTGCCAAGACTAGCTCCTTAAATTGCCATTTTAAAAAACGATTATTTTGTAAATACCTTTGCTTTAAGCAAGGTAAATTACAGATACAAATATGTTTTTCATTGTTTAAAATGTTTTTAACATGTAAGTTTAGCAATTACAATTAAGAATGGGCAACATTGGGAGCTAACAAGGCAACTTCACTTGGTTAGAAAGTTTTCTCAGTGTGTCTAACCAGAAAAAGTGTTGAAAAGGAGGAAGCAGGTTTATGAGGGCAAGATTAGAATGGGTTAAACCAAGTAAAGAAGGCTTTCCAAAGTGAATATAAAGTTAGAATCAAACAAAATCCTCCCACTTGAAGCAAGAGCCCACTGTAGCTGGTTATCTGTCAAAAGCTATTTCATGATAAATAACAAGGAAAGTGAGGTGGGGGAGCAGGACTTGGCCCTGGACACTTGGAACCCTGGCACAGGAGGAGCTGCAGGAGAGCTGAGGAAGAGGTACCGTGCAACAAAGAAAACAGGGCCATATACCTGCCAGGAATTTCATTTTATGCACTTCTCCCCCATAAAAATGTGTTTGAAGGATAGAAAAAAAAAAACACTAAGATCCTAGGGAGGAGTTAAGAAATATTCAGAAAGTGAGTGGACTTAATAGTCTGTTCTAGAGGGGTGCGCAACAGAAGTAAAAAGACCTATAAACTCCCAGATGCAGGCACAAGTAACCAGTTTCATTATTTTATTTTGTCTCCCTAAATGACTAAAGGAACACATGATGAGGCAGAGGTAGGAGTACAACTTGACACATGATCATTTTAAATACCATGGCACATCCAAGTGAGATTCTCTGGATATATATGATACACAGATACATGTAGGAAAACAGAGATTCATTCCAGCTGGAGACTTACAAATTCCTGGACTACAGATCATGACCTAAGTAATGAGAGCAGAAAAGAATGGGAAAAAAGAGGTACACCAAGGAACTCAGGAGACCAAGGTAAGGTAATAAGAGATAAAAGCAAGAGACAGCTGTCTCATAGAAATCCTCAGCAAAGTTCCCAGAGGACACAGATATGGCTTGTCTTTTTGTACCCACTCTTCATCACACAGCCTCCCAAAGAAACCAATCAAGAATTTTTAAAAAATAATTTTCCATGTTCTATCAACAGTTTCCTATATTCACATAGGAAAACAGATTTTTCACAACACTGTATGTAACAAAGGCTGACTGCACTTAATGTCCTGTGCCTTGCTTTCTTGTTTAGTGTATCTGGGAGCTTCCTATGTTGCTGTTATGGAAGGATGGGCTGTGTCTTTTTCCACTACAACAGAATAATCTGTCACACAACCCATATCCTAATTTATATTTAACCAACTTTTTATTGGTGAATATTAAATCATAAATATTGAATGGAAGAGTATTTCACCAAGAAAAATATCACCAGTTCTAAATGTTGCAGAAGGGTCGATTTTGGGATTAAAAAAGGATTGGAAAACCAGAGATACATTTTGTGCAATAATGAAGACAGAATATAGATCATAATGAGTTAAGAAATTAAAAGGAAAAAACAAAACAAAAAACCTAGACTTACTGTCTCTAACAAGTAGGCTATGATAAGCCAGCAGAAGGTTAAAAAAAAAAATGAAAGGTGGGCTGTTTTTTTCTTCAAGCAAAAATATTTATTATTTTCATAAAATTTTTATATTCTGCTTTCTGAGTATTTTTGGATATAACATTGTAGACACTGAAAAATAACTCCACTTATTTCTGCTATATAAAGTGGAATCATAAGCAGTAACAGGCTATGTCTATCATTCTTTCCTACCATTCTCTGCTGGACATATGAATGTATCTCTGTCTAGCTTTTGATTTTTATCTCTTTCCTTTATGACTCTCCCTACTAGTCTTAACTCTTAAAATGTCTTCAAACTGATGTTCTTCTGTTCTTAATTTTAAGAACAAGTATGTTTAAGCCATCTATAATGCATTTTGATAAAAATTTTAAGTTAAACACTCTTCCCTCGGGTGGTTAATTCTTCCTACACTACAGAATAATCTATCCTATTCTTTTTGAGTTAAGATATTACCCTTAGCTTATTTTTAATTCTCATTTGCATAACTACTTCTAGTTTCTATTGGATTTGTCTTGTCCAGGGTCAGTACACAATATTTTATTTAATATCTGATTGGGGAAGCCCTTCATTAACTTTTTTAAATTTTTATTTTTTGCTATTTGTTCTCCTAAACAAACTTTATAGTCATAAATTCCAAAACTGAATCTGTAGGGATTTTTACTGGCTCTGAACTGGATTTATAAGTGAATATGGAGATATGGAAATAACTGATATAGTTATAATATAGCAGTCTGTTCATCTAGGTATATACTATCCTAGTCTTTTATTCTACACTGCAAAATTTGGTAGTTTTCTTGAGATAAGCCCAGCATATCTATATTTATTCCTACATGTTTATTTTTTATCAATAAAATACTATATTTTTTATTTAACAATAGCTGAAATTTAGGAACATTACTGATCTTTACATAACAGATTTTAAACCACTGTCTTAAAATTTGCGTTTTTTTAACAGTTGAGTTTTTTTGGTACCAGGAGTCAAACTCAGGACCTACGGTTTGTTTTTAATTTATCTTGTCTTGTTTTGTTTTTGGCAATTATTCCCTATATGACACTATGTGAAAATACAGTAATGATATTTAAAAGGATAAGATTATTTAGAATACAACTTCAGGGGCTGGGGATTTAGCTCAGCAGCATAAGCACCTGCCTTGCAAGCAGGCGGTCGTGAGTTCAATCCCTGGTAACAATTTAAAAAAAAAAAAAAAAGGTGTTAACAGAATACAACTTCAACTAGTTAGACATGTGTAGATATGTATAATAGTATGTGTGTTTTATTTTTAAAAAACCGGCAGAAAATAATCATGTCAGTAGTGATCACAGCCAGTAAAGAAGCTATGTGAGCTTTTAATTTCCCTTTTTTTCTGTCCTGTCTATATTTTAATAGTTTTCTCACAATGGACACTTAGGAGTTCACATTCAAAGAAAAAAGTTTTGCACTTTCTTACAATGGAAATATTATTTTTCTTTACACAGTAATCCCCACTTCTCTCCAGTTTTACATCCCAGTTTCAGTTAACCAGCGTCAAATATGATTTAAAAGTATTAAAGGGAAAATTTCAGAAGGAAACAATTCATAAGTTTTGAATAATTTTTATTATAGTACATCATTATAATTGTTCTATTTTATTGCTGCTATATTTTAATGTATCTAAAGTATAAATTAAACCATCATACTTAAGTTAGGGAACAACAGCCCAAATAGGGTACCGCTGGCAGTTTTGGATGTATCATCCACAGATAAGGAGAGACTACTAACTATTAAAAAGCAAAACAAACTTTCCATTTGAATACCTTTGTCTTTTACTGTAGATTTACAGGCTCTTGACAGAAAAAGCAACATTTTTCTCTGACATCTAATTTTCTCTTTTGCTATCTCCCATCTTGGCTAATGGTCACTACCAAAAATGCTTGCTTGGCTTCATGGTTACAATGCAGGAAAGGGAGACTCCCTATTTTTCTGGTAGAGAGCCCTTCTCGGTCTGTTCTGGGAAGTTCATATTTGTAAACCCATGGAAATGTTATTGGAATTTCAGTAAACTAATTGCAATCTACCACTTTCAGGGCAACCCATGGTGAGAATAAAGACACTAAGATATATTTATAGTTACGAGGAGTCAAGGAGATCCTAAGTCCAGCCAGGATGAAGTTTCATTGAAACAAAGGGTTCAACCCAGGGCCCAACCTGGATCTTATTAATTTGTGAAGAAGCTCCCTTGAGGATCAGTGATTATGAGAATAGTGAGAAATACCTAAGTACTGTAAGCTAGGGTAGGCAGAAAGTCTGAAATCACCTCTGCAATATGCAGAAAGACTAATGTGTTTATACTGTTTTATAACAGCTGAGGCAATATTTAGTGTTTTGGAGTTGGTGCTTCAGCTCTGATGTGTACACTTTTCTACTCTGTTCCGGGAGTCACAGTCTCTTATCTCTTTTTTTTTTTTTTTTTTTTGTCTTTATCTTTTTTTTTTTTTTTTTTTATTGGTACCAGGGATCGAACTCACGACTGCCTGCTTGCAAGGCAGGTGCTTATGCCGCTGAGCTAAATCCCCAGCCCCACAGTCTCTTATCTCAAGCCTGGATCCCCACTGACAGCCCTGGAGTGGTGGCCCTTCACCCTGCATGGCTCAATCACGATTCTGGGGAGTCACAGAGTAGGGAAACAGTGACTGTCACCTAGCTTCAAAGATTAAGCATCAGCACTTCAGCCAGCCCTATTTACATGGCTTAGAGCCAATTAAAGGGATAAAGAAGTGGCCTAGCCAGCTCTGTACATAGCAATATGTGGAGTTAGAGCCAGGTTTAGCCAAAATGGAGATAACTGTTCTTTATTCAAGGAGAATCCAGTTGGTCCTCCACACTTTTCCTAATCTAAAGCAAGGCTACTCCGGTGAGAAATAACAAAAGAGAAACTAGATAAATACAACTTGAAGAACTTACAAAAACAAAAACCAAGCCTGATCTTTAATCTCTCCTAAGACTCATCATACTTTTTTATCAGACTACCTCATAACATATAATTTTACATGTAAAATTCATGAAGAGAAAAAGAAAGTAGCTTGACTTATTTTCTCACCGAATTATTCTTAGTATCTTCTAGACGTTCCAGAATCGATGTCAGGTTTGGGTCATCAGAGTCTACAAACCAGATGGGCAAAGATGATGGATAGGATTCCTGTTTTAAAAAAAAAAAAAAGGTTCCTGTTACAGAGAGAGACAGCGATGTCAAACACATTTTCATACATACTAACCTGATATGCAATGAAACCACACCACTGAGTGGCAAGGTGATCGTGCATTCAAGTAAAATGATCAGGATGGAGAAAACACATTAAAACCCATTTGGGGAGAAACAAATTTTGTCATATGAAATTTAAAAAATAGGGCCGGGGATTTTAGCTCAGTGACATAAGTGCCTGCCTGGCAAGCGCAAGGTCATGAGTTAGATCTCCGGTACTGCAAAAAAAAAGAAAAAAGAAAGAAATTTAAAAAAATAAAGCTGCTAGATTTCATAGTTTAATCTTGTCATTTCTATGTCATATAACTTAAGTGTAAAATCAAACAAAAGTAAAGAATATTGCTGGAAACTAGAATACACTGTGAAAATCTTATTTTTTTAAAAAAAGAAAGATGGTATTCAAATACTAAGAAGGATAGGCTTCCTTGCTTCACAAAGAAAGGTTTGTCAAAGCTTGAATTCTTTGGCTCTCACCTGTCTCAAAAGTTTTAAAATCTAGAATCATAAGAAGTCTCCCAAAAAGCAAAAACAAGTTTTAAAAATCCCAACTTATAGTTTATAGATTCAAACTCTACTGCTTTTGATTTTAATATAATAAATATATAATATACTAATAAACATTTAATATAGAGAGATCTAATTCTAAATCTTAAAAATAAAACCAACGTGGGCCGGGGATTTAGCTCAGTGGCATAAGCGCCTGCCTTGCAAGTGCATGGTCGTGAGTTCGATCCCTGGTACAAAAAAATAAAATAAAACCAAGGAATACATGTCTCTAAATCCTTACAAATGCTAAAAATAGTTTTTTTAGATCTACTCACAGTATTCCTGTCTTCTCAGTAGCACAATTATAGACATTACTTTGAGATTTCCCCTTTCACTAAGATGATCTAAAATTTATTCCCTAACATTCCAGTTCTTTTTGGACAGTATCACGGAATGTAATTCCTAAAAAAGCCATTTATTAAATATAGCAAAATGAGTACAAGAGGTGTCAGAAGGCAGAACACAACAACAACATAGGCTGGCACGGTCTACAGTTTTTTGCCGCCCCGGCAGCAGTGTTTTGAGATAGCTGTTCCCAATACAGCCACCCCTCGGTTCATGCATGTCCTGATGCTCTTAAACACTCCCTCGTAGAACTCTCTCCCCTAGATTCAGTGACTCACATCTAACAACCAGAATACAAAAGTAAGGAGAGGTCATCTCTCAAAGTAGGTTAGCAATAGACAACATGTGTTTTGGTCAGCCTCTCCTGCTTTCTCAACCAATCCAGCTGCCAGAAAACAGCTGCCTCCATGGGGAGGCACATGGGGAGGCCCCCACGGCAAGAACTGAAAAAGGTCTCTCACCAGTAACAAGCTCAACTGTGGCATCAGGTTTGTCGAACACCCTACAGGGTGCAGTAAGATGATGAAGGCTGCCATCAACTATGTGAGAGGATTCTCTCAGACAAATGTAGTATCCTCCAACACCTTCCTTGCCCCAGGATGCCTTACACCAGTGAACAAAGGGTTACTGTGCAGATTCCTGACCCACTGTCCAATGACAGCTGCCATCTTAGGCTGCTTGGTCTCTCACACAAACCAAGCGCTACCACCAAAAACTTTCACTGTTTTTTAAAAACACATGGTGTGTTGGTGTTTTTAAAAAGTGAATGGACTAATCATTATATGCTTTCACTCAACTTCTCAACTATTAGGAAATACTTGTAGATATTAGCTGCAGAATAAGTAGGTTTGAGTCAAAGAAAGTCTTGCACAGTTTTGAAGAGCCACTGCTTTAAAACCTATAATCTCAAATACACACTTCTCAGATAAAGAAATACAGACAAGAAATATATATGTGAAAAAATGTTCAATATCACTGGTCATTTGAGAGATGCAAATTAAAACAACACTGAGATTCTACTTCAGCCTGGAAAGAATGGCTATTTTCAAGAAATCAATAACAAATGCTGGAGAGGCTGTAGGCAAAATGGAACTCTTCTCCATTGTTGCTGAGAGTGCAGACTGGTACAACCAGTGTGGAAATCAAGAAACTAGGACTAGAAGTCCCATTCAACTCAGCTATTCCCCTTCTGGGTATCTTTCCAAAAGAATTAAAAACATCGTGCCATAGCAATGTAGCAACACAATTTATAATAGCCAGATCCTGGAAATAACCCAAATGCTCATCACCTGAGGAATGAATAAAAAAGATGTGGCATTTTTCTACAATGCAGTACTACTCAGCCATAAAAAGGACAAACCAGACTTTTATAGGTAAATGGATGCAACTTAAGACCATACTCACAAGTGAAATAAATCACATACACATAGGTGTAAACATCATATTGTCTCACTCTAGTGTGATAAGCTGAAAGAAACAACATATATATATACATATACATATATTTGTATGCATAGATAAAACAGTTAAGATAGTTATACTACTAATTTTTCTGAGTTCACTGAAGAGAAAGATTTGTGCTGGTATTGTTAGGACAGTTGAATGTAGATGTCTTATGCTCTGGGTGAATGATTTGGGGATGACAATGCACAATGCATGTACCATTGTTGTCCTGATTGACATGTTTCAAAATTTTATTTTTTTCTCTTTGAAATAAAATGGATTTGAAAAAATAAAAATAAAAACTACAATTTCAAATATAATGTAGCTGAAGCCACAGAAACTATTTTAAAACACTGACTCAACATTCTTTTAAGAAAAATCCAAAGTCAGCCTAGGCAACTTAATGAGGCCCTGCTTCAAAGTAAAGAAACTGAGTTAAATTTCCAGCACCAAAAACCAAAGCAAACCAAAACAAAACCTACATTTATGACTTCGTTGACTAGATTGTTTGTCCAGTAAACTTGCACATAAACAAAATAAATCTGACTTGCTATTCTAGATGGAAACCATCACCCACCATATTAAGAAGTGAGAAAAAGAAAAAAAAATTATCTGAGCTCAGTAACTACCTTCAATGAATATTCTAAATCCTACATGTAACAAGTGACGATATGAAGTAAGTCTGAACATCTATTTCAATGGTTCTCAAAGTGGGGCCCTGAGACCCCAGGTCTAAACTGTTCCTACAAGAATACTAAGATCTGGAGAGGGAAGAAAAAAAGCCAGTCTAGACTACAAAGTGAATTCAAGGCCAGCCTGAACTGCACAATGAGACACTATCTCAAAAAGACAAATAAAAAAAATACTAAGATTTTAATTGCTCTTTCTATTGTACTGAGATTTGTACTAACTGTATAAATACAGTGGTGGGCAATACTGCTGGCACCTTCACACAAAGAAAGCAACGATGCCAGACTCATGCCACACACTCAAGGTATTAGGGGGGAAAAGTCTGCTTCACTTAAGAATGTCTATGATGAAACTGCAAAAATTTCTTCTTTTGTGTTTTTTGCAAAAATTTATTTTTATTAAATCTTGATCTTTGATACTGATTTTTAATTTTTAATCCTGCAAATCATGAAACAAGTATACTGAACACTCCAACAGAATACTTGAGAAAAAAAACTAGTCTGACTGAGTCCCAAGATGAACTAATAACTAAGTCAATGAATGAACATTTTTATTTTAGCGGATAACTAACAATGGCTATTCCAACTTAGGTTTTTGGCACATTTTCTCAAATATGAATGGAGAAAGACTGCCATTTAAAAGAACAAAACAGTGTATGTTGCCAATAACAAAATTCAGACTTTCTAGCAAAAAATTAGAATTTTGGAACAGTTGTATCCACCATCATGAGCTTAACAGCTTCCCTAGAATATTCTTATGAGACTGATGGTGATATTAATGAATGTTTTACTACTGTGTAATGCACCAGCACTTAGAAGATGTCAGTAAATTGCTATTTTCCAAGTGACCAATGCATGTTATAGTATCATGCAAGAATAAAAGATCCATTCAAAGTTCAAGAAAGGGTTTTGTAGAGTATCGAAAAGGAATAAGCACAATTATCTAAAATGGCTATTAAAATATTTTCTTCCAACCAAGTATCTGTGGCAGAGCCAAACTTTGCACATACTACTTCAACCAAAACAGTGTATCATACAACAGCTGAGTGTGGTGGTGCATACATCTAATCCCAACACTAGAAAGGTTGAGGAGGGAGAGCCAACATGAGGCCAGCCTGAACAACACAGCAAGACTGTGGCTATGCCTACACTATGCATGTGTGAGTGTTCCTCACAACAAACCAAGTGCAGAAACAAATTACAGAGTAAAGAAATTCACAAAAATCTAAGACTGTGGTACTAGTCTCACTAAAATGCTTTATTTAGAAGATTTTTCCACAAAAACATAACATGTAATAAATTTCATGTTTTTAATTTCTAATAATAAATCTCAATAGATAAAATACAGGAGTCCATGAAAACAGAACTGCTGGCCTCCCTTCTCTCCAACGCTAGAGCTTCTTTCTTAGAAGATGCATCTCTTCATCTATGTGGATCCACTGGGGCATGTCTTGCTACCTTCCTTTCTTGATACAAAACCTGACCAAATGACTTCAGAAGCCTACTTCATTCAAGTTCAAAGTTTATTTGATACAATATTTAAGAGACAACCTACTTTGAAAGGAATGTAAAATGATGATAAATATTTAAACCTACCAATATTTTCAATTTCTCATATTTCAAGCTTTGAAAATTTTATAAGGTTTATAATGCTTATAAAATTTATACATTTTGGTTTTTTACAAGTTTTCTACCTATCCTGAAAAGATAATATTCTTAGTATTCCTATTTAAAATGACCTACAGTATGTCAGATTTTCAACATTATATGATGCTGAAAAATTCCAAGCAATTTTTCCTATTGACAATGTTTAAATGCTTCTACCACAGCTTTCCCACCAGTTATGAAAAACTTAAAGACAAATACAGAAAAGTTACCTAAGCATCTAATTATTCAGAACCTTTGTTGCTCCTCCATTCTATTAATTTTCTAGTGATATCAAGGTGCATAGAATAAAACGGTAATTGTCTTTATGAAGGTTATCCTAAATGGAAAACTTTCAAGTAAGTTTATCACAAATACCCCAAAGATCAAAATAACAACAACAACAATAATAATAATGATGATAAAAATACTAATACTTAGTTTAACTATGCATACATATTCTTGTATCTAAAAAATGCTTAACTATTCAAAGACAGGCAGCAAACTGTAGCTACTCAAAACACCTCTCTAAGTGGTAAAGAAAACAATGGCACAGAAAAGGCTTTGAGCCACCTAAGTTACAGAATTTTACTGGGTGGTTTCCTCAGTTCTGACGAGGCTGTATTTAGAGCATCCTATACATTATCACAGACACTATGATAAAGGCCTGGACAAAGGGCGCCCTGCTTTATTATTCTCCAGTAATGCTCTGCACTGGGCAGTGACCATTTCAATTCCCCACCCCTCAGCTAGCTGACATTCTATACTACCCTTTTCCAGGTCTCATCTTAACCAACAACAACAAAGCAACCCAAGTTACTAAGGGAAAAACCATTCATCAATCAGAAACCTAAGTCTCTTCTTCATGTATCCATTTCTTTCAAAGAAAGACATTTTTATAGGGATGGAGAAGGGTGGATAACCACCAGGAATTTGTCCCCATATTATAAACTAATCCAATAAGTGAAAAATGATAATTCCTTCTTGACTGAAAGTACCACTTAGTGTAACCTGACAGTTCTGATATGCTTCTCTAAGAGTTCAATTTGTAAAGATAATCTGCCCCAGGAGGGTAAACTAAAGAAAATTTCTTAAGACTCCTTAATCAAGATTTATTTATGATTTGGTCTGAACAACTCTGGACTATTTTTTATCAATGTAAAGGCAGCGGGGAGGGGGGAGGTAGCAATGCCTTATTTCCCACAACAAGCTGTTTATAAAAGTGTTTTTAAAATAGTTCTGTTCAGCCGCAAATCCTATCATTTTCATATTTGTAAAGTATGGGTTACTACCAAAGAGCTTTCCTCTATATGCATTTATCTCTTTCAGTTTCATCTGTTTAGGAGCTAACTTACTTCCTGGGCAATTATTTACTCTAAAACATTTCCCTACCAAGAGTTCCTAACTGCCAAGAAGTCTATAAAAGGACTAATGGAGTTTTGGATTACGTTAACTACTTCAAAAAGACTAAAAGAAAGCCATATACAAGACTAGCTCCCATATACAAGACTGGCTATGAAAACAATCTGCTTTGCTGTTAGGTGTCATCCTAACAGCTGGATGCTAACACTGACTGGTAATTAGGTCTGTTTACTGAAGATGGAAAAACAATAGTTAAGTTTATCGCTCAAGTTCACAGAAAACAAGAACTAACAGAGTCCTTGAGGTTGAAAAGAGCACTCTTTTCCTTTCATATTCAATACCAAGAAAAATTTATAAAAGAGGGGGGAAAAAGCTTAATTTCCTTGACCCAGAAAAAACTGCACTGTTTTTACTTGTCTTTCATTTGTAGTCAAATTACAGATTTTCCATAAAGCCCTTACTGACCTTTTACATATTTATGTTCTATCCATGATTTTCTTGATGTCATCTCTGCACTTTTGACAAACTTGGCAGCTAACTTTCAAAGTAGTTAAGGCTTTTGTTCAAACAGAACATAACTAAAATGTAGCCACAGTTAGTAAAACAAATATTTATTGACTGGAAGATAAAAAGCATGAGGTATAATTACAGAATAGTCTCCCTGCCATCATTAAGAAAAAACACAAACAGTAAGACATAATGGTGCGCAGCTCTAAACCCAGCACTGGGAAAGCTGAGGCAGGAGGATCTCAGGTTCAGCCTGACCTACACAGTGAGCCCCTGTCTCAAAAATAAAATAAACAACAACAACAACAAAACCCAGAAGCACGTCCAACTACAACAGAATAGAAAACATAACCAAAGTAGAAATAGTAAAAACTAAAGAAGGGAAAGAGAAATATCACCATGAACCAAACATGACTTAAAAAAAAGCCTTTAAGGACAGTCAGGAAGCAGTTAGACATGTAAAAACAGATTGCAGTAGCTAAGAGGTAGGCAGTCAAGAGCACAGCTAACAATGAGCCTAAACAAGGACACAATATCTTTAGAGGATTATTCAGAAACTGGCACGCCATATGTATAAAGAACCAATGACATACTACTCACTGAACCCATACAAAACAAAAGAAAGCTTTTGTAAGCACAGACAGGACCTCACATACAGAATTCAATAAATATCTGAGCTGCTTAAGGAGGAAAAAGAAAGAATACATGAAATCATCTTTTTTTTAGTGAGCTACAACGTTTTAAGAAAAAATCTCAAACCCAGTAGACATGTACTGGTATTCAAAATCCAACTCCATTTTTTTCTCTTGCTCAGTCCAAGTAAATAGCACCAACAGGACATCATATAGCCTTCTCCTAAATACTCACCCGGGTTTACAGTCTTTACCTTTTAGAGATACATGGTAAAATATAGAGGAAATGATATGTCTGGAATCTGCTTCAAGCTAATCCAAGGTAGGTATGGATGGAACTAAGACTGGTCAACCTTTACCAGTGTTACTCCACTTCCATTGCCACTACCTAATCCAGGTCATCATTCAGGATTTTTAGTCTGAGGCCGACTTTCAGCCTCCAATATGACTCTGAACAAAGTGATGCCGGCATGTTAGGTAGCATAAGTATTTAGACGCCTGAACATTACAAAACATTGGGAACCCCTGTACCCCTGACATTAAAAGCACCGCAACACTCCCATCCCACACTTCCCCTGGGATAACCATAACCACGTTACAACATATTTTCTATAATGCCAATTTCTACAGGAAACCACTTCTAGTTCTGGATAACAGGACATATTTCCCACTTTACTTTAGTGACTCCCACAACCTATAAATTCTGTCATTTAACCCAGTCATGCCTTTTCCTGGCCATACCCCAGCTTCTACCAGAATAATCACCTTCCAAGCCAACAGAGCCAATACTATTAACTACTTCATGTTCACTACTGTTAATCTATATTTGGAAAATCTTTCACTAGCCTAAAGCCTGGGCTTGTCAAGTCTAAGCAGAATTTGTCTGTAACCACTATTAGCCTTCAGTGTCTTGTTTGGGTGGGGTTTTTCTGCCTGAATTGCCCTACAGCCAGACTTCCAAAATTATACTAACCTTCACCAAGTCTTCTGTATGCTGCACCTCTCGCCAAGTCAAAATTAGTTGCTCTTTTTGGCTTTCCTAACACCACAGTAGTCATTATCCTGTAGTGTAAAACTTTCCCCCTAAATCGTGAGTTCTTGAGACAGTCCGCCCAGTTTTGAAAAACCAGTATCATGTTCAGTAAGTGAATTCTATGCTCAATATGCACTTAATTGCACTGGGGGTTTTTTGTTTTGCTTTTTTTTTTTTTTTTTTTGTCTTTTTCATTCTTTTTCGGTACCAAGGATCGAACTCACAACTGCACACTTGCAAGGCAAGCGCTTATGCCACTGAGCTAAATCCCCAGCCCCTTGTTTTGCTTTTTGGAAATATAGACCGCATCTTCTCTGCAGGGAGTCTGCTATTTTAAGGTCAATTAGCCTAACTCCAAGGACTTTGCAACTACCCTCTTTTCGTAGGCCCTTGAATATCCTCCGACTTCACCAGAGGACATTAAAGCCAACAGACTCGGTGTTAGCCATATTTAAATGCCACCTTTACTTAAGTTATGACAGTGTATTCTGCGTTGGGGCCAATAACCTCCAATCAACTCCATAACGAATAACCTCACAGGCATTTTATGGAGAAAGTTATTGAACAAGTGAACCCAGGGCCAAGACTCTGGGTTTCTACTGAACTTGCAGCTGGAATGAAAGCGTCTTTCTGCGACCCCTCGGGCGGCCCGGGTCGCGCACTGGGCGGTACCGGCGAGGTTCCGGCTGGCCCCCAGAAGGACGCAAACCGCGCCCTCGCACCTGCAGCGGCCTGGTACGCGCGCTAGGTCCGAGGGACCGGATAACTCGGTCCTAAACTCGTTATTCCTCAAAACTAGTCCGCGTTGACGGCGACGAAGAAATGAACACGTGGGTAGGAGGGAGACTTGACGGAAACACAAGTCGTTAAAACTTACGGGGCTCCTTACCCGCCCCACCCGAGCTCGAACTACAGCCAGGGCCCAGGCGACCCCGCGAAGGCGACGGGGGCCGCGAGGGGCCAAGTGCCGGGCGGACGCACCCTGCGCCTGCTCCCTTCAGAGTTTCGAGCCGTCCCCTCGGGACCTAACCCGCCCGCGCTCTGGAGAAGGGGCAGCCCCGCCCGGCCGGCCCCCGGGCCTCTCGGGGTCCCCTTTGTCCAGCCGCCTCACCGTGATGTTGCAGTGCAGGGTGAGCGGCTGCGGCGGCAAGCGTGGGCTGCTCAGCGGCGGCACCAGGAAGTGGCAGTGCAGCTCGTCCAGCTTCCAGCTGACGATGCGGAACCGCTCGTGGTTCTTGTCGAAGATGGACGCCAAGAACTTCAGCTCGGCCTTGAGCCCCGACACGGACATCTTCCGCTCATCTCCGGCAAGGGTGCGGAGGAGCCGGCCCAGGGTGCCGTCACCGCGACCGCCCGCGACCGTGAGGCGAGGCGAAAACGGCGAGGGCTGGCGCGGCGGCCTTTGTAACCGTCCGACTCGCCGGCAGGCGGCGGCCCGCGGCTGAGGAGCGCGCCCGCGACGCCACCCGCACTGCCTGGCGCGCGCCCGCGCCCCGGCGCGCCCCCGTTCCCGGAGCGCGTGCCCGTGGGCCCGTTCCGGGGTCAGGCGTCCCGGGACCCTTCGCCCCGCTTTAGCCATGTCGGCGCCCAGAGTCACCCACACCTGGCCCCAGGGGACGCAGGCGACACGGGTGTCGGAGCCACCCCTACTCCGGGCCCGCTAGGGTCACCTGAGGACCTCACCACACGCTGCGCTCTGAAACCGCACGCAGACCCAAGAGGACTCGGCCCCATGCAGATGCTCACCGAGTCTCCGAGATCTCCTCCTTCTGCTGACCCCCACCTGTGCGCCCTGTGGCGTCTACTGCGCTTCCTATCCTGCGGAGAGCTCTGGCCCTGTTTCTCAAGCTTAGGATAACGCTTCACTTCTCTGGAAAAAGATCTGACCCCTATTTTCATTAGGATCTTAAGTATTTTTTCAAAGACGTCTTCCCTTGCCACCCAATCTAAAATCATCAACCAGTACCCCCTAAGTCACATCACCTTATGCTAATTGATTGCCCAGCACCTGTCACTGGTACTTTTCCTGTTTAGGTCTTCCCTTTTCCCTGCCCAACACAGATGTCATTGTGAGCTGCACCCCAAGAGCTAGAGAAGGACCTGCTACGTGGTAGACCCACAGAGTTACTGAGTGAATGCTTGTAATTATTACAACCCTGACACATTCCAAGTACTCCAAAAATGGATGAAGTACTACATGACCACCCAAAGGAATACAGCATAATGGGGCAGGCAGTTGTGTGTAGTAATGGCTACTGAAGGCGGGATCAGCCTCAACCATGTGAAACCTGTATAGGTACACAGGGCTTCTAAGTTAGAAGCTGGTGCTTAGTGTAATGCTCTTTGTCACCATCTTTTTTTTTTTTCCTGTCACCATCTTGAAACGAAATTTTCCACCAGGAATCCTGTGTTTTTCTCTTACCCTAGTCTTAACAAAGTGTACCTAGCCCTTCAGTACACAGATGTCTCCTGCTTCATGTTTTGCAAGAAGAGGACCTTAGTCCACTAGTTGCTTTAGATAATACAAAGTAGCATTGGGAGATAGTAAGTCCACTGAATGAGGAACATTTTAAAAATTTTATTTTCCCAACCAGGTTGATGTCACAAGCTATATAATCCCAGCTACTCAGAGGCTGAGGCAGGAGGATAGTGAGCTCAAGACCAGCCTGGTCAATATATGGAGACCTCCCCAATCTCAAAAAAAACCCCATATTTTAGATTCACGGTCTACATGTGAGAGAGAAGGAGGTCTCACAAGGAGGTGGTCCCTGCCTGGAAACTATATCATTTTCATTGTTTTGTTGGATTGGGTTTTATTCTTTTGTTTGATTATGTGAAATCTGATGGCATGAGCAGCTATTTAAAACATAGCAAGACATTATGGTAGCCATTTTGGATTTACTGTTAGCTTATTTTGAAGTCCTTTATTGCATTCATTGTTTTATTTTTATTGTCTCTGCTCTATTCTGTTCTGTTCAATTTTTACTAAAAGTCTGAAGGTATCTGGCAGCTATTTGGAAGACAGCAAAAGGTATTATGGTAACTATTGCTGACTTAATAAGGTTTTGAAGTCCTGTATCACTTATGCTAGTTATCTTGATTTGTTTTATTTTCCTTGGTTTTCGCTTCTTTAAAATTAAAAAAAATTTTTTTTAGAAAAAGCTTTTATTTTCACTTCTGAAATAACATCGTAGTGCTTCTTAGGCCTTGGGGGACATAGACCCCATTGGGAATAAAAAAAAAGCTATGATCCATCTCCCTAAGAAAATACCTTTATATATAAAATTTATACCTACAGATATTCATGACTCCAGCACTGTAACCAGGAACTAGGAAAAAAGGCTTTAATACTGGGCTCTGAATCAGAAATGACTGACTTATATTTGCATTATTACTGCATGACCTGTCACAGTCTCCAATACTCAGGACCCTAACAGACAGAGCAGTAACAAAAGAAGATTCAAGGCAAAAGGACACATCCTGGTCAGAATTTGTATGACTTTGAGAAATTGCCCTCAGCAAGTTATTTAATCTATCTGAATTTTTATGTTGTTATTTCTAAATTACTGTGAAAATAAACAGCTTTCTAAATGGAAACTGATTTTACAATGGGGTGGGAAACCCTAAAAAGTAAATATAGTCTCTGGATTCAAGAAGCTTAATGGGTAACATCTAAAATAAAACATTGTTTCCTGGTCCTTTAGGCTGCAATCACAGAAAACTGATTAAGTGACCTGGGTAATAAGGAAATTATTGCTTCTCATAGTAGGCAGTTCAGAGGCACAATAAGCTCCAGTATCATTGATACATGGCCTAATAATGTCATCAAGACCCTCGATTCTTTCTGTTTCCTTCATTAGGCTGAGAGAAAGTTGGCCATGGCTTTTTGACAGATTGTATCCAGACATCTAGGAGCAGAAAGGACATATTCGTCCATGTCTTCTTCCCAAACATGGAAACTTTACAAGAATCTTCCTAACAGACTTACCCAACATGTCATTGACCAGAAATGTATCACAGATCAATAGAGGAAATCACTCATTGGATTTCCAATCATTCAGAATATAATGAGTGCTAGAGAATCTCCATAATGCGTACTACAAACACATCAATAAACATAACACCAAAAGAAAAAAGTAACACCAAGGTATTGTGGTGACATCTGTCATCCCAGCTACTTGAGGTTGGGAGATTGCAAGTTCAAGGCCATCCTGGGCTACTCAGCAAGATCCTGTCTCAAAATTATACACATAGATACATAGATACATAGATACATACACATAGATATATAGATACATATGCCAGAGATGCAGCAAAGTATTTCCTGGGTTCAATTCCTAGTATCACAAAATAATAACGGTAATAATGATAGCAAACAAATCAGGCCTGCCAGGTGCAGTGGTGCACACCTGTAATCCCAGCACTCAGGAGACTGAGGCAGGAGGATCAATGTGAGTTTAAGGCCAATCTGAACTGCATACTGAAACCCTGTATCAAAGAAAATTTTTTTAATTAAAACAAAAAACATCAGGCCTGATATGATAAAGGAGCCAGACTAGGCCTGGGGATTTAGCTCAGAGGCATAAGCACCTGCCTGGCAAGCATGAAGTCATGAGTTCTATCCCCAGTACAAAAAAAACGCCAGACTACTACATATCAGGGGAAAGAAATAATTTCACAGAAGTGTGGTCATGTTCTGAGAACATCCAAGAACTCAGTTGATTACATAGTACAGCAAGGGGTCATGAGAAAGATAAAGTTAAGATTCCATTTGTGGCCAGGTTTTTAAAACCCTGGCCAGTGACTAGAGTTTCCTATGGTTAGAGAGAAATGAATGTCGCCATGGTGTCCAAAAAGAATTACAGAGGACTTAAAAGAGGAACGTGATCACTAAGAAGAGGCCGGAAGCCCAGGTTTTTGCCTGCCATTAATTCATGGAACAATTTATACCCAGCTGTGACCAGTTCTAAACCATAAAGACACTTTGCATCATCCAAATGGAAATGAGAAAAACTGAAATAGGGAAAGTAGCCCTAAGAATAGGAAGTACCACATGGATGCTGGAGATCGTACAGAAGAGAGATAGAGAAGGAATACTGCCACTGACATAGGCAAATATGTTGGATTTGACATGTTAATGGGACATCAGATAGACAACTTGGGGTTTGGGCCGAGAGTTTATAAGGGACACAAGGCAAGTGACTTATAATTATGGGCCAGCCACATGGGATGATGTTAGAAGCCACAGCCTAGGTGTCTTCATTGAGTTGAAGAAGAAAGACAACCTGGGCCATTGAAGGAAACCTGAACAAGGCTCATCACTGGAAAGGAAGCCAGCTGGAAAAGTCAAAGGATGACTTGTGTGTCAAATTCTTTGTAAAAAGTTCAGGATCAAAAAAAGGTGCATGGGCTTTAGGAATTAGGAAGTGAACAGTGTTTTAGGGGAAACCATTGCAATAGAATGGTGGGCAGGAGGTTGAGCGGCTTGGAGTGGGTCAGTTTGCTCAGACTGCACCCCTGGGAAGTTCCAGAGTGATGAGAGAGATGGAGCAAAGCAAGGGCAAGTATTAGGGTTGGGCATGCATTTTAGGGTAGCACAGATGGAGGGGGACATATAGTAAACTAAGCTCCAGGGCCCCTTCCACTTACATAGGCCTCTTCTAAGTAAATATGAACTTCTGTTCCTAATTTGGTATTTATAATTTTATCTTGTTTTTTCTTGTTTGCTTTTTGTAGTTCAAACACATGCTAGGCAAGTTGTGCCACTGAGCTACTCCTTCTACTCTGCGTTTGTTTGTTTTTTAGACAAGCTTTCACTCTGTAGTTCAAACTGGCCTTGAACTTATAGTGTAGCCTAGACTGATATCAAACTTGAAATGATCCTCCTGCTTCAGCCTCCCAAATGCTGGGATTACAAGTGTGCACTACCATGCCCGGCCAGTATTTTTCTTGAAGAGAACTCTTAAGAGTGAAAAATCTGCAAGCCTTACAAATCCTGGTTCTGACCCTAAGAAGAGAGCCATTTATAAGCAATGAAAACTTAAGATATGAAAAAGAAAGTAAGAGAAGGGACTAGGTCCTGGAAGAGGAGACAAGAGATGGGCTAAAGAGTTGTTCTGGAAAAGAATTCCTCTCTCCAAGCAGGAGCACAGGGGCATGGTGGGTTAGGGAAGACACAGGGCAATGCATCACCTTGGGGAGCAGTTGATTAACTTTGCATAGAATAAATAATCTTGATCTCATTGAGGCAGGGCTGGAGATTAGCAAAGCAGATAAATACAAAAGTCAGAGGCAAGAGAGTGCTGGAAAAATGTAGTAGAAACCTCCATCCTGGAGTCTCACCTGGAAGCCATGAAGGACCATGAAAGAAAATGAGGCAGACTCCAGAAGTCTCCGGGAAGACTCAACGTGGACAGGGAATAAGAGCAGCTGCAGGCGGTGTGGTGGAAAGATTTCATATATCATGAATTTGA